ATTTCCCCATATTTCAGCCAACCAACCTCCATATTAGGTTTTTCCGGGCCTTGGCCTCTGCTGGTGAAAGCCACCTCGGAGTCTTACCCTCTAATAAGTCCTTGTATTTTGTCCAGACCATAAATATTGATTTTCTAACAATATGATTTTTGAACATTTTATGAACCTTTACCTTGTCGTACCACAAATATGCATGCCAACCAAAAGCATTATCAAACCCTTCCAGATCTAGAACATCAGTGTTCTCAAGAAGTAACCAATCTTTCATCCAGCAGAAGGCCGCAGCTTCATAATATAATCTCAAGTCCGGCAGGGCAAACCCCCCTCTTTCTTTCAAATCAGTTAGTATTTTAAACTTTATCCGGGGCTTTTGCCCTGCCGGACAAACTTGGATATATCCTTCTGCCACTTTCCAAAACATTCCACTCTGTCCACAATCTGTAGGGTTTGAAACAAAAATAACATTTTCGGCAATACATTCATTTTTATAGCAGCAATTCGACCCAACAAGGAAAGTTTCAATCTTGACCAGATTTCCAAATCTTTTTGATTTCCAGCCAACATTTTTCATAGTTGTCTTTAAATAGATTCAAATTTTTCGCTGACAAGTGAACCCCTAGGTATTTCACTTTTTTACCACACTTAGTTCTGTTTCCTTCTGAAACCCATCTATTTCTGAGGGTGTCAAGTTTTTCCCCAAAACCTTAGTTTTTGCTTATTCAACTTAAATCCCGCCACCCGACCAAACTCATGAATCAATTCTAATACTCTTTTGTACTAGATTCTGGCTCCTGTAATGTTAAAACCAAATCATCTGCAAAAGCTTTCAATTTATATTGTTTCGCTCCGACCTGTATTCCTTGTATCAACCGGTCCTTCCTAATCATGTTCAGTAACACCTCCAGGACTGAAATAAATAAAAGGGGGATAGGGGCACCCTTGTCGTGTCCCTTTTTCAATTTTGAACTCATCTGTCACCACATTGTTTACTATCAGTTTAGCTTTTTGCTCAGAATAAATTGCTTCTATTCCATTTTCAAACCCCCGTCCCACTCCCATCCCTTCCAGGTTTCTCTTCATAAACATCCAAGAAATATTATCAAAGGCCTTCTCCGCGTCGATGAAAATTAACACAGCTTTCGTATTGATATTAGTTTGTAAAAGTTCCAAAATATCAATAATGTTCCTGGTATTATCAGAAAGATGTCTCCCTGGGAGAAAGCCTGCCTGGTCCTTATGAATTACTTCGTTAAGTATTTTTTAAGTCTGCTCGCCAAAATATCAGCAAAAATTTTGTAATCCACATTTAGGAGTGAGATGGGACGGTAGTTCTTAAGCTGAGTCTTTTCAGATTCCAATTTAGGAATCAATGTGATGAAAGCTTCTTTCCACGTTTCCGGTGCCCTCCTCCCCTCCATAATCTGGTTACAGACCTCCATTAGTGGTTGTATCAAATAGTCTTTTAGTGTCTTATAGTACTTGGAGGTAAGTCCATCTGGGCCTGGAGATTTGCCTAGTTGCATATTCTGAATGGCACCCTCTATTTCCTGTCGTGTTATTCTATTATTTAAGATTGTCCTCTTCTCCTGAGATAGTTTGGATAGACCGTTAACTTTTAAAAATTGATCTATCTCAGACGCTTCCTGAGGCCCTTGTGTATAAAGTTTTTTGAAATATTTCTGGAAACACTTTCTAATTTCTTCTGGTTTCTGAATGTTTCTCCCTTCCACCTCTAGATTAGTGACAAAGTTCAATTTTTGTCTCTTTTTCAACTGCCATGCTAGCAGTTTTCCACATTTATTTGCCGATTCAAATGATCTTTGTTTCATTTGTTTGATTTTCCATTCCACTTCTTGATTTATCAATTTCGCATATTGAGCTTGGTGGAATTTGATTTCTCTTAAAACCTCTTTTGATTTTGGTTTTAATCTCAATTTTTCTCTCCTTCTCTTATCTTCTCTAATATCCTATCTTTTTTCCCATTCCAAAGTTTTTTCTTGATTGTGTTCTGTTGTATCAGAAACCCCTCATTACAGCTTTACTTGCGTCCCAGATTGTTCTCTTTTCCACCGAAGTGTTCAAATTGATTTCAAAATAGTCCTTTAAAGTTTTTGGGCCTTCTTCACAATCTCCTGATCTCTTAGTAGGGTGTCATTCATTTTCCATCTGAAAGAACCGGTTGGAGTAAGTCTCAATTCCACTTTCAAAGCATTATGGTCGGAGCAAGTCTTTGGACAGATTTCCACTTTTCTGATCTTAGGTGCCAGTCCTCTAGTTGTCCATATTTGGTCGATTCTTGTCCATGATAGGTGGGCCTCAGAAAAAAATGTTCCTTCTTTACCTAAGGGGTTCCTTGTCCTCCAAATATCAATCAAGTCCATGTTATCAGTTAGTTCAAAGAAGGTTTTAGGTAGTCTGCCGTCTTTAGTTAAATTTTGATTTTGTGACTTATCCATGTGAGTAGAGACCACCCCATTCATATCACCCATCATTATGATGTTGGTATAGTCCAGATAGTCCAGCATTATCTCATGCAGCTTCTTGTAAAATTCCGATTTCCCCTCATTTGGTGCATATATTCCTAAAATCAAAAACTTTTCTCCTTGTGTTTGTATCTCAATTGCCAAAATTCTTCCTTGCTCATCTTTAAACAGAAATTTCGGTGACAGGTTCTCCTTTGCATAAATCACTACGCCTCTTTTCTTGACTTTGTCTGATGAAATAAATTCTTGGCCTAGTCTTTTGTTGATTAACACTTTCCTATGGAGCCTAGTCACATGCGTTTCCTGCAAGCAAACAATATCCAATTGTTCTTTTTTCAAAATATGAAAAATCCTTCGTCTTTTTTCCGGGGAGTTCCCACCATTTATATTCCAACTGTACAGCTGCAGAGACATTCTGAATCAATCTGTTGTTCCTATAGTGGGGTGTCTTCCTTTTCTTCTGGCCCCGAGGGTGTAGGTATCTGTGCTTTTCCAGGCAGTGGCGGTGGCCAAGAGGCTGCTGCTCCTTCTGAAGGTCTTCTCCGTGGTCGTGCAGGAACTTCTGGTTATCTTCTGATGTTTTAATCTTAATTTTCTTTCCTTTAAAATTAAAAGATAAACCTTGGGGAAACTCCCACCTATATTAGAAGACATCTGAAGACAGCCCTGTTTAGGGAAGTTTTTAATGTTTGAAGTTTTATTCTATTTTTAGTGCCCTGTTGGGAGCCGCCCTGAGTGGCTGGGGAAACCCAGCCAGATGGGCGGGGTATAAAGAATAAAATTAATTAATTATCATCAGCATTATTATTACCATCATCATCATCATTGTCATTATCATCATCTCATGGCAGATCTTCCAAATACGGTAATCAGTTTGGTGTGCACTAAGAGATGGCGGCTGCAAGCTCTTCACTCAAGCCACTTCTGGACACTAAGGGTGAACAAAAGAGCCACTCCACGTTGCCAGAAATGTTGTGAGACAGAAGGTCCAATGCTGTGGTGGCAAGCCCAATAAACCACACCAGGGTGGGGGGGGGAAATAAGAGGATTTATTTAGTTTGCAGTAAGAAGCTACAGGGGAATCAAATTCCAAATCCTGCACAGGTTTTGATGGTGTGTTTACACTCTTTATACAGCTTAGTTCAGGCTTCCTCAACCTTGGCCCTCCAGATGTTTTTGGCCTACAACTCCCATGATCCCTAGCTTGCAGGGCCAGTGGTCAGGGATGATGGGAATTGTAGTCTCAAAACATCTGGAGGGCTGAGGTTGAGGAAGCCTGGCTTAGTTACATTCTATGATTCTGTTGGCTATGAGCATTTAGTGTAAGAGACCCCTTTTTCTGAAGTGGCCGTCTTTCACTCCTTCCATTTTGGCAGAGAATCCAGACACTTTTGTTGGCAACTCATTCCATTCCAAACTTTCCTCCAGAATGGCAAGGCGAAGCTTGTCCTGCTATTGTCTGTTCCATAAACTGTTTAAACTAGCACTTTCCTGTTTTTCAGACACAGTGATACCTCGGATTAAGAACTTAGTTTGTTCCGGAGGTCCATTCTTAACCTGAAACTGTTCTTAACCTGAGGTACCACTTTAGTTAATGGGGCCTCCCGCTGCCACCAAGCGATTTCTGTTCTTATCCTGAAGCAAAGTTCTTAACCCGAGGTACTATTTCTGGGTTAGCGGAGTCTGTAACCTGAAGCATCTGTAACCCGAGGTACCACTGTATCAGCATTCAAATGACAAGTGTTCCTCCAGTTCCCACGATAGTGCCCGGGGTGGATCATTCCTTCCACCCAACACCGATTTGGTGTGTGTGTCCCCCTGCATTATTGCAATACCTTATCCAGTGTCCAGCACTTCCTGTCCTCTGCTTGTACCCACTGTTTGAGGGAAGCAAACCTGTGTTGAAGCTTCCTGCAGCGACAGAGTCTAGTCTACTTCATTAGCATAGCCAGGTGATCCAGAATCCAAAACAGGATTCTGAAGGAAAGGTAAAAATATGAATGGAAAAATCCTCCAGCACCAAGCTTCATCTGAAATGAGAAAGATGTGACAGAGGCAAGTCTCTGTCTCCTGTGTTTTGTGCCAGTGCCTCTTCACTTGAGATTTCTGGGTTTGATTTTCTAAACGTCATTCCCACTAAATACCCAGATGGATCTTATCACTAAAACAATCCTCAGATATTTCTGTCAGTTTGCATTTCTTAGTAGAGAAAGTATTGATCTGATGTGTAGAGATCTTTCCTATTCTAATTAATTCAAGAGGGTTCTGGAAGCTTCTCTGTGTGAAAGAAACAAGCAGAAGGTTCATGAAGTTTGGGTTATTCCTTCAGAGAGAGGCAGAGCACAGCTGGCTTAAACTGGTTCTCTGATCTCTTCTGTCAATGTCATGCTGACTATAAAAATAGGCTAGAGGAGCCTGGGTTTCATTCTCTCTTTCTATCTCTTTTCTTTCTGGTGTGGTGTTCTGTACATAGTTTGCTTAGTGTTAAGGTTTAGACTTCTTACAAGTTATTGTAAGTTTAAGTTAAGTGTTTAAGTTTTTACTCTGCTAACTATACGCTGGAATCTGCCCTGGATCAATATTGAGTAAAATTCCATGACAATTTCCAGCTCTACTGTTTAGTGATTTTGTGATAAAAAAATAAGCAGACCCACCCCAGCCCCCCCCCCAAAATGATACACAACGAGAACAGTCTTTTGTAACAATTTCTTTGTTCAGTGGGGGTTTCAGCTACAATGGTCGATTGTCTCAGTGGTTATCTTCCTTTGTGGTTTCTGTGGAAAGAAACACAAGTTTATTTTTAAAGCATGCATACGTACACCAGTCTATAGTACAATACCTCAACTTTATATCATGCATTTTCGTGGATTGGTGGTGCTTCCAGCAGGAAGCCTTTAACACTACCACTGAAAGCTGTAAAAAAAAATGCAATTGACTTTCTACACTACCAAGGCTTTAGAGCAGGGCTGAGGAACCTGCGTCCCTCAAGACATTTCTGGACTACAACTCCCATCATCCCTGACCATCTGTCACACTGTCTGGGCTGATGGAAGTTGGAGTCCAACAACATCTGGAGGGTCACAAGTTCCCCAACTCTGCATAGGCTGCAGTGCTCTGTCCACTCTAGGGGACAGAACATGGTGTTACACAAGGGGGTGTCCCCCTAAACACTGGAATTAATAAATGCTAGGATTTGGGGTTATTTGTGATGTGAGGGGAGAATATAAGCTGCAAAGGAATTCCTGGGTAGCATGGCCAAACTAGGGCAGTTAAGACAGCCATTATGGGTCATTAACAAGACACCAGAGACTGGAGATTTGGAAGGCTGCCAGGATAACTGCTCTGGGGGAAGTCAAGGGGCTTCTGGGAAGAAGAAAGGGTGGGCTTCATCTTGGCGAGAGAGAAGGAAGGACTGCCCGCAATGCTTTGGGCAATGCAGTAAGATCTGGACCCGCTCCATGCAGACCGAGGGTGTAAATAGGTGGGGGGGGGGATCTATTACTTAAAGCACAACAGTCACCACTGTGTCTTCTATTCTCAAAAGGGACACAGACCCTATGTAGGCGCCTGAGATCCTATTATGCGCTCTTGCCACAGGTTGGCAGAGAGAGGGACAGGTGGCAGACTTTTGTAACAATAGTTATATGAGCGAGAAGGAGACATTCTTCCTCACCCTGCTTTCCTTTCCTAAAGCACTTGCAGGTTCTTGTCAAGAGTGGCTCTGTTGTTGTTTTTTTTGTAAAGGAGGCAAATGGATTTCCTGCCCTTTCCTTGTGCTTTTAAAAGTTATGATTCCATCATGTCTTTGTGCTGTTGTTCTTAATGATACAATGGAATTACAGTCATACCTTGGAAATTGAACGGAATCCGTTCCGGAAGTCCGTTTGACTTCCAAAACCAAAGCGCAGCTTCTGATTGGCTGCAGGAAGCTCCTGCAGCCAATCGGAAGCTGCGGAAGTCCCGTCGGACGTTCGGGTTCCAAAAATAGTTCACAAACTGGAACAGTCACTTCCGGGTTTGCGGTGTTCAGGAGCCAAAACATTTGAGAACTAAGCTGTTCAAAAACCAAGGCATGACAGTAATTAAAAGTTAAGTGCTCTTGAAAGGAGGAATGATGTAGTTCAAAGCAGCTGAGCACACTAAGGTAAGGGGGACTAAGGGTGGGGGATAAGATAAAAAAATACCCCTCATCTCCCCTGTACAGATCACAGGACACTTTAAAGCAGCCTTCCCATACCTGATACTCTTCAGGTATTTTGGACTATAAGTTCCATTGAAATGAAATTTGAAGATAGCAATTTGGGGGGCTGGAGGGGAGGACTCCCATGTTATGGAGAGTTAAGTGCTAATGGAAGAATAAAAAATAAATAAACAGGGTGCTTGAATAGATCTGGTTCAACTTCACATCCCAGGTCCAATCCTCAGCATCTTCAGATAGGGCTGGGAGAGAATCCTTGTCTGAAACCCTGGAAAGCGGCTACCAGTCCAGTGTTGACAATACAGAGCAAGATGGATCAATGGTCTGAATTGGTGATTTCCTGAGAAGCGACTCAAGCCATACAAACCAGCAAGTCACAAGAGCTGCTTTGTTCCATACCTGCGCTGCAGGGGGCATTATATTCGACAGCTGCATGGTCATCTGAGCGAGAGAGAAGAATTGCCTGTGAGATGCTACGTTCTCCTTTATTTCTATGCCACCTTGCAGCCCCAAATCCCAGTGCAATGAAATAAAACGTGCAGCAACGTTTCAGAGAGCAAAATATCAGTAACATATTGAAAGCAATAAAAAAACAACCCCCCAAAATTAGAACACAGATAGGTCAAGGACCCCTGGACAGTTAAGTCCAGTCAAAGGCGACTACGGGGTTGTGGCACTCATCTTGCTTTCAGGCCAAGGCAGCCGGCGTTTGTCCACAGACAGCTTTCTGGGTCATGTGGCCAGCAGGACCAAACCATTTCTGCCGCAATGGAACACCATGACGGAAACCAAAGCACACAGAAACATCATTTACCTCCCCGCCGCAGCGGTACCTATTTATCTACTCGCACTGGCATGCTTTCGAACTGCTAGGTTGGCAGGAGCAGGGACTGAGCAGTGGGAGCTCACCCTATCGCAGGGATTTGAACCGCCGACCTTCTGATCGGCAAGTCCTAGGCTCTGTGGTTTAAACCACAGCACCTACTAATTACATTTCTTGAAATGTCATGGAATGACATAACATTGGGAGCATGGTGGGAAATTAAAATGGCAGCTTAGAACCCAGCGATCTTGGGCTACTTAGAGCCCAGGGTAAATGTCAGCTGCAGTGGACCCTCTCAAGCTGTGGGGAGCCCTGGCAGCTGCCCATGGATGCCAAGTACTAGGGAAGAACAACTTTTTTAAAAAAAACACCCCAGAATCAGAGCAGCTGAGAGACTGAAGTGTCCTGGCAAAGTTCTGTGGGAGCAAAAAGGCAGGGCTTGCGGAGTCATAATGCAGTTGCATATTAACGGGGAGTAACCAGTCAGATGGAGGACGCGGGTGGCGCTGTGGGTTAAAGCCTCAGCACGTAGGACTTGCCAATCGAAAGGTCGGCGGTTCGAATCCCCGCGGCGGGGTGCGCTCCCGTCATTCGGTCCCAGCGCCTGCCAACCTAGCAGTTCGAAAGCACCCCCGGGTGCAAGTAGATAAATAGGGACCGCTTACCAGCGGGAAGGTAAACGGCGTTCCGTGTGCTGCGCTGGCTCACCAGATGCAGCTTGTCACGCTGGCCACGTGACCCGGAAGTGTCTGCGGACAGCGCTGGCTCCCAGCCCATAGAGTGAGATGAGCGCACAACCCTAGAGTCTGGCAAGACTGGCCTGTACGGGCAGGGGTACCTTTACCTTTACCTTTAACCAGTCAGATGCTTACCTGGGTGGTAATAATCATAGACTTTCACTATCGCTGGCTTAAGATCCAGCACGTCAATTTCCTGCTCCACAGAGAAAACATAGGTTTGAACAGTGCTGTCCAACTAAAGAGAAACAGAGTAGGGCAAAATATGAGATCTAGCTCTTGCAACCACTCCTACAGACCACAACCCTATTATACATACCCGCTTTTACACATTCCTAGACTTCTGAAATGAAGTCTCTTAAGCCACCCCCTCCCAAGTACTCCTGGTCCAAGTTTCATACCATAGTTCTCACCTGATCCAGGTAGATGCTGATCTTGTCAGGGTCAAATTCCACCTTCTTTACATTGGCTTTCCCTTCCAGCTGTCAGAATATAGAACAGCAGGACACAGTTAAGGAACATCTTGATTGTGATTTTGTTTATACCAGCCTTGTGCTGCAGCCACTCATGAGATCTGTGCATTCATGCAAAAGATGAGGTGTGGGCTGCTCGACCTATAGATTTGCATCTTTGCTTTAATACTAGGGATGGCCAAATTGTGGCCTGTAGGTTGTTTCCATCCCATTACTTCCCTGGCTGGATCTTTTTGCTAGGCAGACCTGAGCCTCCATACATTCCACCTGGCAGAAACCCTTCTCCGTTCAAAGGAGGAGAATGCCCCAAGACCTTTGCGCCTGAGAGGGCTGCTTGCCATCAGAAATTGCACACTGTTTTTGGCCTAGACAGGACATAAGAGAGCAATTTCGAGCAAGTGCCTCTCTATCTCATCTTGCACTGGAAAGGACGCCTAATGGGTTATATAAGCAACACTTCAGACATGCGTTCTCCTTTTTCTTTTGCCAGGAGGAACATTTCAGATTCTTCAGTGGGTAGATGCTTCCAGCAAGCCAGATATGGTGCCAATCTGAGAGCATTTGAGGTAAATGGCTGTAATGGTTCTAGGGGTTGCTCGTGCGTAAGCAGGTGCCTATCTCTCCAGCTGGGTGCAAACACCTGGCTGGGTTGCCAAAGTGAACCTTTTCTGTCCGGACAGCCACTCACCCGTGGCTGACTCAATCACTGGCAGAATCCGTCAGTGGGCGTTTCTTAAACTTCTTCCAGCAAAGAAGTTCTTTGACGCCTAGTCTCCACCTACCCTCTCTGCACGGAAGCCTTCTGCGCAGGGAGGGCGTGGGCAACGGAGGACCCCTACTCTCCCCGCTGGTCCCAGGCAAGGAGTCATGAGACCGCCTCATCACTTCCCCCAGCTGCCCCCCTTCTCCCCTGGTGCTACGCTGATTCTCTTCCCCAGAAGATGGGCTGCTCCTCCCGATCCCTGGACGCTCTCTGGAATCCCTCTGGCTTTCGCTCTCCCCCTCCAGTACTGATGGCAGTTCCCTGACAATGGCCATAACTGGTTTTTCACAACAAGCCTAAAGCAGCATCTCCTAACAGATCATTAATGGTAAAGGGACCCCTGACCATTAGGTCCAGTCGTGGCCGACTCTGGGGTTGCGATGCTCAGCTCGCTTTATTGGCTGAGGGAGCCAGTGTACAGCTTCCAGGTCATGTGGCCAGCATGACTAAGCCGCTTCTGGCGAACCAGAGCAGCGCATGGAAACACCGTTTACCTTCCTGCCAGAGCGGTACCTATTTATTTACTTGCACTTTGACGTGATTTTGAACTGCTAGGTTGGCAGGAGCAGGGACCGAGCAACGGGAGCTTTCCCCGTCAAGGGGAATCGAACTGCCGACCTTCTGATCAGCAAGTCCTAGGCTCTGTGGTTTAACCCACAGCGCCACCCGTGTCCCCTAACAGATCATTACAAGTGTACAATTTATATGGCCACTAACAAATGTTAGAAATGCATCTTGCATACACTGAGGAAGGGCAGAAGATGGAGGTTCAGAAGACTTTCTCACCTTCTTCACAGACTTCTTCAGCGGTATGAATCCTGATACCATGTTCACTTCTATCAGGGCCATGTTGCTTGTCTTCCGTTGACCTGTGTAGCTATCGGAGGAAACGAGTCAAGTTTCAGTAAAGAAAGCAACCCAGGGAGAGATGAGGCTCAATGGCTAGCATTTCTTAACAGCTTCCTAGGGGAGCTGGGTGCAATTCTTCATGCCACTAAAGCCTTACAGGCTGCTTCTCCCTGTGTTTATCTGAGCTCAGGAACCAACCGGGGTAAAATTCCATACCTCACTTGTAGATGGATGTCGAAAAATTTCCTGGAAACCTGGTTGCATTCCTTTGGCGCCGTCTCCACACTCAAAGCAAAAACATTGGTCTGTTCAGGTGAGTAGTTAAATCGAAGGGTAGTCTAGTGGAGAAAAAAAAGAATGTTTTTATTCCCAGCTCCTGTTACCTTGTAGCAACAATATCAAGCAAGTACTGTACTACATTGTGCAGAAAAAGCTTTTCACCCTTGCAATCTTAAAAAGCACAGTGGACAGATCTAGGGGTGGTATATTTGCATAGAGCTGTGGTGCTTGCATGCACATGAAACATACATATCATTCTTGCCAGTTTGCATTTCTTAGAACAGAAAGTATTGATATGATGTGTAGAGATCTTTCCTATTCTAATTAATTCAAGAGCGTTCTGGAAGCTTCTCTGTGTGAAAGAAACAAGCAGAAGGCTCGTGATGTTTGGGTTATTCCTTTAGAGAAGCGGAGTACAGCTGCTTAAACTGGTTCTCTTATCTCTTTCTGAAAGGTAACATTGACTATAAAAGGAAGGCCAGAAGGAGCCTGGCTTTCACTTTCTTTTTTGATCTCTCTTCCTTCTGGTGTGGTGTTCTGTATATAGTGTTGAGTTTTGGTCCTATTATAAGTTATTGTAAGTTTACGTGAAGTCTGCTGCAACTGGATTTCTTATGGACAGTGCCAATCCTGGATGTATTGGATTTGTGACCATTGTGCTCGTTCGCCTTCAGTGGCAGTAAAGCTCTGCTGGATGAAATACAATTGCCTCTGGTCTATTTTTGGGGGGTGGGAATCCCACAACATGTTTAATTTTTTACGCTGCTAACTATACAGTGGTGCCCCGCAAGACGAATGCCTCACAAGACGGAAAACCCGCTAGACGAAAGGGTTTTCTGTTTTGGAGGTGCTTCGCAAAACGAATTTCCTATGGGCTTGCTTTGCAAGACGAAAATGTCTTGCGAGTTCCTGCGGGGGTTTTTTTCCTCCCCCCCTTTTTCCCAAGCCACTAAGCTGCTTATCAGCTGATCCGCTAAGCCGCTTAACAGCTGATCGCTAAGCCGCTTATCAGCTGATCCGCTAAGCTGCTTAACAGCTGATCCGTTAAGCCACTAAGCCGCTTATCAGCTGATCCGCTAAGCCGCTTATCAGCTGATCCGCTAAGCCCGCTAAGCCGCTAATAGCGCTAATCCGCTAAACAGCTAATGGGCTTGCTTCGCAAGACAAAAAAACCGCAAGACGAAGAGACTCGCGGAACGGATTCTTTTCGTCTTGCGAGGCACCACTGTACATTGGAGTTCTGCTTTGGATCAATATCGAGTAGAATTTCAATGAAACACCTTTATTTTCATAGCTACTCATCCCCTGTGATTTCCATGAGATTACCTGCACATAAGCACAGCCGTCCCCCGACACCTCCACTTTGTATTGACCAGGAACCTCTGCGAGAGGCGCCTGTTGCAACACCAGCCGGTTCTGCTTGTCCACATGGAATTCGTGCTGGAAACCCCCACTGGATTTCACCAGGACCTTCACATCGCCTGTTTCACGATAGGTCAAGGCTGCGTACTTGGGTAAAGCCTGCAGGGCAACCACTGTGTCCTGGGGAAAGCAAATTGTCATCTTGGGTGTGGTAGGTGCAAGATTCTTCTTTAAAACCATCAGATAAATCACCCATTACTGGGAATTTTGGCAACATGTAGCAATCATTCTCATGCATATGCAAGCGTAGCTGTTTGCAATCAATGAATGTGCAGGGAGATTATAAACAGGCACGGTTATTGATTATTTAGATATGTGACTGCACATCTTCACGTGCATATCTGCATGGAGCAGTCCTGTGCTGAATTATGCAACATGCCTCACTTAAATATTACACCCCCCTTTTCCATAGTGTTCCAAATGCTATCCTTCTTCATCATATTTTTATGGGTCTTCATTCCACGCCATGATTTTGTGGCCCAGTTTGACACAAGGCATATAATAGTGTGATTTGCCGAAAGATTAAAATTTAATCAGTTCCCTTATTCATTTATTGCATCCCATGACACTTTACTTTATGTGGTCCACTTAGTATCATGTTCAATAATTTCAACAAATAAACAAACATTTTAAAACAAAAATACTGATTGCATTAGCCGAGGCAAATTCAAGTCCTTCAATTTAATGTGACAAGCCTCCACTGTCAGAATATATTTGTGTTATTCACATGGAAACACCAAAATGTACTCGACAAAGAAGAGCTCTCCTTGTCTGAGATGCCTCCCCTTTCTACAGAGGACAAATCTTGCCTGTTACCTGTGTGGAAGAAAAGCCTCCATATGGATTCTGTGCTTTGGTGAGGGAACGCACAATCTGGGAGGCATATTTGATTTCATCGGTGGACACCTCTGGATTGGAGAGGTAACTCAAGAGAAAGTAGGCCGTTGTCTCTACATCTGAGAGGGATATGGCCCCATCTACAAAGGAGGAGGAAAGAATGAAGTAGAACATCGTTCAGTAACAGAACATAAAAGTAAGCCAGCCCTACGGCTCCATAATAACCCAAATCCTTCTCCATTATTACTGAGAATCCAAAGACCCTGATAATTCTGGAGGGTTTATTTTCTTATTTCACAGAGATTGAAAAAGACATGAATTGACATATGTATATGTTTAGACGGGAAAGGCAGCAAGTGAAGTGCTCAGAATACAGGAATTCCATGTGGACAATCAGCTCAAACCTCTTTACAAGCTGAGTTTCTCAGATAGACTGGAGTGAAAAGGCTTTCCTCCCAAGGTAAGGGGAAGTGGCCTCACTAAGCCTGGCAGGACAGCTTACTCTATGGTATTAACCCCTTCATGCATTAAGTAGATTTAAGCATGTTGTTTATATGAGGCTGGTTATCCCATAGCACCTTCAGAGGAAAGGGCTAATATTCTGAATGGGGCATCGGAAAAGGAAGCCTCGAAACCAGGCTTGCAAAACAGCAACCTCCAGAACAAAGATTGTACTGAATGAAATAATTCATCCTACCTGTTTTTTCAGCCTGTTCATCTAAGGCTGTTAGGAGCTGATGCCGTATCTCTGTGTCTCCAGCCAAAGTGAAGACATAAGCTAGCAAAGCCTTGGAATAGCTGTTCTCTGCAGAACTTAAGTTGTTCTTAAGGCAGGCTAAGGCGTTCTCTACCATGGTATCCTTTAAAGCAATTTTTTTTTAAAAAATATAAAATGACTCAATTAGCTTCCAGCTTGGATATGATTTCATAATATCTTATATGAGGGGGCAGGCTTTATATTACCACATCTTATGTAAATGAATTGCATAAAATATAGGGAAATAAATTGCTGTTAGTCGCCCCAAGACATTATGATGATATGGCAGCAGAAAAATCCACATAATGCTATATTATATTATAGAGCCACAGTTTATAATTAGAAAATTGTTAAACATGCTGATTGAATGTTGGCCGTGTTGGAGAGGTAACCTTCAGGATGCTGAGCAAGAAATTACTTAAACCCAACAAGCTGACAAGCGGTGCACATTTTTCTTTCCTATTGACCTGAAAATCCCCAGTCAGGCATGTTCCTGCTCCTTTAACATTCATACGAAGCAGAGAAATAAACTGGGGTGATTGTAGAGCATGAAGGCCAAATGACCTCTTGCTTAAGGTCACCCAACAAACCAGCTTCTAATTTTCAAGTTTTCGGCATAGCCTTCTCAAACTGTAATCAAATTCAGTTAACGGAATAAACATGGTTTAGCACAGGGGTCAACAAACTTTTTCAGCGTGGGGCCGATCCACTGTCCCTCAGACCTTGTGGGGGGCCGGACTATATTTTGGAAAAAAATTATGAACGAATTCCTATGCCCCACAAATAACCCAGAGATGCAATTTTAAATAAAAGCAGACATTCTACTCATGTAAAAACACCAGGCAGGCCCCACAAATAACCCAGAGATGCATTTTAAATTCTGCTCATGTAAAACCACACTGATTCCCGGACAGTCCGCAGGCTGGATTTAGAAGGCGATTGGGCCAGATCCAGCCCCTGGGCCTTAGTTTGCCTGCCCATGGTTTAGCACAGGCTTCCTCAACCTCGACCCTCCAGATGTTTTTTGGCCTACAGGTTCCATGACCCCTAGCTGGCAGGACCAGTGGTCAAGGATGATGGGAATTGTAGTCTCAAAAACATCTGGAGGGCTGTGGCTGAGGAAGCCTGGTTTAGCATGTTAAGGGCTTTCAATGCTCACTCAACTGCCTAAATGCCAGGAAATGGATGAATCAGTTCAGTTGCATTGATGGCTTCAGTTGCAAAGTGTGCACAACATACTGTTATGAGTTGTGGGGGTGGGGGGGTGTCATGATGGGGTGGATGATGCCCTGAGTCCCTTCCAATTTTCGGAATCCTGTATCTGTTATGGTAGAATGCATGACAGCAAGCTTGCCAAACCAATTCCTTTGTCCAGCTAATGGCTTTGGCTGACTAGCTAAGCACCATGAGGAACATAACAAAAGAAGTTACTCTGTGGTGTAGAACAAATGAGTGGGCCCTTCCCTGCCCCTCACCTAACTGCTAAGTAGGAGGACTGTTATGTACTGAGCTGAATCCTAGAACAACAGGATCTAGAATGCAGCAGTCTGATTGGTCCGCAAGAGCCACCCAATCCAGCTCCAGGTGGAAGTGAATCAGTGACCTGACTAGCCTGCAGGAGCAGCCAATCAGGCTTCTGGAGGAGGTGAATCCGCAACCTGATTGGCCTACAGGAGCAGCCCGGAATTAGCCAATCACACAGGGCCCATTGTGTAAATAATGTATATAAAGCTAGATGTTTTGGGGAAAGTTTCATTCATTGCTACTATGAGCTGAATAAAGAGCATGAAATTCACACTCGACTTCGAGTATATTTCAAGGACAAAATAATAATAATAATAATAATAATAATAATAATAATTTATTATTTATACCCCGCCAATCTGGCTAGGTTTCCCCAGCCACTCTGGGCAGCTTCCAATAAAACACTAATATACAATAACCTATTAAACATTAAAAGCTTCCCTAAACAGAGAGTCTGATTGGTCCGCAGGAGCCACCCAATCCAGCTCCAGGTGGAAGTGAATCAGCGACCTGACTGGCCTGCAGGAGCAGCCAATCAGCAACCAGAGAGTTCTGTGTGAGTTGCTAGAAACAGACACACAGAGACATGCTTGCTCTGTGCTGCTTCCAAAGCTCACACTAATGTAGAAGCAATATATTTTGGGGTGTTAATGCTCCTCCATCCTATGCTCAGGTTGTATATATAGGTAAAAAGAACTGTATATCCTAAAGACAGTCCCCGCTGATCTTCATTCCAAGGAATCTGACCTCTGGGCAAGTGCTTGAACCCCAGAAACCTCTTGCTGCATGGAGATTGGGGTGGCATGTATAAATATCTTTAAAGCACACTCAAAGCACATTCTTTTCCTTGAAGAAATCTATCCCTCAAAGAGTTAGAATTCCCAGCAACCCTTAACAAACTACAGGGCCCAGAATTCTTTGAGGTGGGAAATGTCCTTTGAATGTGCACACAGCCCATGTGTCTATTCCAGTAAACATGTCTATTCCTTGTTTATAAAGTTCATCCTTTGGATCCTGGGTTAACAAAGGACTAATGAGGAAGGCCCAGAGGGAAAGCCAGAGGGACTTACATTCTTGCCCAGTTCCAGCAGTGAGGCAGCAATGTAAGCTGTTAGTGAGAAGTCATCATCCACGCCGCCCTAAGAATGGAAGAGAGAAGTCAAGCCAGAGGACTATGAGAGCCATTTCCTCACAGTTTGGAAAACAATGATCAGGCCTTGAGTATATGACTATTTTAAGCATCACTTATAAGCACCAACATGATTCACTCTTGTCTGTGTGAAACTCCCACCTTAAATGTCAGGAAAGGTAATTGCAAGGTATCGCTCACGCCCCAAGGACGTTTATACAAGGAGTGGCCAAAACATTCCTTAGTCAGGAGGAATCGGTCATGCAGCACAGGAAGCAGGAGAGAGATCTTGTAAAACTACATTCATTATAATTTGTTTTCTTTCTGTTAATCGAGATTTTCTGACAAAGGCACCAAAACATATTGGGCCTCGGTTGTTCATCAGCTACTGCTGTTTGCGTGGCGAGTTACCGCCCCCCCCCCGGGAAATAAAGACACAAGACACCAGAGTTTAAGGTTAATGGGTCAAATTAGGCCACAACTTTATTGATTACAGGAATTGAGGGGTATTGGCTTAGGCATTGGTCCTATCAGCTAACCGGCTTCAGCCTGCTTGCATGAAGACCGGCAAGGGTTAACCACCAGTAGGGGGAGTCCTGCTGAGGCATGCCAACTAGGAGCTCCCCCTGGGGTCACCGCTCGGGGGCGTGCCGTTGGCCCACACCTCCATAGGCTTAGGACAAGGCCACGTTCCCCTGAATCCTTTACCGGACTACCCTTCGATCTGGGTAGTCCTTCCCCCCCTTATAATCTGCATAACAATACCCCTACCAATGCCTAACAGCCAATGCCCAGGAAGTTGTGACGATTGCTACGAGGTAGGCGAAAACCAGTTGGCTGGTGCCAATTTGCCAAATGGAAAAATTCCTACCAGGCGCCTTGACGGCAACCAACCGCAGTCCATAGCAAGGTCGGAAAACCTAGCCTAACGGGTGGGTGGGGTGGGAAAACCCGGTCAGCTGTAGCACGGCAATCCAAAGAGGGCGGTCCTCGGCCGTGCTGGCCCTAAATAGGGTGGGCCACGCCCCCCGGTCTAGCTGATTGGCTGGCTGGGGGGAATGACGCGGCCGAGGATTCCCCTAGTATCGCGGGGAGGGGCTTGAAGCCTGCAACTCCACCTCCTCTCTAGTTCGGAAGTGGCTTTCACAGGAAGGAAATAGCAAGCTGCCTTCTTCTGCACCAGAGATTCTGCCTGACAGAGAAACGCAATTGCAGGGTGGGAGTGACCCTCAGCCTCCACTGCTGACCTTGTAAGGATGCTGAGAGAGGACAGGCAGCTCCCTTCTTGCACTTCTCAAGACAAAAGGCAACAGGAGCATTGCTAATGATTACTCCTCTGGACCCCTTTATTAAGAGAGCACCAGCATGGTCTAACCTGGGGACGGATTTATGGGCTTATATCAGCTTCCTGTTTCAGGTGTACAGAGATTTTTACTCCAAGTAAAAAAGACACGGGTGGCTCTGTGGGTTAAACCACAGAGCCTAGGACTTGCCGATCAGAAAGTCGGTGGTTTGAATCCCCGCGACAGGGTGAGCTCCCATTGCTCGGTCCCAGCTCCTGCCAACCTAGCAGTTTGAAAGCACGAAGTGCAAGCAGATAAATAGGTACCGCTCCGGCGGGAAGGTAAACGGTGTTTCTGTGCGCTGCTCTGGTTCACCAGAAGCGGCTTAGTCATGCTGGCCACATGACCTGGAAGCTGTACGCCGGCTCCCTTGGCCAGTAAAGCGAGATGAGAGCTGCAACCCCAGAGTCGTCCAAGACTGGACCTAATGGTCAGGGGTCCCTTTACCTTTACCTATCAGCTTCCTGTTTCAGGTGTACAGAGATTTTTGCTCCAAGTTTCTGTGAATGGCTGGCGGTTCAAATCCCTGTGACTGGGTGAGCTCCCATTGCTCTGGCCCAGCTCCTGCCAACCTAGCAGTTCGAAAGCACACCAGTGCAAATAGATAAATAGGTACCACTGCGGCGGGAAGGTAAATGGCATTTCTGTGTGCTCTTGTTTCCATCACAGTGTTCCGTTGCGCCAGAAGTGGTTTAGTCATGCTGGCCACATGGCCCTGAAAGCTGTGGACAAACACCGGCTCCCTCGGCCTGAAAGTGAGATGAGTGCTACAACCCCATAGTCACCTTTGACTGGACTTAACCGTCCTGGGGTCCTTGACCTTTTACCTTTTTACCACAAATATCTGTCATGGCTTTAGCAGCATGTTCAAGAAGCTTCATACACAGGGCATCAGAGGAATCCCTGAGCTAGCTTGTGCAATATGACCAGACCAAGCCAGGGCCATTAAGAAACAAATCAGGACCATTGAGAGCCATTGGCAATGCAAAAGAACTGACCCCCTCTTGCCCTGAGGTGTGAACAGAAACTGGGGGTTTGGAAGGCTGCTAGGGTAACTGGGTGTGAGGTGACAGGAAAAGAGAGTTTTTAGCAGAGTGTTCTGGGAAGAAGAAAGTGTGGGATCCATTTTGGGGAGGCTGGCTTGGGGAGATGTCTTGGACTCCATGGCTGCACTGCTGTGGACAACAAGCCCCTCTTGAAGTGACCATACTGTAAGATCTGGTCTCCTTCCATGCAGATGAAAAGTGGAAGTAGGTGGATAAACCATATTTCTTAAAGCTATGGGACTCTTTGACACGTCTCAATTCTCCAAAGGATCACAGGCCCTGGAACCCCCTGTAAGTTTGCTACTGCTCAGCAGAGAGGAGGAACCAAACTTTTGTAACAGTACGATCCTGTTATCATAATTCACGGTGCTCTTACCTTCAGGGCATTGTTGAAGAGCCTCCCCACACTTTCAAAGCAGCCGCTGGGAAGTTGGTGCTTCCCCAGCCAGCCTACAGCCTCCTGAATGTGCTTCTCATCAACAGAGATATAGGCATTTGCATGGCCCAAGGCCTTAACCACAAAAGCTGTCAGCCTGCAGAGCGGGGAAGGGAGCAGAGCGGGAGAGAAAGTGGAGGAGGAGAATCAGCTCCAGTCTCAGACCCACTCAAAGCAACAGCCACAGCTTTGCCCAACTGGCACCAGCTCAGCTTACTCACCAGGTATTGCCTTCAGCATCGCTCTTCCCAAAGGCACTGTAGGAGCCATCGTCATGTTTGTAGAGGAGCTCACGTTGGTACCCTACAGAAAACAGGGAAGAATCAGTTCTATCAGTTTGGGAATATGCAATTTAATGAGGCTGGTTTGCTGGATGCAGTGAGTAGTAGTAGTAATAATAATAATAATATTTCTACCACGCCCATTTTGCTGGGTTTCCCCAGCCACTCTGGGCAGCTCCCAACAGAATATTAAAAACACAATAAAACATCAAATATTAAAAACTTCCCTAAACAGGACTGCCTACAGACGCCTTCTAAAAGTCAGATAAAGTGGTACCTTGGTATTCAAATGGCTTGGCTCCTGAATGAATCGGCTCCTGAACGTCGCAAAGCTGGAAGTGAGTGTTCCGGTTTGCAAACGTTTTTCGGAAGCTGAATGTCCGACGCGGCTTCCGATTGAGTGAAAGAAGCTCCTTCAGCCAATCGGAAGCCATGCCTTGGCTTTTGAACCATTTTGGGAGACTCCCGGAACAGATTAAGTTTGAGAACCAAGGTACCACTGTAGTTGTTTATTTCCTTGACATCTGATGGGAGGGCATTCCACAGGGCGGGCGCCACTACCGAGAATGCCCTCTGCCTGGTTCCCTGTAACCTCACTTCTCACAGTGAGGAAACTGCCAGAAGGCACAGTAAACAAGGACAGGCACATAGGCCAGCACTCTAAACGCTACACCACAGTGGCTCTCATTTGTATCCTATCCTTGCAATTAACAGCTGGTGTACACGGGGCTTTTTCTAGAAAAATAGCACTGCTATTCCATCCCCCTTTGCTATCTGCACAGTCCATGCCAGCCCTCTCCTCATTTTTGTGACAGAGAAATGCTCTACTCACCACTCTTCATGTATTCTATTGCCTTCTCTTTGATCTCAGGAGTCACTTGGTTCGTTTTCTCCAGGTATTGGAGGACAAAGATGTTGGGAACAAATTTTACCATGTTCTGCTCACCACAGCCAAAGGGCATTTGAAGTAGCTGGTCTATGTTTTCTAGCGCAGCACCCATAATGTCTCCTGGATGTTGACAAAACGATGGAAGAAAACGTTGTGAGCACTTTCCCCAAACTCCTGAAGAGAATCTAGGAAAAATCTCCTCTCTGCTAGCAACCTGCCACCTAAAATTCAGAGAACTATGTCCAATAAAATCTGCTTAGATAAGCCCAGCATCTGCACGGCCAGACTTGTCAAGAAGTTCCCATGCATCCAAGGCCTTGTCAGCATCAACATGGGCATCTGATCTGGAATATCCTGTAAAGCATGTTTTTGCCTTGGAAGTTGTGCGGGGGACATTACTTTTGTTTAACGTGCATATGGAGACAACAGGCTCTCCTCCAACACTATGCACTTTTATTTAAACATGTGGAGATTATGATCAAGACCCCGGGATTCCTGATTGTGCTGGCTCTCCTCTGACACTTAAAGGAATGTGCACAGGACAGAGCCTGCCCCCAGGCTGCCTCTCTCTCTTATCCATCTTTGTTCTGCGTGGTTTGAATATTGGTAATGGACTCTCATCTCTCATGTGGCCAGAGATGGGGCAGGAATGTGGGGGCAAATTTCCTCACCAATGCAGGAGACGGTAGCTCGGCCAGAGCCCTCCACAACAGCTCCAGGCAGCTTTAGAGAAACCTCATCATGAACTGGGTCCCCTGAAAGGAGATGAAGAACAGGAATTAATGCAGTTGAATACACTAACCAAGTTGGACTTGCACACAGCAAAGATGGGACTAGGAGCTTGCTAGCTCAGTGAGTCTGTTTTTAGCCACTGTGTTCTCTCAACTGTTTTTCCACCCCCTCTCCATCCCATCCCTACTCCCCTTGGCAAGCAGAGAGACAGAGTGTGTGTCTTTGGTCTCTTTTGCATCCCGCTACTGCCCTAGGGAAGAGACACAGCCCAATGACAAGCAGAGCAACACTTCGTCTTCTCTCCAACTTGCGTTCTCTGGGGCCCCATCACAAGCCAAGCTGCCCTGAGCAAGGGATGCAGCCTAAGCACACCTGAAGAGCAGAGGAAGGCATTGTGGGTCTCTTCTTCAAGGACGCCTTCTGGCTGTGGGAGGAAAAGAGGATGGGATGGTGAGTGGGGCTGCTCTCTCAGGGGAATAATCTCCTTCTACCTTCTCTGCCTTTCCCCTGCTCTGTGTAAGAGCTCTCGCAATTGCCAGGCCTTCCAACTGATCACAGCCCCTGGCTGACATCGCCTTAGACCTGGAAACAGGGAGGCGCTGCAAAAATCCAAAGGCCCTCTCCTGCCCAGCACCCAATGAATACAATTCTCCCCCCCCCTAAAAAAACCAACAACACCTGTTTAGGGAAGACCCAGAGTTCTGAATCAGTTGCTGGCACTTGATAGCTGTGAGCCAAAGTTGGACATCAGGGGCTGAAGGCCACATAGACACTGACCTTGACCAGCAGGGATTTGACCACTGTGTCTGACCGGCCTCGCGCAGGTGTGGTGGAGATCTTATTGCCACACAGCTCATGCGTCTCCTCTGCCTCGGCGGTGATCGAGAGATTGACGTGCCCTAGAGGAAGGCAAAATTGGCACAGACCCATGATGAGTGCCAGGAGCTCAGGGAGGGGAAGAGGCTGCTTGGAGGCCAGAGCCCCAGTCCAGCCCCACATCCGCCAACATGTCCACCATGCCTTCAGTCTGGAGACAGATGTAAGGGACAGAAGTCGGAGCATAGGGGGTTCTTGAATGGAGACGGACCCCCAACCTCTCCTTTGTAGCCCAGTCCCCAAATCTGCCCTGATGCACAGCTGCCATTAGCAGAAATTGGGGAGGGACACCATCTGGGATGGAGAGGAAACAAACCCATAGCACATGCAGCAGGGGGCATTGTTATTACTTTCCATATTCCACTTAATGCCTGCTTGGCTTCCAAACAGAAGAATCCGTTGGTTCTGCCAAGTGTCCTCAGATGACAAGGTCTTTGGGGAAGAAAGAGAGGGACCCTTGGCAGCCTCAACCCCACAAGTCTCCTCCCACCCACTCAGGCGCCTCAACCTCACCCAGCTGAGTCGCCGTCACGTTCCAGGAGAAGGTGTGGGCCTCCTCAGCACAGAGGCAGGTGCTGAACTGGCAGGCCGGGCATGGCTTCACGTCCACCTCCTGCGACTCCAGCAGCTTCACTCTCACCTGGGAGATGCAGCAAAATGACCCTCGTGAAGAGAGGCAGAGAGGCAGGCAGAGCAGCGAATCCAAGGCAAGAATTCAGAGAAGAGGCACGGGCAGCACAGGAGGTGGCCCTATGCTAGGAGTGAGATCCAGACCCCCATGCCTAGGGTGCACATTCCCACACTGGGAAGCTGAGTAGGGCGTAGACTGTTTCCAGTAAGACCTCAGTGAGTGGGGTCTCCTTGATTTTTGGGGGTACCATATTAACATGTGAGGAATGCCACCCCAGATCAGACTGGCGAGATTTATTCACTCAACAAAGTTTACAGGAAGGCCTCTAATCAAAAACCTTTGGGATTCGAGTGGGTGGCTTGGCTTCCTCACACAAACCCCTCATGGCTGTTGTTCTGTGAGCCCTTCATGAAGCTCTTCAGCTGGTGGCCTGAATTGCGGCTGTGGGGAAGAGGAAGGGGGCAGCAGATGGGCATCCCTAGGCCTTGGCAGCAGATCGGACTGGGTGGCTTTCTGGCCTCTTCTGGTCTCTTGCAGCAATAAGGCTGTGTTGCATATGGGGCTGTGCACACACCACACATTTAAAGCACACTCAGGGGTTGCTGTGGGAGGAAAACTGCAGGTTCCCAGGAGGGAATGTGCTCTATGGACCTCTTCTGCCATGAAGGGGATGGGGCTGCCTTGCGCTTCCTGTTGTCCACACTTCTGTGGCACATCCAAAGTGGAGCTTCTGTTTCCTCACCCACAGCAAGAAATGCAAGCTGTCCCCTCAACACTGAATGCAGAGTGGTGGGGGGAGGAGGGAAAAATTCTGACCCGTCCCTTGGGAGAGACAGGTGAGTGCAGGTGTAGGAAGGGCAAGGCCCTGGTGAAGTCCAGCCCCCCAGCCTCCATCTCTATCTTGTGGGGTTCCCCCCATCCCTTTCTTTCTGGATACACATATAAGGGAAGCTTGTTTGCTTGTTCTCAATGGTCACTAACCTGGATACATTCCTTCATGTAATTGAAGACAGTGGACTTTAGCAGCAAGGTCTCCCCACGGACCACAGAATACGGCAGGGTCATATCCACAAAAAATGGCTGGAAGACCCGGAACCTGGCTTGCTGGGCGAGTCCGAAGCCAATGTCGGCCACACAGAAGGCATCAGCGTTCCACTCCGTGATCGTGTCTGGAGCGGTGACTGGGTAAGTTGCTTTCCCCTCCTCGCTGAAGAACAGGAAGAGAGGTCACTCCCTCAGTGACAAGAAAATTGAGTTGTTCACTGCTAAGGCAAAACCAATATCACCAGAATATAAGTTTATCAGGTCAGAGGAGCACACCTCCGAGTATGAGTTTAACCAAGCCTCTAGTTCTGTGCTAGGTCTCAGTCAGAACAGAGGAATTTGGAGATGGCAGTATAGGAGTTTATACTCTCTGCCACTGGTGTTTGTGAAAATGTTGTGGGCCTCAAGAAAAGAGAAACCTTCTTCAGGATATATTACAGAGAGGTCTGCACTCCTGCTGTTGGTAAAGGTAAAGGTAAAGGGACCCCTGACCATTAGGTCCAGTCATGGCCAACTCTGGGGTTGCGGAGCTCATCTCACTTTATTGGCCGAGGGAGCCGGCGTGCAGCTTCCGGGTCATGTGGCCAGCATGACTAAGCCACTTCTGGTGAACCAGAGCAGCGCATGGAAACGCCGTTTATCTTCCTGCTGGAGCGGTGCCTATTCATCTCCTTGCACTTTGACATGCTTTCGAACTGCTAGGTTGGCAGGAGCAGGGACCGAGCAACGGGAGCTCACCCCATCGCGGGGATTCAAACCGCCGACCTTCTGATCGGCAAGCCCTAGGCTCTGTGGTTTAACCCACAGCGCCACCCACGTCCCCCCCGCTGTTGGTACAAACTTGCAATCAGTGGGAAGAACAGAACAGTTGCCTATTTATGTGGAATTTTCCACTTTACTAGAGTTCCCCCCCCCCGCCCCCTGTGCTCCCGTAGAGCAAGTATATACTGCATGATAATGAGCAGTATAATGACACCATTCGAGCCCCACAAAATTACAAATGCTCACCTCTGGTTCGTAAGTGATATAAGCATAAACTTCTGGCACTGGGCAGGGTTTCAGAGAAACATTAGAAAGATGCATTTTTGAAATTATTATATAAAACGCCAATGTACAATACAAAATACAGCCTTAAGATAATGCCAGCTGAGTGGAAGAAGAAGAAGAGCAAAATGTCAAATCGGAGCAAACATCAAGCCTCAGAAAACCTAAATAGATGTTTGTTGCACTTCAACTTTAAAGACCAAGTTTTTGGTGAAAAAAGCTCCAGAGCAACAAAACCAAACAAAAGCAAAGGCTTGTACAAGGAACTTTAGATTGTGGGTCTGTGCCTGGGAAGCATGGAGCAAAAGGTGAGCGCTAAATGAGTGATGGCCAAGCAAGATACTTCTTGTTCCTACATGGCATTTGGTTCCCGCCCCAGCAGAGTTTTACTTACTTGACAGGGACCAGAGCCCAAACCCAAGTCTCTGGAAAGTACGTCCTCGGTTTGGCTTCCTCTGCTTTCCCAGGGACCGAAGAAAAAGCCTCAGGTACCACTTCACTCCTGGAAGCAACATTAGGCGCACCCGGTGCAGTGCCACCTAGTCCTACTCCTTTGCAGAAATCAAAGAAGCAGAAATCAAAGACGGTCAAGCAGGAGAGAACTGGGAATGGAAATCCACCCCATCCTGGAATCTGAAGGTAATATAATAGGGCAATCATTTCCCATGATAAATATTTGCAAATTCCTCCCATGATTATTTCTGTTCACAAATTTTGCATGCTTGCGCTTCTGCAATGCTTCAAAAACTTATACAGCTCTTTAAAAGCATGATCTGTCTCTAGCCAAGGGTTCAATAAAAGGAAAGGTAGATAAAAAGGATGAGTCTTGTTATATCCCACCCTGCCAAAGGGAGGCTCCAGTTGAGAAACTGTCAAATTATGATTGTGATTCTCACCTAAGCCATAGCGAACAGGTGTCATTCCTGGCAATCCACAGGACACTGGCTTCTTAATTTTGGTGTTGGTTATAACTTTCATATTTAATTGCTGTAAAAATCAAAGAGAAAAGTGAGGGATGGCATATGAGAGCAACATGAAATGAAAGAAAAATTCTATGAGGCAAGGTCATTTGAATCTCTGGCAGGGAAATCATTGCAAAATGCTCTGCGTTCCAATAATGGATGTGTACAAGGTTTGACCCACAATTCCACAGAAATGATTTGAGACTCACACGCTGCATATTACGTTGTGTTACAACATTAATCTCTGCTCAGGTGTCAATCAAGGGAAATAGAGGAGGAGATGAGGTTTATCTGAAAGCTCATTTGGCTCTCATCAAGATCAGCTAGGCAATATTTTTGGCCCTGTTGGCTTCATATCTTTGCCTCAAGGAAAACGATTTCTCTGAAGACTCTGAAATTGACATTTTTAGGTCACTACTTTATATTCCCACGTTACAAGAATGCACATATAGACCACAAAACAGAAGCCCACTCCTCTTTTAAGATTACAAAATGTAGCTCCAGATTTATAGGCACACACAGGCACACATTTCACAGAAACACACTGGTGTGTTATGCTTCCCACTTCATGTGCATTGTATCATGTCCCCCCCCCCTTGTTCTTTGTGGAACACTATTTATTTATTTATTTATATTTGAATGGCCTATAGACCACTTTTCAGGCAAGCTGCCTCTCAAATTCATAAAATCCAACAGGAAAGGCAGTTGAAAAATTAAAACATCCAGTTCTATCCTGCGAACATACAAACCAACAAAATACCGTATTTTTTGCTCTATAAGACTCACTTTTTCCCTCCTAAAAAGTAAGGGGAAATGTGTGTGTGTGTCTTATGGAATGAATGCGGGCTGCGCAGCTATCCCAGAAGCCAGAACAGCAAGAGGGATTGCTGCTTTCGCTGCGCAGCGATCCCTCTTGTTCTGGCTTCTGAGATTCAGAATATTTTTTTTTCTTGTTTTCCTCCTCCAAAAACTAGGTGCGCCTTATGGTCTGGTGCGTCAGCCATCACCACAACAGCCACCACTGATAATCCAGATTAGCTTCCCAAATTCATGATAAAAAGGGTCATTAATGCTTGCCTGATCTCACTTAGAAACATATTCCATAATTGTGGAGCCACTTCTGAAAAGGCCCTGTTGTGTGTGTCCATCAGCCTAATTATTTGCACAGACTGGCAACTCAAGAAATCTCCAAATAGGATCTTAAAGTATGGGCAGATTGTAACGGGTGCAGGCAGTCCTTAAGAGAACCTGGTCCTCAACCATTAATGGGTTTTAAGGTTATAACCAGGACTTTGAACTTGGCCTGGAAATGCCTTAGTGCAGGGGTCAGCAACCTTTTTTAGCCGTGGGCCAGTCCACCGTCCCTCAGACCATGTGGTGGGCCAGACTATATTTTTGGGGGGGAAATGAACGAATTCCTATGCCCCACAAATAACCCAGAGATGCATTTTAAATAAAAGCACACATTCTGCTCATGTAAAAACACCAGGCAGGCCTCACAAATAACCCAGAGATAGATTTTAAATAAAAGGACACATTCTATTCATGTAAAAACTCATGTAAAAACACGCTGATCCGTGGGCCGGATTGAGAAGGCGATTGGGCCACATCCGGCTCACAGGCCTTAGGTTGCCTACCCCTGCCTTAGTGGCACAATATTCAGCCACTCAGCCTTAACTAGTAGTCAGGCGGTTGCATTCTGCCATAGTTGAGGTTTCTAAACCATCTTCAAAATAAGAGTGCACTGCACTTGTCTAGCCTGGAAGTCACTAGTGCATGGACAACAATTGTAAATTTGGTGCTCTCCAAATAGGGTTACAGCTAGCATAACAGATGACGCTGGTAATAAGGCATCCCTGCCCAACACCATCATATAAGCTTTCCCAAGTAGCACCAACAGCACCTTAGTCTCGTCAAGACTAAGTTCCAATTGTTTACGCTTTTCCAACCTTGTACAGTCTCCAAACACTGATTCATAATTTCAACAGCCCTCCTGGGACAATCAGGTGGAAACTGGGTTCCATCTACATATTAATGACACTTCAGCCCAAACCTCCAAATGACTTCTCATGTGGATACTGATAAGCTTGGGCAATAGAACAGAACCCCAAGAAATCCCATTGGAATGGAAATCCCCCAGTGCCATTTTCTGAGACCAATTCTCCAAGAAGAACTGGAGCTGCTGTAGACTGGACAAGTGGTCCAGAAGGATACCATGGTTGATAGTACTGAAAGTTGCTGAAAGATCCAAGAGAAGCAGGAAAAATCCTTTTCAGTTCCAAAACTGAGTCTGAAGCCAGACTGGAAATAAGTCTTCAGGAGGACTTCTGAAGTTCACATCCCTGCCCAGTTCTGGCAGATTTCACTAGCCAAGAAGGGCAAGGATCAGCTGGTAGGCTTCATCCCTTCAAGGAAACTATCTACATTCTCAGCATGCACAAGCAGAAAGCATGACAAACAACATGCTTTCAAGCAACATGACAAGATGATGCGTTAGCCTCAACCATCTCCGTCTCTGTTACAATTATATGGCATCCAGATTATATGACATACCTGCAAAATGCAAGCTTTAGAGAGTTCCTGACTCACTGAGTTCTCTTTGCTCCTCAGTTGTTGTTGCGCTGAGCTTATCTATAGATTGGTTTAGTGTGTCATCTGAATCTGGGCTCGTAGTTTAACAGTCCCAGAAAAACCATGAGCTGTAAATCACAGGACAAACCTTGGAAGCTCCTCCTTATTTAATGATCCTGGGAACCATCACAATGTATGCCATTGACAACCCAAAACAAAGAAGGTTTCAGAGAAGACTGGATTAGGAACAGATGGTACTCACTTTGAACAGGCTGTAGGCATCGGCCTGGGTTTGGAACCAGGGGGCCATAATGGACCGTTTTGTCTTTAGATGCTCAGAAGGTAGACAAGGATATGGCTCAAAGTCTTCCAGGTCAAAGTAAAACCCTCTGGAGCCAGTCAGACTAGACTCAATATGTTGATACACCTGAAAGCAGAGATTTCTGGATTGAGTTTGAGCTGACCAGTTAACAAGTCCCACAGTTGATATGAACATTTTTTATCCCAAAATGCATAACCTTGAATTTCATTCCATCTTACTCCAGGTCACGCCCATTTAATTTCATTCTTGGGATTAAGATGTGGTATCTGCTGTGTTTATATTCATTCTGGTACCCCTATTAACTACAGAGGTACTTATCTCCACAAAATTGTATTTGAGTTGACAAGTGTTCTTCCTGTACTATAATGTAGCCTGCCTCTTTTTTTAGGTCAATGGTAGAGGAGGAATAATACTGGAATTAGAATTATTATTATTTTTAAAAAATGTAATTTTTAATAAATTTCTGTTTTACAATTTAAAAAACTCATTTAAACAATCTTAAAATATTAATGACTTCCCTTCTTCTCTTTCTATTGATCATTTTGCATATCATAAATCCCTGCACAGTTTACAAAAACTAAACCGTTTAGTATTCCATTATTGCATCCATCAAAACTTATCAGGCCTTATCAGAGGCAATAATAGTGGAATTGATTGAGCCTAAGTGGGAAGGATGAGCTCTCTTACTTCCTCTGGGGTCAGTGTTGCATTTCCCTTCAGCGCGACGCTTTTGTCCACAGCACGGAGAGAGCACAGTGCGCCAGGGGCAGCTTCGATTTGCAGGTTGACCTTTGCCCCTGGAAGTTCCTCTGTCTCAGAGAAGCCCAGAGTCACCTGTAGATGGAGACAGATTATCAGATGGAAAACCTGAACTGGAAAGCAATAATTTAGAACACCAAAGAGAGAAAAGGTGCAGAGGGAAGACTACTATTTTTCTCCTCTCATTCACTCAGTTTTTATATAGAATCTAGATCAGCCTGGTGCCCTCCTTCCAGATGTTTTTGACTACAGCTCACATCAGCCCCAGGCATTTGGAGGGCAGCAGGTTGCACTGACCGATCTAGATGATGTTTACTGTGAACACTGCATTCCTTTGCATTTATGTTTCCCCACTATTGTCACGTCATCTAGGTTTTTTTTTACTTTTACTTTTAAAGATTTAAAATTTATTTATTCAGGTGTGAAACACACTATTATTTCAGAGGGGTGATCTGTAACGTTGCTGGCGATTATGTGTTACCCTACGTCTTCAACTCCAGTGAAACCCAGCCTAACCATGATCAACAGCATTACAGTCATATCTTGGAAGTCAAATGGAATCCATTCCGGAAGTCCGTTCGACTTCCAAAACGTTCAAAAACCAAAGTGTGGCTTCTGATTGGCTGCAGGAAGCTCCTGCAGCGAATCGGAAGCCACAGAAGCCCCATTGGATGTTCGGCTTCCAAAAATAGTTCGCCAACCGGAACAGTCACTTTTGGGTTTGCGACGTTGGGGAGCCAAAACGTTCGAGAACTAAGCTGTTCGAAAACCAAGGTATGGCTGTACTTAATTTAGGAAGTGTGTGTGTGTGTGTGTGTGTGTGTGTGTGTGAAGTTAATATGTGTGTGTGTGTGTGTGTGAAGTTAATCCAGAGATTGTAAGTTTTACCATGTCTGGGAACCGAAGTGCGGAACAATCCTTGTTCATTTTGTCAGTGCTTAAAATACAGTGGTACCTTGGGTTACATACGCTTCAGGTTACAGACTCCGCTAACCCAGAAATAGTGCTTCAGGTTAAGAACTTTGCTTCAGGATGAGAACAGAAATCGTGTTCCAGCGGCGCAGCAGCAGCGGGAGGCCCCATTAGCTAAAGTGGTGCTTCAGGTTAAGAACAGTTTCAGGTTAAGTACGGACCTCCGGAACGAATTAAGTACTTAACCTGAGGTACCACTGTACATAAAACAATGCTCCAGTGTACTGCTGGATTGTTCCACATACATTGATTGCTTTATTTTTAAACGCTGCATCCCATAGAACTCTGTGCATTTCCTATTTGGAATCCACCTTGCAAACACCACCCCAGTGTATTCCTTTCCTTCTTTCTTACAGTGGCAAAGCAGTAGCTGGATGCTCAGAGAATGAGCTAACAATAGAGGCAGAGCAACAGAAGTGGCCAATTGTTGGCCAGAATGGAGCTAGTCAAGGATAGGAGTGGAAGAGGATAAGAAGAGAAGAGTTTGGATTTGATATCCCGCTTTATCACTACCTGAAGGCGTCTCAAAGTGGCTCACATTCTCCTTTCCCTTCCTCCCCCACAACAAACACTCTGTGAGGTGAGTGGGGCTGAGAGACTTCAGAGAAGTGTGACTAGCCCAAGGTCACCCAGCAGCTGTATGTGGAGGAGCGGAGATGCGAACCCGGTTCATCAGGTTACGAGTTTACCGCTCTTAACCACTACACCACACTGGAGTGGACTGGAGAGAAGGTGGCGGCAGCTGAGTTTGCGGCTCCTGGGACTCTCCTGCCCTTTCCCCCATCTTACCCTGCTCTCTCCAGCCACAGCGATGGACAATGCTCAGGTCACGCTGAGCAGGACTAGCAAAGCACTACAGTATAGCCATGCTCCCCATGCTACACCACTGTACGTCACGCACTATTTTAATGCTTGCCAATGTGTGTGTGTGATTTAAACCATCCTAGTGAGAAAGCAAAATGGGTGCAAATATGGAGAGTGATGGCTCGATCACAGAACTTTCAGCCCATCTGCCTTGAGCCACACATATGCATAATATATATATATATAAATAAAAAATTGATCAGTAGCACCTTAGAGACCAATTAAGTTTGTCCTTGGCATCTGAAGAAGTGTGCATGCACATGAAAGCTTATACAAAGAACAAACTTAGTTGGTCCCTAAGGTGTTACTGGACAATTTTTTAATTTTTAAAAATATATTTTGACTGCGTCAGACCAACACGGCTACCTACCTGAATCTATATGCATAATATGTGCTCCCTTCTTGCCCTGTGTGCCACTTTGCTGTCCCAGGAACTATATGTACTAACCTTGTGTTTGAAGCACTTCTCTATTCTGAAATTATCCACGTCAGCCGCCACCTCGCCATCCAGAAACACAGCGTACAGAAGAAGTCTGACTGTGGGAGCCAGGTCAGAGCTCGTAGACAAGGTGAGGGAGAAGGTTCCTTTCAGAGCTGGGTCAGGGGGAAGGGAGAATGGTGGGAAAGGAAAGAGAAGTAGAGCAACCATGTCTTACAGCATGAGAAAAAACATCCCTGTGAATCTCACTTCTGCCAGATGGTGGTAAAGCTAAGAAAATCAAGGAGACCCACCCCAAACGCAGCCAGCCCACCAGCGCATTGCAGGAGTATTCCAACCCTCATGTCTTCAACCTAATAACTGGTTTATTGCCAAGAAGAGATTCCGTTCTGCACCACGTGGTGAGTTCTAAAATAAACCCGTTTCCATCTGTTTAGGTCCGCCTAGCAGTCCACTTTGGTAATTCACCTTACCTGAAGACACTGACTGTCGATCTGATAGTAAAGGTAAAGGGACCCCTGACCATTAGGTCCAGTCGTGATCGACTCTGGGGTTGCGGTGCTCATATTGCTTTATTGGCCGAGGGGGCCAGTGTACAGCTTCCGGGTCATGTGGCCAGCATGACTAAGCTGCTTCTGGCAAACCAGAGCAGCGCACAGAAACACCGTTTACCTTCCCGCCGGAGTGGTACCTATTTATCTACTTGCACTTTGACGTGCTTTTGAACTGCTAGGTTGGCAGGAGCAGGGATTCGAACCGCTGACCTTCTGATTGGCAAGTCCTAGGCTCTGTGGTTTAACCCACAACTGCTTAAAAACAAAACCTTTAGAATGAGATCTTTGCCAAGTGAAAAGCCTCAGGAATCGCTCCTAAGGTTTAATTCTGCTCAGTGTCAGGAAGTTATGTCTAGCACTGTACATGCTCTCCAAGCTGGGGCTGCACCCCTGCTTGTGTCGCTTCACTCACCAACTCTGCACCAAAGCCCAACCCTCTCACCAAACCTACTGCCTCTTACACCTTGCCAAACACACTTCCTCTCCTCACACAACCCCAAAACTACCAACCCCTCCTCTATACCTTGCAAAATCCACCCACCCCCTCTCCTGAGAACTTGCCAAACCACCCCTTCCTATTACCTTTAGAGCTATTCCAGCGCCCCTGGAATGCCCACTTCTGTCTCCCGCCTCTGTTTCTCTTCTCATACTCCAAAGCTGCTAAGATCGCTCAGCAGCTTTCAGAAGGCTGTGATCACACTGCAGTTTGCAATGCCACCTATTGGAAGCCAAGCAAACTGCTGCGTGATGACAGTCGTACCTATTTATGATATGTAAACACACACATACGGAGGGACAATTAAAATAGGGAGATTATTTGGGATTTTTCATGTCAGTTCAGATCTTCTGGTGTATAATTGTAATGGGCCAAAGAAGAAAGCATAACATTAGGACTCAGTTCAGACATCAACTCTATGTTTTGTGCTATTGTTTTACTAGATCTCATGCTGCTGGCAATGACTGTTTCTGATATGATACCTTAATTTGAAATTTTATAGTATTTTTAGCATGGTGTTATTATTTTATTCTGCTCTTATCATAGGTTGCCTTGCAGATCTGAAATGGCCTGTTTGAAAGGTGGGTTTGAAATTGAATAAATAATAACTGAAAGAAACACCAGACCAGGCAGATCAGGCGCACCAAGCATGTTCATCTTGATAACGCATTGTGCTTCCCATGAGGCTTATTTGATGGAACAGCATAGTTCTCCCACTTACTCTCATCCTGGCCAATTGGCACCTGCTTCTTTCCACTGAAGGCAATCTTCCCTTTGGACACAATCTGCAGGGAGACAATATGTTAGGCCAGGGACAAAAGCAAGAGCCAGCCCTCACCTCTTTGGCACTAGAGATACAGAAAAAGGGAGAGGGGAGTGAGACAGGGAAAGACTAGAGTCATGTATTTTGCTGTAGGAAGACCATAGACTAGCAGTGAGATTTTGAGATATCTTGAGTTCTGAGGGAGAGAAATATGCGGTCACAGTACAGATACTATGGCAGTTGCGTGTCTGATATAGGTGTCTGAAAAGACATTTGTCTTATTCACACAATGCATTTTTAGAGAGAACACCCGAGGGCCAAATTACTTGTAGCCCAGGAGATATGGGATCAGGATCTCCCAATTTTCTAAGAAGAGGAGGAGGAGGAGGAGAGCACCAGATCAGAGAGGCAGGGAATACTGATAACTATATATTTTCACCAGTATGGCAAATGCAGCTGTGGAAGAAGAAAAATGCTAATTGGGAGAACGGTGCACTGATTGGGGAAACCTCTGTCCCAGCGCCTTAGTCCTGACACACACCCTTTCCACACCATGAATGGCATTCATTCTATTTTATTGCTTTCAGAGCACACACAATGTTATTTCTGAAGCGCCCCTGCAGAGCTTAGATGGAAGTGAGGTAGTCAAGGAAGAAGTAAGAGAGTTGTAGCAAGACCCAGAGGACAGAAGATGAATGCTGACAGGAATCAACTGGGTCTGGAGGAGAGAACAGAGCTGACCTGGGATGGTCACACGAGCTTTTTCCTCGGCAGCATCTCTGTGTCTGGCAAGCTCCCTGTTTCTTGTTATTGTGATTTTGAAACCCCTATATACTAGGTGTGCGTGCTAAGAGCAAAATGCCTTTGCTTCTGAAAAGCAACGGGCCTGTTCATATTATACTGATAACACTGATATCAGCCTTACAATGTTTAAAAAAGTAACCACAACAAATACTCTTAGACAGGGGTCAGCAAGGTTTACCTCACCTGGGCCGCTTCACTCCCGCAGAGATCGCTCCGGGGGCTGGATCGCATCTGCGCAGACGCAATTTCCAGCGCCGGGGAAGCGAGTCCCCACTCTGCACTGCACTGGTTTAGCACAGCACGCAGGGACTCGTCGAGCGGGCGGCTTGGTTCAGGGGCAGCTCGTGGGCTGTTTAAATGACCCCCGTGGGCCGCTTGTGGCCCATGGGCAGCAGGTTGCCGACCCCTGCTCTTAGATCTCTCTTTTACCATTTAATTTAACCTCAGGTTAGTGGCATCAAACCTTGCCCACTTCCCCTTAATCGTACCTGTCTGCCCCTCCCTAACACACACACATACACACAGCACTTATGGCACTTGACACTTGACACTTTCATATTTGGATGTTCTGGAAAATATATGCAGGTTTAAACTTCACACATGATATTAAAGGTAAAGGTAAACAGACCCCTGACCATTAGGTCCAGTCGTGGCCGACTCTGGGGTTGCGGTGCTCATCTTGCTATATTAGCCGAGGGAGCCGGTGTACAGCTTCCGGGTCATGTGGCCAGCATGACTAAGCCGCTTCTGGCGAACCAGAGCAGCGCACAGAAATGCCGTTTACCTTCCCGCTGGAGCGATACCTATTTATCTACTTGCACTTTGACGTGCTTTCGAATTGCTAGGTTGGCAGGAGCAGGGACAGAGCAATGGGAGCTCATCCCGTCACGGGGATTCAAACCACTGACCTTCTGATCGGCAAGTCCTAGGCTCTGTGGTTTAACCCACAGCGCCACCCACATCCCTTACACATGATATTCAATCTGATGCAAATCAAGGGCCACTCCAGCCCAGTAGTATTTTATTGGGGGTGTATTCCTCAGTGTGTTCTTGACACAGTAATGGTGTGTTAAGGATGGTGGATTTATTCTGTTTAGTTTGTTCTGCAATGCTTCCACATTATTGCTGTCTGGAGGGGCTATAGCACAGCAAAAGAACAAACATAAACCCGAACACTGGTGGTATATAAAGTTACGGGGTTTCAGCAGGAAGTTACAGGATGTGCACTGATTGGAAGTGAAGTGGTGTGACTACCCCAAAACTTTTGCAAGTGCAAACAGTATTGGAAATGGGATTGCTTGCAGCCGCCCAAATAGGATCATGAGCATAAATGGTCATGAATGTGCAGTAAAGAGGATGTCTTATTTCTGCCCCTCCCCAAGTTTTCTACTTCTTTCAGGTCATTATTAGTGGCAAAGTGCCCCATCAACATAAGTCTGAGAAAAATCTCTGCTTGAGGAAAAGCTCTTTTTAGCAGTTTTTGTGGGATGTGAAACACAAGAGCAGTCAAGTACAACATCCCTAGAGTGGACATAAAAAGGGGAAGTCTGGACCAGCCAGTTGGAACTTCCTGTTTCCTCCTAGGCTGGGACAGACTTCCTCTACATGTGACCAGAGGTGGGCATGGCCTCACCTATGCAGGTAAAAAAATACCTCAGCGGAGGCTGCCATCTCTCTGACTACATTCGTCGAAGAAGCAACATCTGCTTATCCTAAGGTGCTCTCTTGGCTTCCAGCCAAGAGAGGACAAAGGAGCTGTCTCTTTATGGGATAGATTCCAGGTATATTACTTTTGTAACTTAAGTCTGCCTTCTGGGATCCATCTGTGAACAGAATGAGTGAGTGAGTAAACTCTTTTTATACTTTTATAGAAGATTGTGTCGTGTCTATCTTTTTATGAGGGACTAAAGGGGAAATTACCAAGGATAGTTATTTCAGAAGCTTTAGCAAGTCTGAGCAAACGCATCCGCTGTGCAAGTTTAAAAGGGGGAATGTTACTCTGCTAAATTGTAGAAATTGTTAACACAAGTTGGAAAGGATATAATCAAACAATATATCCTCTCCTGCATCCCTGAACATTCCCACAGTTTTCCTGTTAGTCTTCTGTTTTCTCTCTCTCTGCTGAGATTCTTTCCCACCTTCTTTAATATTGTCTCTTCTTCAAGCTTGCATTTTTCTTCTTCTTCTTCCTTTTTTTCTTTCCCTCCCCCCCCCCCGTACAGCATTTGCTTCTCTTTCTCATATTGCTCCAGGCGTTTCCACCAATTGCTAGACACTCACCAAGTAATAGAAATCTACGTGGTCGGCTTCCGGGCCCAGCTCTTTCCGATCAAGGATGTAATCCACCAGCACTTCCTGGTCTTTTCCACAGGGCAGCTCTTCCTCCACATGCTGGATCTCGAGGAAACTGTTGCTTTCTGAGTAGAAGGGCATCAGCCATACGAAAGCTTCATTCCGTATTGTCTCCAGGAAGTCAAAGGAAATGGGCTCAGTCTGCTTTAAAATAGTGTACCTGCCCTAGAAAGCAAAAAGGGACAGGAGGCGTCAGAAACAAACAATAGGTCAAAGGTTTTTGGTTGGTGACTGAAAGAACCAGATGCACGTCAGAGGTTAAAATACAAAAGAAATTGGAAAGTTAATTGTACTGATGAGTTGTCAATGATGACATAGGTTAATGATAAAAGGAAAGTGTATTAAGGCTCATTTGCAAAAGTTCCAGCAGGCACTTGCATAGGATAAATAAGCAAAAGTGAAAAGGAACAAAAGAAGCCCTTTATTTGTTATTTCAAATTATACGCTGCTAGCAACAACAACAACAAAATAATTTTTCATACACACCCACACACCCACACCCACACCCACACACACACCCATAATAAGGTAACAGAGCTTGGATACAAACCAACCATGATAACACCCCAATCCATGCTAAACATCTTAAGAAAACCACAAACTTACAAATTTAGAAGGGGCAAAGCTGTGAAAGGGTGTGGCTCTGCGCTTCTGAATTTGCCACTACAATGCTGCTCCTTTGCCAATATGCTCATGACTCACCCGTAGAGAAACCGTATCTTTCCATTCTGTTGTGTCCAAGGAGAAAGCAACTTCGCCATTCTCATCTGTGCGGTAAGGAAGGTTTGTCTCCACGTCATTGACATCGACAGTAAGATAGACCGTCTCATTCTTGAAGGGTACGTCGTTGATGGTGCATTTCATCTGCAAGAACAAACTGGGAATTAATGCCATGTTAGTCTCCTCTGATGGCAATTAGGTGGGCTATAAGAAGTAACTGGATTTACTGAAACAACTTTCCTCTTTCTTAAATTGCACGAAATATAAAAATAATTTGTTGAAAGAGGCTCTTTCAAGTAAAGTTGAATTTAATATATGATTAAGTCTGCAGTCCTGTATGCTGTTTCCGGGACGTCAGTCCCATTTAACTCAGTGAGGGTGACCTCCAAGCAGAGAGATTTTTGCACACTAGGAGGGTCTATGAACTAGGTATGCATGCACACCAAAGGCACAAATCTCTTCACAGAAACAAAAGAGTGGTCTTAGTTCAGAACATTTTCTATAATTTACATCTGACAAATGCTCCTAAAATACATGGCTTTTGGTCATGTAAGCTTGAATATAGAAATTAGCATTTAAACCTCGCTGGACACCCTCCCAGCTGAAATATTTGTTTATTTCCTTATCTCTTTGCTGCCCCCACTCTTCAAACCTTGAGCATCACCTTTAAAAACATCCTCTCCCCAACCTTCCAATCAGATATTGAGCTATTTTACGCGACTGAGCTGTCTCATCAGCTGTCTGGCTGAGAGAGAGAGATTGGGCAAAGCTGTATTTAGGACCTCACCTTTCCAGTGTATGGAAATCCATGCTTATAGAATGGATTGAGATTTAGGAACTGCACGTTTGCTACTCTGGCGACAACAGAGAAGCCACCGGTTCCTGCGACTTTCACTCCTGAAAAAGAGAGGTGACATCCGGACTCAGCGCAGCTGTGGGAAGTGTGTCACACACACACACACACACACACACACACACACACACACACCAGGGAGGAGTAGCAGCATTGTATATAAAGGATATGTACACTTGTGAAGAAATCTATGGCCTGGAGCATGAAAAGCAGTTTGACAGTATACGGGTAAAAATTGTAGGAGAGAGAAACAACAGTGACCTTACTGTCACTGTTCTTGCAGGAGGAGACTGAGAGGAGATATGATGGCCATCTTCAAATACAGTGGTACCTTGGGTTAAGAACTTAATTCGTTCTGGAGGTCTGTTCTTAACCTGAAACTGTTCTTAACCTGAGGTACCGCTTTAGCTAATGGGGCTTCCCGCCGCCGCTGCATCTTCCTGCCGGAGCGGTACCTATTTATCTACTTGCACTTTGATGCGCTTTCAAACTGCTAGGTTGGCAGGAGCTGGGACCGAGCAACAGGAGCTCACCCCGTCGCGGGGATTCGAACTGCCAACCTTCTGATTGGCAAGTCCTAGGCTCTGTGGTTTAACCCACAGCGCCACCCGCATCCCAAAGGAAGGTTACTAAACATCAAAACCTCTATTTCCCCATTTCTGTACCTGTTCCTTCTTCTTCAAATTCCGCAGAAAGCTGAACAAAATCCGTATAGCCTCTCTCAGGCAGCTTTAAATCGGTTGCATTAATTGTGAAAGAAACATAACCATTCTTGTCTGTCTGAGGAAACAGAGATGAAAAATTATATTTGGAGGCAAAGGCAGCTGGTTAAGGACTTTCATTTTAGAGCCAAGGGCAGCAGAATGGCATTTCAGGGCAGGAGTATAGCCCCTTGTCTCAGCCCTTCAGTTAGCTTACCTGGCCTGTGTAGTGCATTTGAATTGCATCGAGTTGTCTCACTGGCGTATCATAAAAAAAGTAAAATGATGTGTCTCGAGTTACATGTAGATCTACTTTCCCATGAACGAGCTTCCCATATGTGTACCTGCAGCAGAAGGTGAGGGAACAGTATCATGAAGTAAACCCCCTAAAGTAAACAGTCAGCTTTAATTTGTCGGGGTGGTGGTGGTGGAAATGGAGCTGGTAGCACCAAAAAAACAGAGAGACTTCTTGATTGAACAGTTTATGGTAGGAAAATCACTTTAGGGTGTGTTGTTCACATTACTGCCTTTGAGCACAGCAAAGTTGCAGTTCTCCAGCACTTTCCTCCCAGCTGTTCACACGCCTCAAACAGTGTGAGATTTGTTTCTGCTTGTGTAACACACTATGGACATTGACAGGGCAGGGATGTCTTTATCCCATGGGTAGGCAAACCAAGGGCTGCGGGCCAGATCAGGCCCAATTGCCTTTTGGATCCGGCCCGTGGACGGTCCAGGAATCGCCATGTGGATTGCCAGCACGGGCGTTCTCTCCCTCTCCCTCTCCGGCGCGGCAACAGCGGCGCTTCCTCCCTCCCTCCTCCTGGCTTCTGCCTGCCCTGTATAGAGGAGGAAGGGGCACAAAACAAATGACATACCGTGAAAATCCCTGAAACGAGAAGTAATTGACTAGAAATATTGTCTTATGGAAATAAACTAAATAATAAAATCAAAAAGTTTAAGGGAAAAAATAGAAGGAAGTGTACAATTGATGAGCTTTCCTGCTTTGGCTCATCTTCCTTTTTTTTCTTTTTTTCTTTCCTTTTTTTTCTTTTCTTTTCTATTTCCCATAGTAGCTTATGTTCTGTGTCATGTACTTCGATATTTTTTGTAGTTTTTGTAGTTTTTTTTCATTACTATAAAGGAATTTTCCTTTGTAATTTTTGGTTGTTTATATTTATATGTACCTGTTTAAGCAAAATAAAAGCTATTTAAAAAAAAATAGAAAAAAATAGAAAAACCTAAAATTGAACAAAGCCTTAATGGGATCGATTTCTAGTCTATTACTTCTCATTTCAGGGATTTTCATGGTATTTCATTTGTTTTGTGCAATTTCTCGGTTCCATGACTGTCTTTTTTCTACTAGAGGAGGAAGGGGGCTGGGCTTTGTTGGTGCCAGCAGCAGCAGCGCTCGAGCAGCTGCCATTTTAAGCAGCCCCTCTCCAAAGCCCTTTTGCACACCGCTCATCGTCCCTCCGCCATCGCCACCGCCAGCCCCTGTCGCTCACAAGACACAGGTAAGCAGCCACCGGGGCTCGTGGTGCCCTTCCATCATTTTTTGTCCAACATATAGTCTGGCCCCCCACAAGGTCTGAGGGACAGTGGACTGGACCCCTGCTGAAAAAGTTTGCTGATCCCTGCTTTATCCCTATAAAAAGGTGTTTTCATGTCTTGGCTACAGATGAGCTAGGAAAGGCTTCAGGGTTTCCAAGCTGAGTTGAGAAACAACACATCAGCCATTTTATCACAGCAAAGCTCATGCATTTTGGATACGGTAAATGAAAGTGTGGACCAGCCTTAGGGAGAGATTTCCCCCCGTGAATTCACACTGAAGGAAAGAACACCTGATCCATAGGAGCCGATTCCCTGGGGCCTTGGGTGTCTGAGCACCCACAAAATTCCCCATGAAGGGCCGGGCACCCACAAATTTTGGTGCCAGGGCCATGCACGCTGCATGGCACCCACAGCCCTGGGCACCCACAGTCGTGGGGCCAAGCTGGAACTCCTGACCCGATCCCACGCTGTCTGAGAAAAGACTGGAGGCAGGCATGCCAGAACAATCCTTTTATACCACCCAGAGACTTTCTGAAGGGAATGAAAATTTCACTAGTCGTTATAGCTTTTCGACTCCACAGTTGCGGCAGAATCATTCCCAATAATGTTTCACATGCAGATGCAAAGATTACTTGATGGCCTGTTGTGGAGAAATGCAAGAAATGTGGAAAGTATGTGTATGAGGGAGCAGGGAGGGAAGAAGTGGTGCTTGACTTTTTCTGCAAAGTGACAGGAAAGGAAAAGAAGCTTTCTGGACAGACAGACAAACAAAAATCTAGACCATAATTGATAGGTCACTGGAAGGGAAAGAGAGAAAAATGTGAAAGGAAAGAAGCCGGACTGGAACAAACAGATTTGCTTTACCAAATACCTCAGGTGCTTGGAATATCCTTTTTTTCGTCTGCAATTTAGTCCTCCAGAAACAGAGCAGGGGAAAAGGACACAGTACTGATGTCTGCCTATTCTGTCCTCATTATTGGGGATGAAATATTCTCCTCCATCAACCGTTGGCATGGTCTTTGAGGACACACAAGATTTTGCTCACCTGCCAAGCACTTTGACTTGAACTTCTTCATCTGCTCTGGTGACAAGTTGCGGAAGTTCAAACAGCACTTCAAATTTTGGCAGCACTGCAATGGAGAGAAGAAGAAGAAGAAGAAGAAGAAGAAGAAGAAGAAGAAGAAGAAGAAGAAGAAGAAGAAGAAGAGGAGGAGGAGTAAGGGATGCTTTAAAAAGAAGAAGAATAATTGGAATAGCAGATTGCTAAAAACACCAAGACCAATAGTTCTGGGGTAATTGCAATTGGATTAAAAGATACGAGAGGAGAACGTTAACTCCAGCAAGTGCTGCTGTCTGGTCAGATTTTGCTTCTGCAGCGTATTTTGATTTTAAAAGCAAATTAACAAAACTCCAAACCAGAAGAGATCCTCTGTATGGATCTTGCATATCATATCTTGCTTGACCCTAAACTGAACTTAAAATGCACACACCTATAGATGTAGGTGCTTTAATTTAGCGGGTGGGTGGAAGGAAAAGGAGGCATTGTTTTGCCTTCCTTCACGGTCATTTTTTAGCATTATATTATCATAGCCAGCTGGCGATGCAATAAGGTTTTGACCTAACTTTGATCTCCTTGTTTTTCCTCTGTTGCATGTGGGATGGTTGCAAAGTGACAGGTGTCAAATTAGCATGCATTTCTTCACCAACTGTGTTCACTGGGACATTGCGTGAGATGCATTTGTGAGCCAGTACAGTGCTTAGAAGGGACACGGGTGGCGCTGTGGGTAAAACCTCAGTGCCTAGGGGTTGCCGATCGCATGGTCGGCAGTTCGAATCCCCGCGGTGGGGTGAGCTCCTGTCTTTCAGTCCCAGCTCCTGTCCACCTAGCAGTTCGAAAGCACTCTTAAGTGCAAGTAGATAAATAGGTACCGCTTTATAGCGGGAAGGTAAACGGCGTTTCCGTGTGCTGCGCTGGTGCTGGCTCGCCAGAGCAGCTTCGTCATGCTGGCCATGTGACCCGGAAGTGTCTCCGGACAGCGCTGGCCCCCGGCCTCTTAAGTGAGATGGGCGCACAACCCTAGAGTCGGACACGACTGGCCCGTACGGGGAGGGGTACCTTTACCTTTACCTTTTACAGTGCTTAGAGTGTTTGATAAGGACCAAGGATACCAGAGTTGAACCTGCCCCAAACTCCGCCATGGGTGGGTGACTTTGGACCAATTGTCACCTCTCAGCCTAACCTACCTCACAGGACTATACAGTCATACCTCGGGTTGAATATGCTTCATGTTGAGCGCATTTGAGTTGCGCTCCATGGCAACCCAGAAGTAATGGAGTGCGTTACTTCCGGGTTTCGCTGCTCGTGCATGCACAGATGCTCAAAATGACGTCACGCGCATTCGCAGAAGCGGCGAAAAGCAACGTGCGCGTGCGCAGACATGCCGTCGCTAGTTACATTGCTTCTGGATGCAAACAGGGCTCCGGAACAGATCCCGTTCGTATCCAGAGATACCACTGTATATGCTACCTTGAGCTCATTGAAGGAAAGGTAGGATATAAATGTAGCTCTCTCTCTCTCTCTCTCTGTCTCTCTCTTTCTCTCTGTCTGTCTCTCTTTAAAATCAGCACCTCACATTTCTATCTCCTCCCAGATCTTTTCTCTAGAACATCACTGCTGCATTTTCTTCCAGGAAAGACAGCAACATATTGAAGAGCTAGTAACTTTGCCATTCACAATGTCTAGACAGAATTAGCATGGGGAATGGCATGTGCACAGGGCAACACAAGCAGGAGCCCCCCTGACCCCCTCTCCACAGTTGTATAGTAAGCCCTCAACTTATGGCGGGGGTTATGTTCCAGTGATCAGCCCGAAACCAAAATCGCATCTAGTCAAAATACGTTGGGTTCAATGGTGGGTGAGATCGCCAAAGTCTTTTCCCCCGGACACCTGCCCCCTTTCTGCTCCCCCCCCATTTTATTTTTTTGCCAAGCACATAAAGCTGGATGTGCAAAAGCTAAATGTGTGTAAGTTGCAGGCTTACTGTACAGGCATGAGTCATTTCTGCAGATGACCTAACGACCAATGTGTAGAGATCCCTGCTGTTGTGTTTGCTTTCTGCATTTTGAACAGCTGAAAACGGCAGTCTTGAAAGGGACTTCAGGGCAGGCAAATCTCTCTTCCTTTCAGAAGCGCCAAGTTCATGCACATCGGAAGGAAGCCATGAGGCCTGATGTGGCCCTCCACCAGCATGGGGGCCCACTACCACAGCAGATGGCCCCATGTATATGGGCAATCTATCCGGAAGATATTTGTATTCCGAGGAGTTGCTGATACGGATGACGTTATGGGCGCCCTGCCAGCAAGCTGTTGACCTTTCTTCCAAGTAGCTTCTAATTCCTGCCACACATCTCGGAGAGCAGTCAGCAAAAACCATCCAAGCCCTGCCCCGCTTTCTCTCCCATTCCTGCTGCCTCCAAGCATTTAAGCATGGCATTAGGAGTTGGCACTCCAAACTCAGCTATCTCGGCTTCCCAAGACACCGGCAGGGTTAGCTGGTTCAAGACTTGAGCCACTGGCCCCCAAGCATCTATGCTAGGCCAACCACAGATGTGGCTCTGACTACCCTTTCCTTGCTTAGAGTAATTTCTTCTCCCCCAAAAGGGCATTACTTCTGAATCCTGCCGACATGGGGCCTTCCGCCACAGCAGGGAGGAACGATGGGGCCCTCTGCTGCTGTGGGGAGGCCCGACGGGGCTCAGCCACTCAAGATTGGAAGGACTTAGGCCGATCCCCACATACCTTGGGGTAGGGCTGAGCTGTCCTCAGCCCCATAGACATGGAACCAAACAATAACAATAACAATTTATTATTTATATGCTACCCATCTGACTGGGTTGCCCCAGCCACTCTGGGCGTCTCCCCACAAAGTATTAAAAGCACAACAAAGCATCAACCATTAAAAACTTCCCTGAACATATGCTTCCTTTTATTCTTAGAACGATTCTCACAAGCCATGTGGTCTTCCCCAGAAACTTACCATATTCCTCCACAGTGAATACTTTCCTATTTCTGTAGTCCTCTCCCATTTTGAAGGTGTACGATCCCAGGGCCGCTTCCGAGGCCAGAGGGAAAGACAGATCCACAATGCCATGGTGAGGCTTCACGTCCACCCATTGGCCTATTCGGTTCCCATTAGGATCCTGGGATAAGAACAAAAGGACTGTGAGGTTCGTCCCCTTGGCTGCAGCAATAGCAATGTTCACATAACCAGATGAACCACATCCTGAAGAAGGCTGGGCTATCCTAAGAAATGCTCTTGCCTGAGCTCCCGTCCCTGCACACCGTGAGCAGGAGCTGACTAGACTGGCAGTACAGTCATACCTTAGTTCTCGAACGAAATCCGTTCCGGAAGTCCATTTGACTTCCGGAAATGTTCGAAAACCAAAGTGCGTCTTCCGATTGGCTGCAGGAGCTTCCTGCACTCAACTGGAAGCTGCAGAAGCTGTGGCGGACTTTTGGGTTCCAAAGAATGTTTGCAAACTGGAACACTCACTTCTGGGTTTGCGGCATTCGAGAGCCAAAACGTTTGAGTTGCAAGGCGTTCGACAACCAAGGTATGACTGTAGAGTCAACAAAGATGACAGGACAGTCCTCTATGGCAGCAGTCTTCAACTTTTTCCAACCTGAGACCCACCTTAGTCCTAAGCTGCATTTGGGGTAGGGATAAAGGAATCCTCTCAGTTTCTAACTTTCCCCGATCTTTAGTTCTTTACATTTTCACATTAGATGATGGGGATGATTTTAAAGCCCTTGTGGAAATTTATCAGCATCTTGGTGCAAGTTTCTCCACACATGCACACTTTGGCAAAGCAATTTCTCCTAACGGAATGGATTTGTCTCCATTTGCACCCTTTGGCGTAGCCCGGGGGTGCCAGAGAGAGGCAGCTGCCCCCCAATCAATAAAAATAAATAAAAATGCATAGCTCAGTTTCTTCCCTCCCCTAACAAAAATCCTGGCTACACCCATGTCTGCACCATATACTTGTTGGACAAAATTGGGGGGTGGCCTTTACAGCCCAACTCCCCAAGGGGCTCAGAGTCCCCTAAGTCCAGAGAAGAAGGCATGGAGGCTATAACCAGTAGAAGAAAAACAAGGCAGATATTTATTTTTTCTGTTGCAATGGAGTCCCCCTACCCCTGTATAACACATTCAAAGCAGTATCATGCCACTATGGCTTCCCCCAAGGAATCCTGGGAACCATCATTTGTTAAGGGTGCTGCGAGTCCTTATGAGATTCCCTTATTCCCCTCGCAGAGCTACCATTCCTAGAGTCATTTAGCAGGCAATCTCTCTTCCCAGGAGACACTCTCTTCCATCCTCGTCTTGCAGCCAAAAGAGACAGATTTCTTTCTCTTCCCTTCTGCCTTGGTCCCTTCCCTTCCTCCTGCTGCCAGAGCCAAGTGTGTATAACTGAATTCACGCTAATAATATGCATGTATGATGCAGGTGCACTGTATTTGCATTTCAAATGACGCTACCACGCTTACCAATGGAATCTTCCCTTGAAAACCAAAAAGCGGCTTTGGGGAGGTGTTTTCTTTTATTGGAACTTGGCAGGGTGACAAAGTTAAATCCCCCGCTCCCTGCTTCCATTCTCACAGTCCTGAGGCTGCCATTTATATAGTAAAAATGTACACTTTGATTGCATTCAGGCAATTAACATCACATTTAGTTTGCAATAGTTTGGGGGCCAATTCAGAAAGGCAATTGGCATCTTCTTGTGGTGCTTCTCATATTGCTTTAGCAGTTGCTGGTGGGTGTTTGGGTGAATGCAGGCAACCGTTGACCAAATAGTTATTAACATTTACCACAGTGGGGGCATATAACCTTTTGTTGAGTCTTACAACAGGTTGAGACTAACCTGTTGCATCCCATGAATAGGAGAATGCAGAAGTACAGGTGTATGGCTCAGTTCTCATAATTTGGCAGGGAAATATAGACAACTGGCTTATCATGTGGATAGCTATGCATGGTGATGTCAGGGACTGGACTGAGGAGGAAAGGTGGGGATAGCCTCCCCCCTCTTCATGAACCTTCACGAGAAGAGAAGGACAGTATAGATTTGCAACAGTGGTTTGCGGAAGGGCATAGTTCAGTGGCTGCAGGGGGAGAAGCTGGGAAATATTGGGAGAGGAACAGCAGGAAGAAGGAGAAGCTCCAGGGGAGAGACAGCTGACAGACTCAGTGTCTTTGGAAAGCATTCCTGACCCCTCCCCTTCTCCCAGGACCTGGCGTGCATTGAGAGTAGTAGAACAGAAAGCTCAGAGGCAGAAAGCACAGATCAGCCAGAGCAGGGATGATGTAGGATAAGGGAGACTGAGGGGGTGGGACTTGGAGCAACACCATTATCTAAGAAAGACCGTATTCCTGCGTCTCTCTCTGTGAATATTGACTAAACTACTTGGTAAGAACTCTTCTTGTTTATTTGCTTCTTGACTGCCACCGTGGGAGGGATAGGATTCCCTGTAGCCTAACAGGTGGTAAGTACTTAATAAATGACAATATTCATAGAAAGGGGCAGCTTAGACCTACATTTCACACCCACTGCTCTTTGATGGTATGCCTACTTAAGTTCAAGCCAAAAACAAATCTATTTTAACAAGAGCGACTCACAGAAGGGACCATTGGGGTTGTTTTCCCTGTCCAGCAGCCTCTCCAAGCCAAAACTATAGTTCCCAGGTTTACAATTGCAACCATATTACTTTAAATGTGTAGTGTAGATATGCCCTGATGTTCAAGTGGTCTCAAAGGACAGGGTGGGAACAAAAGGAAAACATCACGACCAATGCTAGTTACCGGTACTTACTCTCAGCTCTAGCAAAGGGATCTGCAAATGACAAGAGAGAGGGACAATGTCAGTGTCAATGAGGAACAGAGCAGCTTCCAGGTCTTCCAGCATTCTGTAAAACCAGCCAAGGAAATGACAGTTCTGTCCTGCCTGCACTCTCGAACTGACATTACTAGCAGCGTGATAAGATAGCAATTGCAACCCATCTGTGGGCTATAGGAAATGAGGCTGGGTCAGCTGTTTGCCTTGCTTGCCAATCTTCTGCCATAGAATCAGACTTCTAGAATTCCAATTCTAGAATTGGAAGGGACCCTAAGGGTCATCTAGGGTCACCTGCAATGGAAGAATCTCAGCTAAAGCACCCATGACAGATGGTCATCAAAAATCTGCTTAAAAGGCTACAAGGAAGGAGAGTCCACCACCGCCCGAGGGAGACTGTACCTGCCCCTACAGACCTACGTATGTGGAAACATCTGTTCTAGCACCAGCCCCCATCATGCTGATATTGATCATGTGATCACTTAGAGGGCACGTAAAGAAAGGGTTCTGGTTGGTGGATGCACCACACAAGTCCCACTATCCGAACTCAGGAAATCGTTTTTTAGGCAAGCGTTCACATAACAAGTTGACGATTTGATTCCTATGGGGAAATTTCCAATGCGTGAAATATTGACCCCAAAATGAAAGGGGAAAATAGGAAAATCCTTGGAAACCTTGCAAAAGATAAAGAAGGAAGGGGGGCATTTCCCCTTCCTTCCACCATGGTTTATGGTGAAACAGCTGTCGTGAACCAGCAAAACACAAAAAAGTAAGGCCTGTTTAAGGCTGCTTATTTGTTTACAGCACTACACGCAGGTCTGGCTGTTCAGATATCTCAGGGGTGGCCAACTCTCAAGAGACTGCGATCTACTCACAGAGTTAAAAACTGGCAGTGATCAGGATGAGGGGGGTTCAGGTCAAAGTTGTTTAGCTTTTTTTAGGGAGGAGGAAAGCCTCATTTTTGGCGGGGTGCAGGGCAAAAATGTTGACCTTGTTTTAGCTTTTTTGGGGGGTGCCAGTGATCTACCACAGACATCCAGTGATCTACCGGTGGCTCACAATCTACCTGTTGGACGTGCCTGAGATGTCTGAATCTGCAGTTTGTATAGTGAAGTTTGTGTACTAATTCCTCATGTTTCATTACCACTGCAATGCTCCTCAGTGCATTTTAATACAGAGCTAATGTCCCGCAGAAACTCTGGGCCCAATTCACAAGCGAATGGAAGCATGAGAAACTCCTAAAGATGTTCCCCCACTTGAGAAATAACAAAGTATTTGTCTCTGGGTCCAGTAAGGAGACCTTCCTGGGCTTATGACATTTTGAGGAATTGATAGTCTGTGATGATAATAAGAGACCAATACTTACAGATTTATTGCGGGCCTTAAATTGATCATCAAGCTGCACAATTCGAAGTTTTACTGAAGGGGGAAAACAAAGAAACAGAAAGATTATTTGTTTCTGGTTTTTGTTGTTGCTCCCACATACTTCCTTCATGTTGTTGCATTTTAAAACCAAGGACTAGATTTCCACCCCCTGCTGAATTAGCAAGGCAAATTGTTGATGTCAACTTATTATTGTATGCAAATCTGTAGAGCATCTGGGCTCTTGAAAGGCACTTGGCTTTGGTTTAATAGCTTAGTTCTTGGAACACTGAGTTTGCTTATTTGATTCCTATTTGCCGGGGACACCGTTCCATCCCCAAAGATGGGACAGAAGCTGCAGTCTTCCTCCCGGTTCCAGGGCCACTCCGATACCCACCTCTCTCTCCAGGCTTGTAAAAGGGCTTGTCTAGATCCATCAGGTTAATTGTGGGAGAGCTCTTGACCTGCACCTTCTTGGAGCCCTTAAAGCTTACGCTGTCACCCTGTAGGACTAGGATGTGAACACGGGCCATTTCTCCTTCCTTCACAGTGCCAAAGAGAAAAGCAAAACATGTTCTAGCAGGAGGACCGAGAACAGAAAAGTATTTTGCAGTAGAGAGGGTATGTCTCAAAAACTGCCCCTTGCTCTTCTACCAACTTCGCTCTCCCCTAGGGATCAGGGAGTCAACACCACACACACACACACTTCCATTTATTACTCCCCCTCCCAATAGATACACATCCCCTTCTCTCTCTTTGCATGTCCATCTTGGTTTTCTCTTTCATCCATGTTCTCTCAGTACAGTTCCACCTCCACCTGCTTCTCTATCCCCTTCTCTTCTCTTCCTCTTAAGTCATTCCCCCCTTCCTCTCTAATTTAAATTCTCCTAGTGCCAAGGGTGCATGAAAGAAAGGGAATGATTGGGAAATGCAGGACTTACCAATGGAATGTAGTGGCTCTCTGTTTTCCGGGCAACAAAGGCTGGTACCTGAAGAGGGCAAGATGGAGGTGTGGGAATGTTAAGGATAGTAGGAAATGATATACTGAATAAATATTATCCTTCCTTCACTCACGCTACTGAGTGATGTAGCAGAGCAGATTCCCCTCAATATAGCAGGAGGCTAATTTGCAGATTCGTTTGAATCTCTTTAGTTAAGTAATCCAATCTGGCTTGCCCAGATGGATTATTCCTGGTGTCCCCTTTTATCCCTCTTAAAAGAATAAAGAGACGAGTCTTTCCTTTAAAAGTAACAAGAAGTTTACTCACATTTCAGTTCACGATTTGATCCCTGAAAGGCAGGCTTTACTTAGTAGTTACATAACAAAGTCTGAGTTTGTCTCATATGGAGATTGAGCTCATGTGCTGCTGGCTGGGAGCCAGCAGACAGCAAAATTACATTAAGAGAACAAAATGGCTGCAGGAGAGCAGCATGGCAGCAAGAGATCAGCAAGCAAGAGATCAGCATCAAGAGAGAGAAAATGGCTGCGTGACTCGGCTCTTTTATGGAATCAGCCAGGGCCATGCCCATCTCCCAGATCACATCCAGGGGGAGGATGCTCCAGACCAGTGGAACAGGAAGTTACACTAACATCCCCTTGCCTGTGTCCACTCTAGGGAAATAAGGAGTGTTGCACTTGACTTCCAATGGATTATATCCCATAGGAGGGATGGAAGAAAAGGGGTTAAGTACAACAAAGGTAAGAGATAAAGCAGAAAACATATGAGAAGCATCTGTGAAAACAGGGTAGATTTAATCTATAAAGATGATTTAGTAGAGGAACCATTGCTTTTGACCATGTTGAAACATATCTGGGCATGGAATACATTTTAGCTATAGAGGAGTTTGGCCATCTAGTCCTGGGCTCAGTTGAGGCCATTGGCTTCATCCATAAATCTATCCCTGCTCCCCACTCCACCATCATTCCTAGACCCATTCCCACACCTGCCTCTTCACCAGCTCCGTCTGGGAATTTTGCTCCAGCTCCAGCTGCTCTCTGTAAAGGATGTGGTCTTTAATGTTCTGGACCGCCTGTGTATAAAATGGGAATGCGTATTTTTGCCTGTCTGCTGGTGCCCTGAAGTTCATAAAACCAAGGCATAGGTGTCCACCATTGCTGATGCGCCTAAGTGCACAGTTCTCTCTTTCCAAAGACAGGAAATCTGAAAACTTCTCTGAGCAGGTGTTCCAAGGGGAGGAGCACATGATTGACAAGGAAGGTCTAGGGGGGAAAGATAGATACCTAGGAGGTGAGTAGATCAAAGTGGCCTCAGGTAACATGCAGAACTTTTTGTTGAGCTTGGGAGGAAGGTTTCAAGGGACAAAGGCCTACCTATGAACAAGGAATCCTACTAAGAGCCTAGTGAATTTAGGGACTCTTTTCAACTAGGGCAAGTGGGTTGCATATAACCAATTTTAGTTTGTTTTTGCTCCAAAGGAAATATTCTGTAATTTCTCTGTAACATTTGCATGTTTTATACTTCATCGCTTCCTGCTGCTCCCATTCATCCTATACACTATTTTCCTGTTCCTGTGTAGTCTTTGACTATTCCAAACACTCTCAACACTTGCAGTTTTACTATCACCCTACCTAAGGAGGTTTCAGAGAGACCCCTGGGAAATTTTGTAGGCTGTTTGGTAAGGGGCAGCCTGGCAAATAATTGATCTCTTAATCTCTTATCGGCAGTGAGTACAAGAGGGTACAAGAAAGGGGCATGCACTATTGTGGATAGGTATCCCTTCTGCAGGTAGTCCAGGATGTAGGGTTGATTTGACATGGCTGTCCCATTCTCTGACTTTATTTATATTGATATTGTGTTTATATATTGATATTATTTATGCATTTTTTATTTTAATGCAAATCATTTGACATAGTTTTTTATTGCACTTATTATGCTTGTATATATTTATGCATTTTTACTTACTTATTGTATTTTATCTATTGTAAACCACTTTGAGATCTTTGGCTAGTAAGCGGTCTACAAATGGAAATAATAATAACAATAAGGCTATTATCAGCAGCCTTCACATGGTAGCTCATGACTATGATGCACAAGCAAGATAATGTGAAACAGACTACACACGTGAAATGGATTTTATATTTATAAGATGTAACTGTTTGTAAGGAGGAAAAAGCCATCGACTGTAAGAGTGGCAAGTGAAGGATGACAACTGGACATTAAATAAGAAATGATGCTGCTACGGGAGGAAATGATCAACATATGTTTGCTACAGGAGCAGGAAACTTGATTTTAAGAAATTGTATTAAATTTAAGTCATTAGGTTTGATTTGTGATAATTTGGAAAATTAATAAGAATAATTTGAAAAACAAAGATAATGTGAAAGAGAGCTCCCCTTGTTGCAGGGGTGTGGCCATGCAGATATCACTGGGCTACAACTTCCATCGTCCCTGATCATTATCCATACTAATTGGGGCAGACGGGAGCTGGAAGCCATTGAGTTGCTTGCAATGGATGAAACTTGCCTGGAAGCTGGTGCATTCATAGGTCCCTGGTTTCTCCACATCCTTCTCCAGCAGGGTGTGGTTCTGCAACGTCATCTCTAATGTTATTTTCAGGTGGACTGTCTCCTGGAGGTTGCTCAGAAGCACACAGAACTCTTCAGTATCCGGATGGCGAATGACTGCCGGGAAGGTCAATAGATAGTGGCTGCAAGAGAAGAAGAAAGGACCATTGAAGAAGTTGCTCTTGGCCTTTAGAGAAGCAGCTAAAAGGGCACTCACCTGTTGCTTTCTGGGGGCAGGGATGGTCAGCTGGCAGCCTGCAAGTCACATTCATATACCCGTCAGATTTTAATTGGCTTACCCCTCTCTTTGCTATACAAAGAAGCAGCTTGTTACCTGGAATACACTCATCTGTTTGGGAAATGAGAAGCTACTGTTGGGGGACCCCAAGGGCCCCAAAATGTGATAATGTGGACCCCCGAGTGTGACTGTTAAAAGGGAACTTATAGTATTTAGATCCCATCCTTCTTCCCAAAGGAGCCCAGAACAGCAAACACATCCATAAAATAATATAGTTTTAAAAACCAGTTTTTAAAAAATCTTCTAAAAGCACTTAACATTTTCTTTAAAAGTTAAGAACTTAAAGGGAAAAAAACTACACATATACAACCACTGACTCTCACAGCTAATAATATCACAGTGGGCAAATCTTTCAGCCACCATATGCCTAGGGAATGTTTTTAGATTTTTCTTGAAGGTTAAGAATGAGCAAGACTAGAGAGGGCATTCCACAAAGTGAGAACCACCACCAAGAGGGAACTTATAGTAGCCTATCGCTTTGAGGCTCACTGGAAGGACAGATTGTGAAGCTGAGGCTCCAATACTTTGGCCACCTCATGAGAAGAGAAGACTCCCTGGAAAAGACCCTGATGCTGGGAAAGACGAAGGGCACAAGGAGAAGGGGACGACAGAGGACGAGATGGATGGATAGTGTTCTCGAAGCTACCAGCATGAGTTTGACCAAACTGCAGGAGGCAGTGGAAGACAGGAGTGCCTGGCGTGCTCTGGTCCAGGGGGTCACGAAGAGTCGGACACGACTAAACGACTAAACAACAACAACATCGCTTTGAGGAACTGCTGAGAATCCCTTTCACTTTGCAAGCGCCCATCGCCCCAATGGGGCAGAGAACAGTTAAAATCCTTATCACGCTAGCACACAAATACATGGTACAGAGCACAAAGCACAATAAGCGTTTGCAACAGATCATCCAAGGACACGCAGACACTGCAAATGTTGAATGTATCTAGAAATGAATAAAGCTATATGCCAGGATGCTAAGCTGAGCACAAGCGTGCCATGGTGAAATGGATCTAAATGTATTTTGGCCAGCAACAGCTTGCTTGCTTCTTTGAAGGATGTAATGAGAAATGTTTCTATACTCCGAGTAGGCTCAAGGGGACTGCTATTCTCACTTGTACCATTAACTACTCGTGTTTCTATACAGTGGTACGTCGGGTTACAGATGCTTCAGGTTACAGATGCTTCACGTTACAGACTCCACTAACCCAGAAATAGTACCTCGGGTTAAGAACTTTGCTTCAGGATAAGAACAGAAATCGTGCTCCGACAGCGTGGCGGCAGAGGGAGGCCCCATTAGCTAAAGTGGTGCTTCAGGTTAAGAACAGTTTCAGGTTAAGAACGGAACTCCAGAACGAATTAAGTTCTTAACCCAAGGTACCACTGTACTCGGACTGCAGACCTAGAACATATATAGATCAATTTATACTGAGGCTGTAGATCTATAAAATCTGTACATTTATCTATGGATCTGTCATCCCAGCAGGAGGAATGGATGGATGGCAGCCATCTCAATTTTCCTGTCATGGGTGTTAGGAGGTGGGGTGGCCTGGGAGTGGGGGCCTTGCTGCCTTTGCATGTGGTAGCGGGCAAGGGCTCTGCCTTGTCTGTGAGGGTGAGGCACCCGTAAGCGGTACCTCCGAGGTCTAGCTCCAGCCTTGCTCTGAAAAGTAATGGAAAAAGCCCAGGGAAACAATTTGATGATGACATTCCCCAGAAGAAAAGTGAAAACAAAGAGTAGCAATTTCATAATAACCACCCAAGACCACAATAATTCTGTTTTTGTATCTTCTGGAAGTTGCCTGGAGCGGCTGGGGAAACCCAGCCACATGGGCGGGGTATAAATAATAAAATTATTATTATTCAGAAGAGCCCTACTGTGGCAAATCAAAATCCCCTCCAGACCAGCACCCTGTTCTCACAGGAGCCAACTAGATGCCTGGAAGAAGCACCCGAGCACCACAGCATTCTCTCCAATTGTGATCCCCAGCAAGTGGTATTTAGAGGAATACTCACATCCCACTTAAAAATCTGCCCAGGAAATAAAAATGAAAAATAAACATCTTACGGGTCTGAAATGACTGGAGCTGTGAGTGAAAGCAGAGCCAGGGCCCAGAGGAACATAGCTGCCCCCATAGTTGGAGCTGCGATGGGCAGCAGAGACGAGATCTCCGTTGGTGCTCAGAACAGCCAGCGCTGGTGTAGAGACCTAAATAGTCGCCCAGTGATTCCTCTGTTCACCCACGAGGCGCATGAACTTAATTTCATCTGAGTCAATATTGACTCTCCTCCTCCTCAGAGTAAACACCGTATGTCCCTGAGGCTCCTCCCTTCAACTCCATGCAGGGAGATGGCTGTGACTCTTCAGATGAAAGAGAGACCACTCACTCCTTGCCAGTCTTCAAGGCAAACTGAGAAGGGATTAGAAATGGTGTGAACCAGAATCTGTTGTCTTTGTCCATGGAGACAAGACAGCAGATTGTCTTGTCTTTTCCCAGTAGTGATGTATGGAAGTGAGAGCTGGACCATAAAGAAGGCTGATCACCGAAGAATTGATGCTTTTGAATTATGGTGCTGGAGGAGACTCTTGAGAGTCCCATGGACTGCAAGAAGATCAAACCTCTCCATTCTGAAGGAAATCAGCCCTGAGTGCTCACTGGAAGGACAGATCCTGAAGCTGAGGCTCCAGTACTTTGGCCACCTCATGAGAAGAGAAGACTCCCTGGAAAAGACCCTGATGTTGGGAAACATTGAGGGCACAAGGAGAAGGGGACGACAGAGGATGAGATGGTTGGACAGTGTTCTTGAAGGTACCAGCATAAGTTTGACCAAACTGCGGGAGGCAGTGACTGGCGTGCTCTGGTCCATGGGGTCACGAAGAGTCGGACACGACTAAACGACTAAACAACAACATCGAACCAGAATCTAAGGAAGGCCAACCAAATGGCAACACATATATACCCGTTTCCACAGGCCTACAGTGTTTCTGTGATTTCATCACCCGGAGAGGGAAAAGATATTCAGAAACCAAGAATCATCCTATTGAGATATATGATGTGTTCAATGGCTAGATAGTGCTTGGATAACTGTGGGAAATCCTTGGAGGCCTGGGAATCAAAAGGGTAGGGCAATATGTTCATAGAATCATAGAATTGTAGAGGTGGAAGGGACCCCATCTAGTCCAACTCCCTGCAGTGCAGGAATTTCAGCTAAAGCATCCGTGACAGATGGCCAAATGTCCTTCAGACTCCAAAAAAGCTATCCATATTTCCTTTTGGGAGCTTTTTTCTTTTTAAAACAACAACAACTAAAAGATAGCCTGGCTTGCAGGAGTGCTACCCAGAACTGATAGAACTTACTTGGCTAAGCAGATAACAACACCTGCACAAGCTCTGCTATCTCCTTTTATTTAGAACTCTTGCAAAATGTGTGCTCAAGATACGGTCTATGTAATTTGGATGCAAACCCCCCACTATTTCTCCATCCCCTCTGGGTGGAGAAACCAATAAAAAATGAGCTCAGGCTATGTGGTTTGCATACTGCAAGGACTGGACGTGCTGAATAACAGTTTCAGGCCCTCTCAGCTGGCTTGTTTGTATTCTGCCTCCTGTCGGGAAGGAGGCTGCCAGATGGATTGATTGATTATGACACTGCATGTACGTGTGCCTTGAATGATACGGAATAGATTCAAAGTGAACTTTATACATGCTAAGAAGGACAGGTAAACATGGAGGGAGAGCGATCTGTGGGTCAGTGACTGGCCAGTACATTGAGATTGGCATCAGCTTTTGAACAGTCAGGGTTCAATAGCTGGCAAGGCTACTAGAACTTAAGTGATGAGGCAATTGCAGTCTACAAGGTTTTATATAAACCTGTGGAGGGAATAGTCAACCAAAGGTATCTGATAGAAGAAAGCACCACAGAAGCAATTCAAGTTTCTGTTTATTTTCTGAACTAGAGTTCCATTGCATGGTTCATGTTGTAAAAGACAGGGCCACTTTTCCCCCAAACAGTTCCCAGCTCCTTAAGTATGGCTCATCTGAATTCCTTTTCTTTCCCATCCTGTGCCTGTTGCACCATAGGAATTTCTCCATCTAAACCAAGAAGAATAAAAAGAAATGTAAGTTCTCTTCAATATGGAATCCAGAGTGGGAGATGCAGGAATGGATCCTTTTAGGGCACATAGAAGTCACATTTCTTCTCCTGGAATAGGGAGGGGAACATAATAAATCCGGATAGGTTTTCCCTTCTGCCTACTAGTCTGAAGGAAAAGGCCTTATATATCTGTGAAATCTCATCCACTATATGAAATGCAAATTAGCCTAGGATAAATAAAGAAGTTCATTGTTAGCATCACAGAGCATTTTAGACATAGGACTTGTCCATACCTCCATTTGCCCCACCAATTACCCTTGGGGAAACCTGATCTTTAGAGCCAAGTAAGAACACACAGCAATGGGGTTTTCTGTGGATTGCTCTTTGTTCCGATTTAGCACTAAAGAGTGGGTTTTCCAGGGGGAAATGGCGTGGGGAAGGCAAAACCGCTATATGCACAGAGGCCTAAAACATAGATATCTGACTTCAGGCCTATGAATGACTCACCTCAGTAGCAGGGGTCTTCATATTCCACTGTGGACTGTTCATCTGAAAGAAATTAAGGCAGATCATTAAACTCAGCACTGGCCACAATCACGATATCCTCGCTTCCTTATGCCTCTCTTCATTCTTCCATAGAACCACAGAATTGTAGAGTTGGAAGAGATCCTGGGGGTCATCTAGTCCAACCCTCTGCAATGCAGAAAGGCAACATGAAGCAACTAGTTGGAGAGACCCATGATAATTCTTGGTGGGACAGCATCCTTAGCATTTGCCATTTTACAGCCCATTCACTTAGGTCCTTTCGGAGCTCTTCACAATCTGTTTTTGTTTTAATGACCCTCAACAACTTAGTACCACCAGCAAACTTGGCCATCTCACTGCTCACTTCTAACTCTAGATCGTTCGTGAACAAGTTAAGAACCACAGGCCCCAATACCGAACCTTGGGGGACTCTGTTCCCCACATCCCTTCAAGCAGGAGAACTGTCTATTTTTCCCTACACTCTGCTTCCTGCTACTTTAGCCACTTCCTGACGCAGATTTTTGTTTGAAGATCAGCAGTTTCACATTTGAGTTCTTTGAGAACTCTTGGATGGAGACCACCCAGAACAAAGAATTTGCCGGTTGCTATTCCATCGATTGGGACACGGGTGGCGCTGTGGGTTAAACCACAGAGCCTAGGACTTGCCGATCAGAAGGGTGGCAGTTCGAATCCCCATGATGGGGTGAGCTCCCGTTGCTCGGTCCCTGCTCCTGCCAACCTAGCAGTTCGAAAGCACGTCAAAGTGCAAGTAGATTAATAGGTACCGCTTCGGCGGGAAGGTAAACGGCATTTCCGTGCGCTGCTCTGGTTCGCCAGAAGCAGCTTAGTCATGCTGGCCACATGACCTGGAAGCTGTACGCTGGCTCCCTCGAACAATAAAGCGAGATGAGCGCCGCAACCCCAGAGTCGGTCACGACTGGACCTAACGATCAGGGGTCCCTTTACCTTTACCTTATTCCATCTCTTAGGCCTAGAACTTTGTTGGCTTCCCATCAACCATATGATTCCAAACTGGAACTTAGACTTCATAACGTGTGGTCTCCCTAAGCTGAAGGCACCTATGATGGCCCACAAATTTTTGCTGATTGACTGAGACTGTAAATACAGGGTGATTACAGAACACCTGAAGGCCACAGTACATAGATGGTGGGCTGTATTTGGCTGGACAGGTCATAAGCTGCACAGACTTGTGAGAAACACAATGAATTAAAAATGCTACTATTTTTCAACATGAGGAAGAACCTACCTGGCTGATAATAGTCATAAACTTTGACAGCTGCTGGCTTCAGGTCCTTCACTGGAATGTCTTGGCTCATGGCCAAGGTATACGTTTGCCTCTCCTTTCCTAGCTGAGAGAAAGACTTTGGATGTAAAGAGAAGTTGAGGACAAGGTGGGGTTGAGGTCAGCACTAAATGGTTCGGCCATCCTGCAATCACCTCCATCGAAGGTGAAACCGCAGAAACAAATATGCTGGCTAGTTAGATAGGATAGTTTCTGGATGAGAACAGAGTAACAGAAAATTCATGGCTCTAGTTTCAGAGGGCATCTGTTTGAATTGTTGCTGTTGTTGTTGTTGTTATATCTTTATTTATAACCTGCCTTTTTCCTCAACGGAGACTCAAGGTGGCTTACAGATAAAAACAAGATTCACTAAAAACATCATAAAAACAATTAAACATTAATAGAATAAAAATAGAATAATAGATTATTATATATAGAATTTATATATAATAGACTGCTCCTGCAGTCTGTCCGCACCAGAGCACGGGGCCAAAAGCCACACTTTTTTTTTGGTTCCGAGCAGTACTATGGGTTAACTGACTCACACCAGAGCGTGGGAGCAAAAACAGATGGAAAAGTTACCTTGACCCACATTTTGCTGCTCTTCTTCCTCCTTCCATTGTGACACTTTAATGAATTATTGATTAGATCAATAATCTAATTTAAATCGACAATTTAAACAACTCTCCTTATTAACAGGCCTGGATTGTTCTCATAAGAATGCTGCAAGCAGAAGAGGAAATTCGAGAAAGTGCTGTTTACTTGGCAAGCTGGGCCTGTTGAAATGCCCTTTTCTGTTACCGTTGGTCTTCTTTTTTGCCTGGCGAGGCGACTTGTGAAGGGGGCCACTACAATGAAGCAGTGCCATTGGCCCAGTTGTCGAATGATGTGTGTGCTTGCCTGTTACAAAGCTGTGTTTCTTTTCCCTGTACTGACCTGGTCCAGGTAGATTGTGAGATGCTCCTCCCCAATCTCGACTCTTTTCACAAGGGGCTGTTGCTTAAGCTGAGGATACAGAATGAAAGAATTAAGGCTTCCTTCCCAACATGCCACCAGTTTTGTCACCAAAGGGAGGTTTCGTAGGTCTTTCGTTGCTTGCATTGTTTGAGGAATAAGTGGCAAATCTTTGAAAGAAGGGAACCAGGAATTATGTCCCTTGCAAAATCGTATATTTTGATATCCCTCTGTAAGCAATCTGCGCAGACCATGGGTAAGAGGGATCTCTGTCTCTCTCAGCAGCCCACTAAGTAGAGGAACATGTGAGTATGTGTGCGTGAGAGAGGGAGGGAGAGGATGGCAGGTAGCGGAAAGAAAGTGAGAGAAGAGGAGTCAGAAAAAGAGAGAAAATGGAAAGCCCCACCCATTTTTGACCCTGTACCAGGCCCAGCTTATTGTTGGCTTCAGTCCTATCTGCAATAAATTGTCCCTGTTGTCCACCCCTCCTCCTCCTGTTCAATACATTATTTGGAACCTGCTATGAAGGTCGGCAGTTCGAATCCCCGCAACGGAGTGAGCTCCCGTTGCTCGGTCCCTGCTCCTGCCAACCTAGCAGTTCGAAAGCACGCCAGTGCAAGTAGATAAATAGGTACTGCTCCGGCGGGAAGGTAAACGGTGTTTCCGTGTGCTGCTCTGGTTCTCCAGAAAAGGCTTAGTCATGCTGGCCACATGACCCGGAAGCTGTACGCTGGCTCCCTCGGGCAATAAAGCGAGATGAGCGCCGCAACCCCAGAGTCGGTCACGACTGGACCTGATGGTCAGGGGTCCCTTTACCTTTACCTATGTTCATCGAGAGGGACTTTGTCTTTCTAAACTGATTTCTGTCACATAGGGGAGAAAAGAGACAGAGGGATGGAAGGATCTCTCAGTTTTGGTTTTCTCTGTTTCTCATTTTCCCAATCTTAAATTCAGTTCTCACATTTTGCAGCAATTTGCAGATTTTAAAAAAAATAATTAAAAGATCCTCATGAAAATTCACCAGCATTTTGGTACGAATTTCTCCTAACAAACACATTTTACACGCAGTTTTGACTCATGTACACATTTTTGCAAGCCGCTTTCCCTGATACAATGCATTTTTTGTATGTTATTTTCAGTAACATCTTCAGTTTTAGGCACACTTTCCTGTACAATGTGCAGTTTGTAAACTTTGGTTGGAGGGAGAACTGCATTGCAAAATTCAGATGTGCAAATTTTGAAGAACATCTGATAAAGGAGTTCCTAAGAAGGGTAGAGTTTGCAGCTGCAATGGTGTCAATAGAAGACATAGCTCATGTACTCATTGAATGACCTTTTTATAATGACCTTAGAAACAATTACATCCACCCATTGTTAAGATCGCAGAAGGGAAGGATGTCTCATGTAAAGACCTGTTTTTTGTTGCCTGATTTAGAGAAGAATATATCTTTTACAACACCCGATTTTCTTGCCAAGGCTTTACAAATTCATGTACTAAAATTTAAAGGGGAAATGGGAAATCATTTATCCTGTAAAGGTCACAGAGTAGAAATGTAAACCACTATTATTAGTAGCATTCTTGTTATTATTATATCTGTAATGGCTGCTCGCTAAACACAATAAATTGAACTGAACTGAAGAATAGCTGCCTCCTGGTCCACATATTTTTGGGGGAAAGTGGATATTTAATAGGATTTGATTTTGAATGTGTACTGAATCAAATTTCTCCTCCATCCCCAGACAAGAGGTACTTAAAAAGGTAAAGGGACCCCTGACCATTAGGTCCAGTCGTGGCCGACTCTGGGGTTCTGGCGCTCATCTTGCTTTATTGGCTGAGGGAGCTGGCGTACAGCTTCCGGGTCATGTGGCCAGCATGACTAAGCCGCTTCTGGCGAACCAGAGCAGCGCCCGGAAATGCCGTTTACCTTCCCGCTGGAGCGGTTCCTATTTATCTACTTGCACTTTGACGTGCTTTCGAACTGCTAGGTTGGCAGGAGCAGGGACCGAGTAACGGGAGCTCACCCCGTCGCGAGGATTCGAACTGCCAACCTTCTGATCGGCAAGTCCTAGGCTCTGTGGTTTAACCCACAGCGCCACCGGCAAAATTGACTTACATCGTGGTTAGTTCCCTGGACAGGATGGAATCCAGACAACATCTTCACCTCTATCATGGCCATGTTGGAGGTGCCACGGCTGCCCACATAACTGTCAAGAGAAGAGGAAGAGTTGCACATAAGCCATTTCAAGTCCCAGCCATCAACTTCCCCACTGCATTGTTGACTCCTAGGGCACTTCCAGGCTGTCACTATTTTCAGGTGGGATTCAGTCCCTGCAACATGAGGGAGAACAGTGTTGATGTGTGTGCAGCATCCACTCTTGGGTTTTCTTCTTTGAATAGACTTGCAGTAGAGTTTCCTTTTTTAATTGAGTATCTTTATTATTTACAAAAATTTACACTGGTTGAATACAAATAACACAATCCTTTCCTCTTCCAGCCTTCCGGCCAGAGACCTAATGCTGACTCACGCTCATTTACACACTGACACTTTTACACTGACCCTTATTGATCACATGCCCTTAATAAAGGCACCTGTTGCTGGATAGATTTTTCGGTTGCCTAGCAACCTGTTCAAGACCAATTCTTCGAGTCTTTTTAGAGTAGTCCAACAAACGCTTCCCTTGATGCAGTGTCATCTATCCTTCCCACAAGCAAATTAGAATGGGTGCTCATTAAATAGCCTAATCTATCTACAAACAAATCAGGCTGAATGTTCAATAAACAGGTCCTTCTAGAAGTTGCCTTACTCAAGATTCCCCCCCCCTCTCTCTAGCAATCTGCAGAAAAACCAACTGACATTTCTTACAATTCACTGGTATTATTATTATTTTAAAGATTATACCGCTCTTCACCCATAGATCTCAGGGTGGTTCACAACATAAAATTGCAAGAAGATAAGAATGAAAGATAATGAAAATAACAAAACAAACCAATAATCCCCCTCCCACAACACATTTAAAAGGCCACAGAATGTTAATCAGCCCAAGGCCTGGTTTGATTACAACCCAACCAAGATTTCTAGCTAAACAATACTCAATTTGAAGTGGAACCGATCATTACCAGCTGAACAAGTCTACATTCAGGGATAGGCATACATGAATTTTGGTAAGCTTGCTGCCTCTCACCTTGCACTGATGTGAAGGGTCAGGAAGCGAGGGGCTGTCTCTTGTTCACATCCTTTCCCTACTGCTTTCACATCCAGGTTGAAGGTGTCTTCATTCTTCGAGGGAGGGATATTGTATCGCAAGACTGCCTGATATGGGACAGGCACCAAAAACACAACAGTTGCAGAGTTGCATAACGATAACATGCAGTCTGGCTGGAGCTCTCAAAAGCTCACGCCTTTTAGGAATGTTTTAGTGTCCTTGCATCTACCAGTTACTCATTTCCACCCCTCAGTCGATTGGATAAATGCTTTTTGGATACCGTGAAATCCTTTATGATCTCAGGCAAGGGTATCTCTCAGTTCCCTTAAATAAGAAACCAGCATCTTTGCAAAGCTTTCTAATCAATGTGCGCCCATGTTTGAAAAGTTATTCTGTTTTTACCTACCTCTATTTTTACTATGTTTGTAGTTTTGAGTATACAGTGGTGCCTCGCAAGACGAAATTCATTTGTTCTGCGAGTTTTTTCGTCTTGCGAGTTTTTTCGTCTTGCGAAGCACGGTTTCAATTTTTTCAAAAAAATCTTCAAGAACCTCAAAAAAGGCTACCACACCACGTGCTATGAGTTGCTCCCCGAAGTCAAGTTGCAACTGCACCTCTTCAAGCAATGCACCCTGTATTACTGTAACGGTTTTAAGAAAAAGGAAACAAACTTGCAAGATGTTTCCGTCTTGCGAAGCAAGCCCATAGGGAAATTCGTCTCGCGAAGCAACTCAAGAAACAAAAAACTCTTTCGTCTTGCGAGTTTTTCGTCTTGAGAGGCATTCGTCTTGCGAGGTACCACTGTACTTCATTAGGCACACATAGAAATAAGAAAATTCCTTCCAGTAGTACCTTAGAGACCAACTAAGTTTGTTATTGGTATGAGCTTTCATGTGCATGCACACTTCTTCAGACACACTGAAACCGAAGTCACCAGACCCTTATATATAGTGAGACGGTGGGGAGGGGTATTACTCAGAAGGGTGGTGGGAATGGGTGATTGGCTGATAGGTGTGGTAAACCTGCTGACGACTGTTAACGACTGCAATTGGTCTTACAGGAAAAAGCAAGGGCTGAGATGGCTAAAAATAGCTTTATCGTGTATAATGAGATAATAATCCAATGCCTCTATTCAGATCAGGTCTATCCATGGTTTTAAGTTTGGTAATAAGTTGCAATTCAGCAACTTCTCTTTCCAGTCTATTTCTGGAGGACCAATTGCTGCCTTGCCTTCCTTGAAGAACCATCACTCACCTGGACATATCCACAGCCTTTGCCAGAGGCTTGCATGGCGTACTCCCCAGGTATATCTGGGAGGGTAGCCTGCTGCAGAACCAACCGATTAGTGTCGTCCACGTGGAATGACTGCTGGAAGGTCTTGTCAGATTTCACCGTTATCAATAGGTCTTCAGATCTAGTGTATGTGACTGCTCCATATTTGGCGAGGGCTTGGAGTGCAACCACTGTGTCCTGGGAAAGGAGAACAGTTGCAGTGTAGTAATAATAATAATTTATTTATACCCTGCCCAGCTGGCTGGGTTTCCAACAAAATATTAAAAATACATTAAAACACCAGTTATTAAAAACATCAATCATTAAAAACTTCCCTAAACAGGGCTGCCTTCAGCTGTCTTCTAAAAGTCAGGTAGTTGTTTATTTCCTTGACATCTGATAGGAGGGTGTTCCACAGGGCGGGCGCCACTACCGAGAAGGCCCTCTGTCTGGTTCCCTGTAACCTCACTTCTCGCAGTGAGGGAACCACCAGAAGGCCCTCAGTGCTAGACCTCAGTGTCCTGGTTGAACTATGAGGGTGGAGATGCTCCTTCAGGTATACCGGGCCAAGGCTGTTTAGGGCTTCAAAGGTTAGCACCAACACTCTGAATTGTGCTCAGAAACGTAGTGGGAGCCAATGTAGGTATTTCAGGACTGCTGTTATGTGGTCTTGGCAGCCACTCCCAGTCACCAGTCTATCTGCCACATTCTGGATTAATTGTAGTTTCCGGGTCACCTTCAAAGGTAGCCCCATGTAGAGCATATTGCAGTAGTTCAAGTGGGAGATAACCAGAGCATGCACCACTCTGGTGAGACAGTCCATGGGCAGGTAGGGTCTCAGTGGACTACACAGGGTCCAGTGCATTGCCTTGCGAGAGCAAGACTGGGTCTACCCACCCAGCTTTATCACCCTGCAGTAGGGTCAACCTCTCAGGAACACTGGCATTTTCTTAAAATGTATCCTGCAGAGGGATAATTTCTGTAGTGTATCTGGAAACACCTCGCTGGAGAACTCGCGGGGGAAAGGGCTCAGGGGGAAAGAGTTTTGCACCTAGTCCTAATGCCACTGCTTTAATCTGTTGCTCTATTGTGAACTGCCCTGGGATCTTCAGGCTAAGGACGATGTACAAATTTTATACATAACAACAATAATAATTATCTTTCAGTCTACCCTACCTACCTAGCAGGGTTGTTGGAAATGGGATGAACTGCCACCTCCTAGGAGGATAGATGGACTTAAACTGTCATAAGAAAATCCTGAGTCTTTTGGAAGAGGGAATTTTGGCAGGTGCGGCTTGTTGTTAAGATGAGGAAAATGTTTTCATTTCTGTCCAATTTTCCTCTTTTACATCGAGTCACCTACACTGCCTGGATAGCTCAGTTGGTTAGAACATGGTGCTGATCACACCAAGGTTGCAGGTTCGATCCCTGCACGGGGCAGCTTCATATGGGGTTGGACTGGATGATCCTCAGGGTCAATTTCATGATTTTATGATCCACTGTGACTCCCCACTTCAATCCAAATGGGGTGGGTCAGAAGCAGCAATGTAACTTTGAAAAACCCAGCTGATCTGGGTCTAGAATTTAGTTTATGGGCTTATAGATTCTGAGACAGCCAGATGTGGTGGGGAAAGTGATCTTTCAGAATATACAGGCTCCAGCCGTGAGAGAGGAAACATTACCTGAGTTGAGGCAAAGCCTCCATAGGCATTCTGCTGCTTCGTCAGCCAGGCCACAATGTCTGTGGCCTTCTTGATATCCTCATTGCTGACGTTTTGGGGCGAAAGCCTAGCCAGAAGCACATATGCTGTCAGCTCCACACTCACAGACTCAGGCTGGGACCAAGGATTCTCGGTGGATGCTGGGGCAGTCCTTGGGCTCCAATATATCTGCCCTCCTACCAAAGAAAAATGAAACTTGTATGTTTGGAAGAGCCAATCTGAGGTTGGTGAAATGGGTTTTGGGTTAAGGGCGAGCTCATGGCCTGTAGTTGCTCCTGTGAACATGCACTGACACTGGGAAGCTGCGCTCAGGAATGGAATTTGAACCCACTCCTCATGCTAGGATTAATCCAGGGAAAACTCTTAATATTTTATTTTATTGAATTTTATTTTGCTGAATCTTATTGAATATGTTAGTCGCTTTATTTTGCCCAGGGCAATCCAAGGCAGCTTAAAACCAGCCAGCCAGCCAAACCACCAACCAACCCACATAGATACATTAAAATCAAGAGGAAAAAGAAATATATTTAAAACATCCCACCCATTTCTCAAAGGCCACAGATAGCTTAAGGCCAAAGACCTGGTTGTAGAGGAAAGCTTTTGCTTGGCACCTAAAGATATGTAGTAAAGGCGTCAGGTAAACCTTTCAGGGGAGAGCACCCCACAAGTGGAGAGCCAACAAAGAAAAGGCCTGTTCTCCTCTCCAGACATCGCATGAAGGAGGCACACAAAGAAGGGTTAAAGATGATGATCACAGGCTCCAGGTCAGTTCACATGGGAAGAGGTAGTCCTTGAGGTAATGTGGTCTTGAGCCAGGATTGGGTTATATGCTCAAACCGTCTTGCCAAGGGCAGCAGCAGAGGAAGCAGCTCATGCGCCTGGGGCAGCGCGCCCAGGGGTGAGGCGAGCCACCCATAGGGGTGGGGTGAGGGCGGGGCGCACAGCAGGGCCTCCAGAGTCTGCCTGCCTCCTCCCAATCAGCCGCCCTACAGCTGAGGGGGAGGCAGTGGGCGGACCGTTTGGGGCAGCATGGAGCCTGTGCGTGCCCAAGGAGACACACATGGCGCTGGTGCGCTGCAGGCCCCACAGTGAGTGCCACTTGGCATTTTGTCACCCCCCCTCAGTGGTGACACCCAGGGCGAAACGCACCCACCGCACCCCCCTTCCTCCACCCCTGGCTAGCAACCTGGTTGCTGAATTCTGTATCAGCTGAAGTTTCTGAACCGCCTTCAGAGGCAGCCCCCCCCTCACTGTCTGGGCTGAAAGATGGGGGTGGAGACACTCCTTAAGGCATACTGGGCCAAGGCCATTTAGGACTTTAAAGGTCAGCGCTTGGAATTGTGCTTCGAATTAATAGGCTTATTTAATGCACTGTAAACAAAGTACAGTCATACCTTAGGTTACAGACGCTTCAGGTTGCATTCTTTCGGGTTACGGATGCGCCAAAACCCGGAAGTACCAGAATGGGTTACTTCCAGGTTTCGGTGGTTGTGCATGCATAGAAGTGCTAGATTGCGCATGCGCAGAAGCGGCGAATTGCAACCCGCGAATGCTGTGGGTTGCGAACGTGCCTCCCACACAGATCACGTTGGCGACCCAAGCGTCCACTGTATCTAGCCGGTGGACAGAACACACTTTACTTAATATGTACTTAATATCAAGACAGTGATACACAATATGTGATTCACCCAGGGATTTTTTTCAGTTCTTGCGAGTTCTTGCGAGTTCTGGCACCTCTCAGGTGGGCGCTGTTGCCATTATAAGAGTACAAGGGAGGTGTTCATATTGAGTTCTGGCACCTCTTTTTCTATAAAAATAGGACTGGACTCACCCCTACACATACACAATCTGAAATAGTGCATCGTACGAATTGTGTATTGGATTTCAATCTGAAGACAAACTATTAGACCATGATTGTTGACATCATATTCTCCTCAGTACCTGACTTGATGGCTTGCTGGTCTAGTTTGGTAAGCAACATTTGTCTCATGGCTACATCTCCAGCTAATGTGAAGACATATGCCAACAATCCCTGCACATAAATATCTGTCGTGTTCGAGACAGTCGTTTTGAGATAGTCTAAGCCATTCTTCACCACTGGATCCTGGAAGAGAAAGAAACAAGTAGCAGGGCAAAGTGTTAAGAAGACCTGTCCTTGTACCAGTGATTGAATATGATTGTGGGCCACTGGAAAGGCAAAATACACTAGACATGTTCACACCAGCTATTTCCTTAGGACAAAGTTGAATCCGCCGCACTGCACCAAACCCCAAGGGCAGTCACTAGTTAGAACTCCACTTCCTTGTCTCGTCCATACTTCCGCTTCTCCCGGAACAAAAGTCAATGGGCAGAATTACCAATTGACGTTTGTCCAGCAGTAAGCAGCATGTTTCCCCAGGGGAAGCAGGAGGACAAACAAAGCGCCACTTGGAACCGTGCTTTCTAAGCACAGAACAAGAAGAAGTGTGGACAGGCCCTCAGCTGTGATTGCAGACAGCAAGGTGAGTTCTTCATTTAAAGGGAAGCCTTATCGACGCTTTCCTTTCCTTTGTGCTTTCCAGTCATGGTCCATGCTTTACAACTCTTTGTTTGAACACTCCCCCCCCCCCCGCTTCAGAGCTTTCCTTGTGAAAATCCGCTCTTTACTGCTGAATGGGAGCAAATGGCAATCAGCCGAAAACCCAAATTGCTGTTTGTTACGCTTCAGCTTTAAAGAGTGGACCTGTGCCCTGGAAAGGTGTGGACAAGCGTGGAGTGGCACTTCCCTGGGGCGATGTCTGATCATTGCCTTAGCTTTTTATGAGAAAGAGCAAGTCCAAATGTCAAGTCTGGAAACTCAATATTCCCATTTTGTTACATGTATCTAGTCAAAGGAGACTTCAGGGAAGTGACTGCGTCCAATGATCTTGAAAGCAGTGTTTTGTTTTGCTTTGCTTTGTTTTTGTCTCGGCTGACTGTCAATTTGCCATGCATTTGAATAGACTGTTTACTCTATGGCAGGCACGTCCAACTGCCAAGTGACTGCAATCTACTCCCAGTATAAAAAAACTGGAAGTGATCTAGCCATTGTAATTGGAGGGAGGAGGAGCATGCGTGGGGTGGGTTGCCCCAAGTTGTTGAGCTTTTTTGGGGGAGGGCTGCTCAGAGTATTTAAGCTTCTTTGGGGGGGGCAGGGTTCCTTAGCTTTTAATTTTAGGGGAGGATGCAAAAGATTGATCATCAGCCTGACTAGTGCTTCCACTTGGAAGCGTCACGCTTACTTGCACTTCCTGCCGAACACAGCTTCCTGTGCTGCTGCCATGGCAGCAGAGAGATCTCGCATGGGGGGTGAAGGCATTCCTTTGACAATTTATTTAATCCCACTGTCAACCAGGAACACCCCCGATTAACCAGGAACACCCCGGGGAGCAACCTGTCGATCGCAGTCGACCAGTTGAACATGTCTGCTCTATGGCAGCCAAGGAAGCAAAACATTCAGCTCTTAGCCACTGCAAGCAAACTCACACCCTGCTGGTCAGGATTAAAACAGCAAAACAGCAAGGTCGCTCTCCCGCCCCCTCCCGGACCCACTCTATTTCAAGTTGCATTTGCGCTTTCTGTACACACACCAGAGGGGGGCTGGGGGTGTCTTTTCCTAACGCACACTACCCAGGCTCGTCAACTCCAAAAGAAATGGGGGGGGGGGGGGCTGACGTCATGCACAACATCACAACGTCATGTTGGGGCATTGCACATAACGTCACGATGTCGTCTGTGGCACCCGGACGTTGGACATGGTCCATGATACATGGACTCAGTCTGACCCTTATGTTTCCCCTCCCCTTATGGTTTTGATCTATGGGCTACTTTTAAAATGAGTCTGAATTTTAAATTGCATTTTAACCTGTATTTTGAATTGGTTTTTTCCCCCTATTATGTTTTTACTGCAATTTTACTGGTGTTAGCCTCCCTGAGCCCGGCTCTGGCCGGGGAGGGCAGGGTATAAATAAAAATTATTATTATTATTATTATTATTATTATTATTATTATTGACATCTGGGTGTCATGCGGCAGCTCAGCTTCCATGGCTGGCGTCTCCTCCTCCTCACGCCATGGGCTGGGGGCTGATTACCCTCCCCGGGGGGGGGGGGGAGGAGGAGGAGGAGGAGGAGGAGGAGAAGAGCCGACACATTCCTGGCTCGCACAAGCATGCAAAGTCCAGGCATCCTGTGTGACAGTGTCACACTGAGGCGTCCCACTCAGACAAACATTGAGGGGGCCCAGCCCCTGCTAACAAATATGGGGGGGGAGCAAGCTCAAAGGAGCTCAGCTCCTAGGATTCGGTGCCCCTGACACTGCCCCATTTGTTTCCCTGCCCTTACAAGCCATGGAACTCATATTCAAGGATGCCGTCAGCTGTGCATGCACAATGGCCGCCTCAAATGCGCCTGTCTCAGCTAAGCCACAACTCGTGTTTTCAAATTGGATGGGAGCTGGTATGAGGGGGAAAGCATCAGACAGGAGTATTTCTCAAGAATCTACAGGATATATATGGATTGCAGCTATTGTCATGTGCACTTGGCTTCAATCACCAGTGGTGGGAGTACACGGGAGACTGAGCAAATGGTCATGCGCACATGGCCCGAGACTGAACAGCACTCACCTCAAGCGGCTTTCTGGCCTCCAAGAGTGCACCAATGATATAAGCAGTAAGAGAGATCACATTATTTACACCTCCCTGTGAAGCACATGGCAAAAGAGAGAAAGACGGAACGAGACCGTGAGATAATTTTTGCATCAAGGGCAAAAATGAAACAGCAATTAATACGGCTGCTAAGATCTTTCAGGAGTCAGTAGGGACAGCAGTATTTATAGTGCTCAACCTAGTCTAGTACAATATGCTGTCCTTAGGCAAAGGACTGAAGAGAGAGAGAGGCCTGTGGCAAGGAGGAGCGACAACCACACTGCAAGGTTAAATGTTTGCTATAGTGGAAGGGCACCTTGGTAAGTGAAGTCCTGCCCCTCACAGAGACCCTTGGGGTAACAGGGTCCTTGCTGGAGTGATGGACAAATTGTTGTACTATACAGTTATTGACTTACACTTGTATGCATTAATGAGTTAACCTCAGGCCAGAGCTCAGGTTGCAAGTGGCTTAGAAGGTGCTCAGTCGGCTTTGCTCCCAACCCCTTCTCAATCCTTTCTTCTTCCTGCTTCTTAGAACAAGCAAGAAGCAATGTGGCCTTGGCTCCCTGCATGTGATCTGAATCTCTCTAAAAGGAGATTTCATAGCCTGCATCTTGCTACCTCAGATAGTACATGATCCTTGGAACCTTTCCCATCTTCATTTTACTGCCAATGGATGGAGACTTGTTTGCTGTAACATCTGGAGACTCTGTGAGTAAACTATTCACTTATTTGCAAAGCTAAGTGACTGTGATTTATTCTAGCCTAAGTTTTTTTTTGTGGGGAACATTAGTTTAAAGGTGGCTGAGGGCAGATACAAATCTAACCAAGTTTCAATGTGCTTGGAGCAATTGTCATTGTGCTTAATTCTACTACGGGAGAGGAATCTCTCTTCTAAACACCTCTCTCTAACAGAGATTGCTCCCTGTCTAGCCATTTCTGTGGATCCAGTTTCTTCTTTCCCCCTATGCGAATTAATAGAGGTATTGCTTCATTAGCTTGCATTAACTGCCTGCAGGGGTGCACATACATGGGATTTTTTTTTAAAAAAATAGATATGATACACATGACCTACTGCACTTCTTATTGCAGTTTGCAGCAGCATGTACCACAATACAAGGGTGATCTGGCATTGTATTCTACACACTGTGCGTTGTGAGCAGCAACTGTGATTGTGGAAAACAATTGTACATTGATGTCTGGCAATTGAAAGCAGTTTCATTAAAGACTGCACCCCTCTGAACTCGTACCTTCATTGTTCTGTGGAAGAGTTTCCCCACATTGGCAAAGGAGCCATCGGGCTGCTGGTAACTTGCCAACCACCGCAAAGCAGCCTGGATATCCTCATCATCGATGAAGGTATATTCCTCAGCTTTGCTGAAAACCTTGATCACAAAAGCTGTCAGCCTTGAGAAGAGATGGAGAAAGCAAATAACGGCTGGGTTGTTTTCAAAGGCTACTGATTCAGGGTTGTTTATCCCCATTCACAAATGTGACCACCTTCAGCTGCCTCAAATTTTCCTGCCCTCTTATACAAGTTTAATTCACAACTTCCATCATATCTGACCACTGGGCATGCTGGTTAGGGCTGATGGGAGTTGTATGGGGTTCCTTCCAGCTCCACAATTCTATGACTCACCAGGTATTGCCTTGCCCATCACTCTCTCCAAATGCACTATAAGAACCATCCCTGTGTTTGTACTGAAGTTGTCTCTGGTACCCTTGGGGGGGGGGGAAGAAAAAGAAAACTGAGGATCGGAGGGTGAAAGACTTTGGACATCTGTGCAACACACAACACACACCCAGCCCCACAATTGTTATATAGGCTCATTGCTGCAAAACTCTGAGCTTGCACCATGAGCTTCCTGTGCAGTGTAACTCTTTCCATGGTTCATTTTACACATCATAAATCAATGTATATTTTACAAAAACTATACCATTCAGTATTCCATTATTGCATCTATCAAAGCTTATTTACACAGGTGAATTTATCTTAATGCTGCTGCCAGAGTTTCCAGCTGTATGCAATAAATAATAATAATAATAATAATAATAGAATCATAGAATCATAGAATCATAGAGTTGGAAGAGACCACAAGGGCCATCGAGTCCAACCCCCTGCCAAGCAGGAAACACCATCAGAGCACTCCTGACATATGGTTGTCAAGCCTCTGCTTAAAGACCTCCAAAGAAGGAGACTCCACCACACTCCTTGGCAGCAAATTCCACTGTCGAACAGCTCTTACTGTCAGGAAGTTCTTCCTAATGTTTAGGTGGAATCTTCTTTCTTGTAGTTTGGATCTATTGCTCCGTGTCCGCTTCTCTGGAGCAGCAGAAAACAACCTTTCTCCCTCCTCTATGTGACATCCTTTTATATATTTGAACATGGCTATCATATCACCCCTTAACCTCCTCTTCTCCAGGCTAAACATGCCCAGCTCTCTTAGCCGTTCCTCATAAGGCATCGTTTCCAGGCCTTTGACCATTTTGGTTGCCCTCCTCTGGACACGTTCCAGTTTGTCAATGTCCTTCTTGAACTGTGGTGCCCAGAACTGGACACAGTACTCCAGGTGAGGTCTGACCAGAGCAGAATACAGTGGCACTATTACTTCCCTTGATCTAGATGCTATACTCCTATTGATGCAGCCCAGAATTGCATTGGCTTTTAGCTGCCGCGTCACACTGTTGGCTCATGTCAAGTTTGTGGTCAACCAAGACTCCTAGATCCTTTTCACATGTACTGCTCTCAAGCCAGGTGTCCCCCATCTTGTATTTGTGCCTCTCATTTTTTTGCCCAAGTGCAATACTTTACATTTCTCCCTGTTAAAATTCATCTTGTTTGTTTTGACCCAGTTCTCTAATCTGTCAAGGTCGTTTTGAAGTGTGATCCTGTCCTCTGGGGTGTTAGCCACCCCTCCCAATTTGGTGTCATCTGCAAATTTGATCAGGATGCCCTTGAGTCCATCATCCAAGTCATTGATAAAGATGTTGAATAAGACCGGGCCCAAGACAGAACCCTGTGGCACCCCACTAGTCACTCTCCTCCAGGATGAAGAGGAACCATTGATGAGCACCCTTTGGGTTCGGTCAGTCAGCCAGTTACAAATCCACTGAGTGGTAGCATAGTCAAGACCACATTTTACCAGCTTCTTTACAAGAATATCATGAGGCACCTTGTCAAATGCCTTGCTGAAATCAAGGTAGGCTACATCCACTGCGTTCCCTTCATCTACCAGGCTTGTAATTCTGTCAAAAAACGAGATCAGGTTAGTCTGACATGACTTATTTTTCAGAAATCCATGCTGACTATTGGTGATCACAGCATTCCTTTCTAGGTGCTCACAGACTGTTTGCTTAATGATCTGCTCCAGAATCTTCCCTGGTATTGATGTCAGACTGACTGGGCGGTAATTATTTGGATCCTCTCTTTTCCCCTTTTTGAAAATAGGGACAACATTTGCCCTCCTCCAGTCTGCCGGGACTTCGCCTGTTCTCCAGGAATTCTCAAAGATGACTGCCAGTGGTTCTGAGATCACATCTGCCAGTTCTTTTAATACTCTTGGATGCAGTTCATCTGGCCCTGGAGACTTGAATACATCTAAACTAGCCAAGTATTCTTGTACTATCTCCTTAGTTATTCTGGGTTGTGTTTCCTTTGCTGAATCATTTGCTCCAAATTCTTCAGGTCAGGCATTGTTTTCTTTATCAGAGAAGACTGAGGCAAAGAAGGCATTGAGGAGTTCAGCTCTTTCTGTGTCCCCTGTTTGCATTTCACCATCTTCTCCTCTGAGTGACCCCACTGTTTCTTTGTTCTTCCTTTTGCTACGGACATACCCATAAAAGCCTTTTTTGTTGCTTTTAACCTCTCTAGCAAGCCTGAGTTCATTCTGTGCTTTAGCTTTTCTGACTTTGTGTCTACACGTGCTGGCTATTTGTTTGAATTCCTCTTTGGTGGTTTCCCCCCCTTTCCATTTTTTGTACACATCCTTTTTTAATCTTAACTCAGTTAAAAGTTCTTTAGATAGCCACCCTGGCTTCTTTAGGCACCTTCCATGTTTCCGTCTCATTGGTATTGCCTGACGTTGTGCTTTTAGTATCTCCTCTTAACAAACTCCCAGCCATCATGAACTCCCTTTCCTTTTAGTATTACTGTCCATGGGATCTCACCCAGCACTTCCCTAAGTTTTATGAAGTCAGCTTTCTTAAAGTCAAGAAATTGAGTCCTAGTATGTTTGGCTGCTCCTTTCCGCTGTATAGTAAACTTCAGAAGAGCATGATCACTCGCGCCTAATGATCCTTCCACTTCTACCCCACTAACCAGGTCATCAACATTGGTTAGGACCAGATCTAAAATGGCTGTTCCTCTTGTTGCTTCTCCCACTTTCTGGACAATGAAGTTGTCTGCAAGGCCAGTGAGGAATCTGTTTGACCTTATGCTCTTGGCTGAGTTTGACATCCAACAAATATCCGGGTAATTGAAGTCCCCATTACTACTATCTCCGTCCTTTTGCATGCTTGGCCATCTGTTCCAGGAAGGCATCATCTATGTCCTCCGTTTGGCTTGGGGATCTATAGTAAACTCCCACAATGAGGTCACTGTTATTCTTCTCTCCCTTAATTTTGACCCAAATGCTCTCACTTTGGCTTTGAGGTTCTAAATCTTGGATCTCTTCACAGGTATACACATCCCTGACATATAACGCCACTCCTCCTCCTTTCTTGTCTGGTCTGTTTCTCTGAAATAGATTGTATCCCCCCCATTATTACATTCCAATTGTGGGACTTATCCCACCAGGTTTCAGTGATGCCTATTATGTCATATTTAGTTTGCTGTACCAAGAGCTCAAGCTCATCTTGTTTATTTCCCATGCTTTGCGCATTAGTGTACAGACATTGAAGTCCGTTAATCATTCCCCGTGACTCTTATTTAAGGATTTTTCCTCCCACCACTAGGTCTGTGTGCTGTTTGCTCCATTTGGTCTATGACATTTGGATGATCATCTTCATCAATTGATAGACTCCTACCTTCAGGAGCACTGTCTCCCTCCCCACATTAGTCAGTTTAAAGCCCTCCTGATGAGGTTTCTGAGATTTTTGGCAAAAACATTTCTCCCAACCGTTGTGAGGTGCAGCCCATCGCTTGCCAGAAGTCCATCTTCAAGAAACTGCAGTCCGTGATCTAAGAATCCAAACCGTTCCTGTTTACACCATTTGCGAAGCCAGCTGTTCACTTCCACTATTTTCCCCTCTCTCCTGGGCCACGTCGTTCAACTGGGAGGACAGATGAGATCACAATTTGTGCATTTAATTGCTTCAATTTCCTGCCCAGAGCCTCGTAGTCTCTTTTGATCTTCTGGAGGCTATTGCTTGCAGTGTCATTGGTTCCCACATGAACCAAGAGGAAGGGGTATTTGTCAGTGGGTTTTATGATTCCTTGCAGTCGTTCAGTTACATCTTGGATCTTAGCCCCGGGGAGACAGCACACTTCCCGAGACATCTTGTCAGGCCCACAGATCACTGCTTCTGTTCCCCTCAGTAGGGAATCCCCTATCACCACTACACGCCTCCTCTTAGGTTTGGTCGGGGTTCTTCCGTGAGCTGCCCGTTCCAAGGTTGCCTGCACATTCCCTGAGGACTGACTTTGCTGCTCGTCTTCATATACCTGATCGACTGTAATGAGGGAGAGATCCTCAAATGGAGTCTGCTCTTCGTCTTCCATGCTAGGGGAGAGGACCTCAAAGCGATTGTGTATTTCTAAACAATCAGAGCGAACCCTGGGCCTCCTACTTCTTTGAGTCATGTTTCTCCATATATCTGGCTCTAGTGTTGGTGAAATAATAATAATAAAATTTATTTATACCCCACCAATCTGGCTGGGTTTCTACAGCCACTCGGGGCGGCTTCCAACAGAACACTAAAATACAATAACCTATTAAACATTAAAAGCTTCCCTAAACAGGGCTGCCTTTAGATGTCTTCTAAAAGTTTCCCATATATTCAATAAATGTTTTCCAGTCTTCTTTAAACCTATGTTATTCTTGTTCTCTTATTTTATATGTTAAATCTGCAAGCTGTGCATATTCTGTCAAGTTGCCACTCTTCTTTGTTTGGGACCTCGCTCATTTTCCATTTTGGGGCTAACAAAACATGGGCTGCAGTAGTGGCATACACAAATAACCTTTTTTTGACACCTTGGAATTTCAGTCTGAATTATCACCAACAGAAAGGACTCTAGAGAAGCAAATGACAGACCTGACTGCAGGTAGCCCAGCGCTTTCGTCTTCAGCTCCTCATCCATCTGCCCTGTGTTTTCCAAGTACTGCAGCACATAGATGATGGGGGCAAACAAGACCATGTTTTGCTCCCCGCAACCACTGGGCATCTGTACCAGTTTGTCCAAGTTCTGCAGTGCCGTCCCCATGATATCACCTGGCCAGATGTGAATACAAAGTTACCCTCTTTCCGACTGGTTGGACGTTGCTCCGCCCCCCTCGGTCACATGACACAAAAGAGCAACCCTATCCCAGAATTTGTTCCAAATGCCCCCTCCCCATCACCAACGGCATGCACCCAACTCAGGGGCCTTTGCTTCCATTGCCACACTATTCATTCACACACCCTGTACTGTAAGTAAAGGTAAAGGGACCCCTGACCATTAGGTCCAGTCTTGGACGACTCTGGGGTTGCGGCGCTCATCTCGCTTTATTGGCCAAAGGAGCCGGCGTACAGCTTCTGGGTCATGTGGCCAGCATGACTAAGCCGCTTCTGGCGAACCAGAGCAGCGCACGGAAACGCCGTTTACCTTCCTGCCAGAGTGGTACCTATTTATCTACTTGCACTTGCTTTCAAACTGCTAGGTTGGCAGGAGCAGGGACCGAGCAACGGGAGCTCACCCCATCGCGTGGATTCGAACCGCCGACCTTCTGATCGGCAAGCCCTAGGCTCTGTGGTTTAACCCACAGCGCCACCCGCGTCGCTTACCCTGTACTGTAGTCCTGTATAAAAAGAAGGGCATAGGCATTTTCACTGAAGCTTTCACAAATGAAAAGAATCCCCTTGCAAAAGGAAGTGGAAATGCTCATGATGTTCAAGAGCAGGATAGGTGGAACTCTGATCCCGTCGCCCAGGCAACGAGACCAAAGTTTCATGAAACCAATAGCAAAGGGCCATAGCTCAGTGGTAGAGTATTTGCTCTGCAGGCAGAGGGTTCCAGGTTCCAGGTTCGATCCCTGCCATTCCCAGGTTGTATTGAGAGAGAACCTGGCCTGGAACCCCTGAAAGCAGTGTACACAATGCTGAACTAGATGGACCATTGGTCTACCGTATTTTTCGTTCCATAAGACGCACCTGACCATAAAACGCACCTAGTCTTTAGAGGGGGAATGCAAGAAAAAAAATATTCTTTAAAGGGAGCGCTGAGCAGAGCCAGTATGCATCCCAGGCTCTGCTCAGCTCTCCCGTTCACGAGCCGCGTGGAGCGTGTGTGCAGTGCTTGCAGGCTTTTCCCCAGGGAGGGAGAAGGGCAGCCTGTCACTGACGGGTTGCCCTTCTCCCTCTTTGGGGAAAAGCCCCCAAGAGCCGCACACACGCTCCGCGCAGCTCTTGAAAGGGAGCGCTGCTCTTGCGGGCTTTTCCGGGAGGTGGGGGAAGGGACAGAGTGCGGCTAAGCCAGAAGCTAGAACAGCGAGAGGGAGCGTAGCAATCCCTCTCCCTGTTCTGGCTTCTGGGATAGCTGCACAGCCTGCATTCGCTCCATAAGACGCACACACATTTCCCCTTACTTTTTAGGAGGGAAAAAGTGCATCTTATAGAGTGAAAAATATGGTAATTCGATGTAAGTCAGCATCCTATGCGCCTATTTGGCACATTGTGGTAAAAGAGGGAGCATCAGCCCAGTAGCCGTCAGCAGTCAGTATAGATTCCCTCCCCTCACATTCAGAGCGAGGGCAAAACAATTGTATACCCTCCAACATTTCTCCAATGAGAACTGGGACGTCCCAAGGAAAAGGGGGACATTATGGGATCAAATCAGAAACCGGGTTGGCTTCTGTAAATTTGGGGTTGTCCCTGGAAAATAGGGTCTGCAATTGATTGTGTTTATCTGCAGTGATGGTCCTCACATAACCAGCTCGGTTTGATTGCATTGCAATGTAAGATTTTCTGTTTACAGTGTAATCCCTCATTAGCTGGGATCATGTAGCTGGGGAGAAGCTCTATCAAACCTTCTTTCTTTGAACTTTAAAACACTTAGAGCAGCTCTGTGGTCACGCAGAGTGGATTCCCTTTTAAAATGCTCCGAGGAAGTGATTGAATGGCATAATGCCATGGCTACTAGGCCTGAAAAATGCACAAAAATGGATTCCCAGAGAGCTTTGCAAAGCACATTAGGTGCAGTTCAAATAAATGTTCTCTAGTTAAATAGGCTTTTTTCTCTCCCTGGGCTGGCTAACACGCAGCTCACAGCATCCTTGTATGAAATGAAGATGGCTGCCATATGTGCCTGGGGGCAGCCATCTTTTTGCCCTACAAGTCTGTAGGAAGGGATGATGATGAGGATGATGATGATGATGATAATAATAATATGTTCCACCATTCACCACCACATTCCTGGGAGTGACGCGGCTGGCCCCGCCCCTGGGCGCAGGACACGCGCGCCACCCCAGGCACCTGATTGGCTTGCTTTGCCGCTGCATGGAAGGCAGCACCTTGTACAGACAAGAGCAGGGCCTGCCACCAAGGTTGAGTCTTCTTTCTTCAGCAGCCAATTTCCTAACTGAATGAAGCCTGTGAACAAGGTTTTCTTGGGCTTACCATACAACTACACGCAACACTTGGCTGTTGAAGAAAGAAGTTCTGATGCCAGAGCCAGGGCTGACAGTGTGTGGCCCTGATCCAGTCTCTACTCAATTATGCCTTGCACATGAGGAATGCGTGCACAGGGGGTACAGACTCATTGCGCCTCTTCTCATTACCTCCTTATGTCTACCACATTTGTTCATGTATGTATACACCTGCTGAAAACTTAGCGCGCAGGTAAGTTGCAGAACCAGCTTGATTTCTTACCAAGAACAGATACCTGGGCCCTGGCAGAATCTGGCACGACATCCTCAGGAAGCTCCAAGGAGAATGAATCTGAAGCAGAACCTCCTGACAATGAGATGAATACGTGGTTAATTTGAGGGTAACAGAAGTGTACACAGAAAGCTCTGCAAGTGAAGCCAAATTCGACCGCAATGGAATTCCTCACTGCCCCCAGTCCTCATGCCTGCTCTTCCATTGGCAACAGTGGGGCCTTTCCTCTCATTCTGCTTAGCAGGGATAAAAGGTAAAGGGACCCCTAACCATTAGGTCCAGTCGTGGCTGACTCTGGGGTTGCTGCGCTCATGTTGCTTTATTGGCCAAGGGAGCCGGCGTACAGCTTCCGGATCATGTGGCCAGCATGACTAAGCCGCTTCTAGCGAACCAAAGCAGCACACGGAAACGCCGTTTACCTTCCTGCCGGAGCGGTACCTATTTATCTACTTGCACTTTGACGTGCTTTCGAACTGCTAGGTTGGCAGGAGCAGGGACCAAGCAATGGGAGCTCACCCTGTTGCAGGGATTTGAACCATCATAGGTGCCTTCAGCTTAGGGAGACCACACGTTATGAAGTCTAAGTTCCAGTTTGGAATCATATGGTTGATGGGAAGCCAACAAAGTTCTAGGCCTAATAGATGGAATAAGGTAAAGGTAAAGGGACCCCTGATCGTTAGGTCCAGTCGTGACAGACTCTGGGGTTGCGGCACTCATCTCGCTTTATTGTTCGAGGGAGCCGGCGTACAGCTTCCGGGTCATGTGGCCAGCATGACTAAGCCGCTTCTGGCGAACCAAAGCAGTGCATGGAAACGCCGTTTACCTTCCTGCCGGAGCGGTACCTATTTATCTACTTGCACTTTGATGTGCTTTCAAACTGCTAGGTTGGCAGGAGCAGGGACCAAGCAATGGGAGCTCACCCTGCTGCGGGGATTTGAACCGCCAACCTTCTGCTCGGCAAGTCCTAGGCTCTGTGGTTTAACCCATAGTGCCACCCGCGTCCCTTAGCAGGGATAGGCAGGAACAATTCAGAGCTGGGGGTAAGGCTGCAGCAGGGCAAAGCTTCTCCCCCACCCCCACCCCTGCCCCAAGCCATTGTCCTATTCCAGCTCAGTCCTCGCCCCCGCACCAGCGATTTGGTGTTTTGTTTTGTTTCCTAATCAGGGAAAACCCACTACAGTGGTACCTCAGGTTAAGTACTTAATTCGTTCCGGAGGTCCGTTCTTAACCTGAAACTGTTCTTAACCTGAAGCACCACTTTAGCTAATGGGGCCTCCTGCTGCCGCTGCGCTGCCGGAGCCCGATTTCTGTTCTTATCCTGAAGCAAAGTTCTTAACCTGAAGCACTATTTCTGGCTTAGTGGAGTGCGTAACCTGAAGCATATGTAACCTGAAGCGTATGTAACCCAAGGTGCCATTGTACTTAGTGATAGATCAGAAAAAGTCGTGATTCAGGGGAAACCTGAATTGCCAACTGAGTGCTAAAGAGCAGTCCCCCCCAACACACACACACACACACACACACACACACACACACACACACACGTGGATAAGCCCTAAGTGGTGGTGAATGCAGCTTGCCTTTCATTCCTGAAACCTCTTTTGTCCCCAAAGTTAAAAGGTGTTAGGTGCTACTGACCTTCAGGGCATAACAGAGAGCTATGAGCTTTCTCAGCCAGGACGCCCTCAGGCTGCCAGGGAAAGGCAGAGAAAAAAAATCAGTTTTCAAACCATCAAAATATTCACATAGCCTTCAGATTTAAACACCTGGTGTGTTTCATGCGGGGGGGGGGGGGCGTGTCTCAAAAGTCCCTCCCTTCACATCTGTCATTCAGAAGCAGCAGAGTAATATGTGCTCCTCTGAAGGTGTTAGTCCCAGACACCTTGTGGAAGAAGGTGGAAGAATGTCAGCCAGTGGAAAGCAGCAATAAAAAGATGGTATTCTTTTTGCTTGCAGTTGAGAAGGAAATGGACAGAAGCTTCTCTGATGCTTCTGCTGCCAAGTTCTGCTTGTGAGCTGACAATAAAGATATTCACTTCTGAGTGTGTACAGTCCTTCTCCAGGGAACCCCAGGAAAAGGCTCTTTCCTGAAATTAGGGGCCATTCCAAAAATAATAATCGCTTTCCCCCTTTTACATCTCTTGCTGAACATTCAGAACGTGTCCTCCTTCTCACAAGAGCAGGTGAAGCACAGGTAGTCATGAATACTAGTCTAGTATATTATATATATATAGAGAGAGAGAGGGAGAGAGTATTATATATACTGAATATTAGTCTTTCCACAGGGCCTGCAAGACAAAGCTGTTTGCCTGGCCTTCGGTTCCGACTCAGTCTGACCCTTATGTTTCCCTCCCCTTATGGTTTTGATGAGGCTGCATTATTAAATTGCATTTTAACCTGTATTTTAAATTGGGTTTTTTCTTTTTCTTTTCCCTATTATATTTTTACTGTAATTTTACTGTTGTTAGCCACCCTGAGCCTGGCTCTGGCCGGGGAGGGCGGGGTATAAATAAAATTTATTATTATTATTAGGTCACTTCCCACTTCTCATACTTCAAGTAGCCTCATGTAGGGGGAATCACAGAATCGTAGAATTGGAAGGGACCCTGAGGAACATCTAGTCCAACCCCCTACAATGCAGGAATATGCAGCTCTCCCATACGGGGATTGAACCTGCAACCTTGGCATTATCAGACCATGCTCTAACCAGGTGAGCTATCCATATAGTCACAGGGAGGGGGATTTGCAGAGGTAGGAAGAAATGCTGTATCATAGACTCACCCGGACAAGGAGAGACTTGATCAAGGTGTCACTTCGGCCCTTTACCAGGCACGGCGGTCTGCTCACCACCACAGAGTTTCTCACTTTTGAGTGCCATTGTGGTGACAGTGAAGTTCATCACACCTGACGGCAAATGACAGAAAATGCGTTCATCCCTGCAAAAACACGCTGTTTCAGAAGTCAGAAATGGAACAATTTCTATAAGGTCCCCTCCTCCCTGCCTGATCTCCTTGATAATTCCTAATGAGCCCAGCTCATAATTGCTGATAGGTGATAGACTGCTTCAAGAGGCTTCCCTCTGTGGAGTAATTTTATTAATATAAAATATAAAATAAAAAGTGTGGTAAGTGTGGATAAGCTGTCAGATGGCTTTCTCAGAGGCTTCTGGTTGGCTACTGTGGAAAGAGAACGTGGGACCTAGATAGGTTTTTGGTCTGATCCAGAGGGCTTTGTCTTACAGTCTGTGATAAATAATAATAATAATAATAATAATAATAATAATAATAATAAAAAGAGTGGTAACTCGGGTTAAGTACTTAATTCGTTCCGGAGGTCTGTTCTTAACCTGAAACTGTTCTTAACCTGAAGCACCACTTTAGCTAATGGGGCCTCCTGCTGCCGCCGGGCCGCCGGAGCACGATTTCTGTTCTTATCCTGAAGCAAAGTTCTTAACCTGAGGTACTATTTCTGGGTTAGCAGAGTCTGTAACCTGAAGCGTATGTAACCTGAAGCGTATGTAACCCGAGGTACCACTGTAATACAGTGGAACCTCGGGTTATGTACCGTCCTCCTTATGAACACGTTGGGTAACAAGCTCTGCTAACCCGGAAGTAGATGCTCTTGGTTGCAAACTTTGCCCTGGGATGCGAGCGGAAGTCGCGTGCCGGTGACACAGCAGCAGTGGGAGGCCCCATTTGCGAAAGCGCGCCTCATGTTAAGAACGGTTTTGGGTTAAGAACGGACCTCCAGAAGGAATTAAGTTCATAACCACTGTAATTTATTATTTATACCCCGCCCACCTGGCTGGGTTTCCCCAGCCACTCTGGGCGGCTTCTGACAAAATATTAAAAATACATTAAAACACCAGTCATTAAAAGCTTCCCTAAACAGGGCTGCCTTCAGATGTCTTCTAAAAGTCAGGCAGTTGTTTATTTCCTTGACATCTGATGGGAGGGCGTTCCACAGGGCGGGTGCCACTACCGAGAAGGCCCTCAGCCCGGTTCCCTGTAACCTCACTTCTTGCAGTGAGGGAACCGCTAGAAGGCCCTCAGAGCTGCCAGCATTCTGGATTAGTTGTCGTTTCCCAGTCAACACCAGATCACTTGCTACCAGCAAGGTATTGCTTCTCAATGGAAGCAGGCTTATTGTGGAAGCAGGGGAAGAATTGTTGTCGTTTTTATTTTGATTATGTATTTTGTGGTTTTATATTCTGATTTTATTCTGTGAACCGCCCTGAGACCTTGCGGGTATAGGGCAGTAAATAAATTCAATAAATAAATAATAACACTATCCACACTGTAGCCCAAGAAGATGGGGGTAATTTCAGATTTCAGTAGACAGAGAGGCAAATAACTCCACTTCTGCTTCACTTCAAAATTAAAGGGCAAAAAGAAATACGGGGCATTTTTTAAAAAAAATATACATTGTGACTTTTAAAAAATTTGTAGTAATTATATGTTACCAACACACATGAAATAGGCACACACTTCTGAAAAAATGGGATTTATTCCCTGTGAAGTGCCTGCCTATTGCGTAAGCGGCCCAGTGATTATAACATTAGTCATATAGGGCCAATCCATCTAGAGTCAGCCATGATTCAGTCCTACTGAAGTCAATGAAACTACAAGCTAAAATTCCTTTGGTTTCAGGGAGACAGAAGTTGTGATGACCAACGTCATCTGGAAAAGGGTCTGAGAGAGAGAGGAGAGTGTAAGAGACTTTCCCTCAACCTGTTCTTGGTTATACCATGCCAGGAAAACCCTCTATCAAAATAAGACTGACAGAACCAGACCCCTAGGTGGAATCTACACACATATAAAAAACACTGTGAAACTTTTTTTTAAAAAAAAGTTTTGAAAGATACATTGACTGTTGCATAGCTCACTGTTGCCATTTAGTGTCACCTTTGTATATTGCACTTTACAATACATTTAAAACGTTTTACTTGCAGCTGTATAGCTGAGTCCCAGCTGCTCTACACAACAGGAATCTGGGACTCAGCTACATTGGTCAAGATAAAGCATTTTACATGTGTTATAACACTATGACACCAGATGGAGCTATGAAGTCCCGTTTTCTGCCGAGAGGATTTCCCTGTATGAAGTTTGAATACTTAACTGAATCGCCTCTTTGATGCGTCTAGATCCAGCCCTGGTTGGCCTTGGCCATTACAACCCAGTTGCAAAGTGGTTGTCACCTCACACTGGTTGTTGAGGGATTTGTCCTGTTTCCCCATTCAGTACTTTTGTTGTGCCACTGGGCGAGAGGCACAGAACATCAACAAATACAGTTGTACCCTGGATCCCAGAAGTGAGTGTTCTGACTGAACCCAAACATCTGATGGGGCTTCCAATTGGCTCCCGATTGGCTGCAGGAGCTTCCTGCAGCTAATCAGAAGCCGCACTTTGGTTTCCGAAAGTTTTCGAAGTGGAATGGACTTCCGGAACGGATTCCATTCGACTTCCAAGTTACAACTGTTAGAATCAAGGAGGAAGTCCCCAATTGCATCAAAATATTAACACCCAGAAACCCAGGTGCTATTGCAGCTGAGCTGATTCTTCATTCCCCTCCTCCAGCACCAGATTTTGCAAAGGAGTTCTAGATAAGGGATGCAGGAATTCTGAGTTCCAGAATGCAGCCTAGTGACAGATGCACAGATGGAATGGCTCAGACTGTGGGAGGGATAATGGTTGCCATACAGAAAGGAGATGGGGATATTGCTTAAGGTGGAACACTGTTATGACCAGGTGCATTCATCTTCTCTCTGCCCATCTCTCCTTAGGCCCCCTCACCCAGTTTAGAGGCCTTCACATTCCAGGAGTAAGTCTTCGCTTCACCAGCACATAAGCAACTTGTGTATTCACAGTCCTTGCATGGCTGCACCTCATAATCTTCAGACTTGGACAGGATAACCTGAACCTATGCAACAGTGGGGAAAGGAAAGAGGGAAGGAAGTTTTACTCCGGATTCTGCTCATGGCCGGATTATAATGGTGCAATTGGAGCAAGTTTACCAGGGCGTATGCCTGCAAGAGCCAAGACCCTAAGCAGAATGAATTCAGCTTGCACAATGGGATTTAACACCCTCTTCCCCTCCCCACCCCCACCCTCCACAAATCAGATCCAGAGGATCAGGAGAACCCCCCAGAACAGGTTTAGGGTGCCCTAAAATGATGTTTGTTATCTCAGTGATTTTGATATTGGGACAGAACACAGGATAGTGAGAGCAGGTTTTATTTTCGTTTTAAAACTCAACAATTAGGAGAAATATTGATCCTGTGCTTTTCTTTACTATTTAACCCGTGAAAGCAAAGGAATAAAAAATTGATGCCAATAACACAAGCACTAACTCCCTCTTTGCAGCAGTCTTATACCTCATATTTTCAGAGTCATGTGAGCTACGGTAGGTTAGGTTGAGAGTTCTGGTGGCTGGCTCAAGGAAGCAAGCAAAATCAATGATAAGTTAAGTGAGTTTAAAATGTGGAATTCCAAATACTCAGAATATTTTTTGTCCACAACAGCTTATGCCATAATATATTTGTGTGTGTGTATACATACACACACACACACACACACACACACACACACACACACACACATATACACACATATATTTACACTGTATCTATTAGCATTTTTATAATTTGTTCGTTCATCGTTAGCCTTTTGGTTTAGATGAAAACGAAACAGTATCTAGTTTTGCTTTGTTAATTTTTTTAAATAAATCCCCCAAAAGCTATCAAAATTGGAAAATTATATGTCTGGGCTACTGTAAACTCTTACACATCCCTTGCCCTCCCTCCTATCACTGAGGCACCTGGTCAACCCTTTGACTTAAAAGAGGCGATACACCTGCTCTACTTAACAAGGAATTGAATTCTTAGAGCGTGGGGAATTAGTGAAGATCTTCCTTACCCACATGCAGTGTTTCAAATAGTTGAAGACGGTGGCGATCATTGGAAATGACTCTCCACGAACCACGGAATAGGGCAGGGTGACATCCACGAAGAAAGGCTTAAAGACCGTCAGCCTCGCCGGCGGGGAAATACCCAACCCACTGCTTTGGGAGGTGCAGAACATACTGACTTTCCATTCAGTGATGGTGTCTGGAACTGTGAGTGCCACTGACTTCTCACCTGAAGGACTAAAAAGAATGTGGGAAGTGAGGGCAGGAGATGGCAGTTTGCCTTGCAAAAGGGAGATTTCTCCCCGCCCCCCCCCCGCCCCAACAGAGGTCGTGCATTTCAAAAGTGCATGCCCACGTTTGGTTAATACCATATTGGCCCAAATATAAGCCGCACCTTCAAAATTGGAGGGGGGAGAGGAAAAAAAGAAAAAAAGACCCGAATATAAGCCACTCCATTCCTCGCTGCTCCTGGCTGCATACTTGGGGGCGGGGAGCCATTCTGCGTTGCCAGCGGCCTTTCCCCTTCCTCGCACTCTCTCTCCCCCTTCCCGGCCTTGGGGGAGAGGATGGGGGACTATGCGTGGGGCGCCGCCATTTTGCTGCGCTCCTGGCACTGTTTGCCCTGCGCTCCTGGCGGCATACCGTAAGGTCACAAATATAAGCCGTACTTTAACTTTTCAAGGTTGGAATTTGGGGGGAAAGTGAGGCTTATATTCCGGCCAATACGGTATGTATTTATCTATCTGTTTGTTTGCTTGCTTTTTACTGTTGATATGTTTGGGGAATAGTGTAAGATGTGTCAACTTATTTGCATTATTGTTTGCATAATTGAAACAAACAAAAACATGATTGTCCATAGGAAAAACTAAATTGCTTCTTCCATGCTGACCCCTGACCATCAGGTCCAGTTGTGACCAACTCTGGGGTTGTGGCGCTCATCTCGCTTTATTGGTCGAGGGAGCCGGTGCACCGCTTCTGGGTCATGTGGCCAGCATGACTAAGCCACTTCTGGTGAACCAGAGTGGCGCATGGAAACGCCCATTTACCTTCCCGCTGGAGGGGTACCTATTTATCTACTTGCACTCGGACTTGCTTTCAAACTGCTAGGTTGGCAGGAGCAGGGATTTGAACCGCCAACCTTCTGATCGGCAAGTCCTAGGCTGAAGCCTCCTCATTTCACCACTCTGGGGGGTTGAAGAAAAGCAGCTGGGCACATGGTCAAAGTCCATGTAATTTGGCCCTTAGATGAACACGACCAGAGATCGCATAAGACCTTTTGATGCTTGAGGCAAATAATGGCACCTGTCATTCAGGAAGGTCAAATATAATGATAAATTGAATCGGTGACAATGCACTTCCTTTTTGGGGTATCCCAAAACCTGCCACCTTGTAATGTACCACCTCCCTTTACCTGGTAGGGCTGGCCTTGACAAATTATGGGTAACCTCACAGGTGGGAGGTGGACACTGATATGGTGGCAACCCCTGTCCACCCCAGGTATACCTATTTGGAAGTACCAGCTGTACTGACTTTTTGGTTCCAGGCAAATATGTTTTTCTTTGCATTGAATGTTAAGTTGCCCTTTTATCAGGTTCCGTCTTACTGAAGGGCAGTCTAAAATCGTTGCCAAACTCAATGTGTTTGCATGAATGGCTTTTGTAGCAAGGTCAGGAACCTGGCGTGGGAGGACAGGGTGGGTGGGAGTGGATGATTTAACCCTTTACCCCTCCCTCTCCAGCTATTTGAATGAAGTGTTCCCATTCACAACAACTGAATGGAAATAGCAGGGGCAGAGAGGCTGGTCTGGATCCTGGGCTGCAGCAGAACCCCAATCTGGATCAAGCCCCTTGCAAAAGTTCCCTTAGCTGCATTTGGTAATAGGGGAAGGGAAGGATAAAACCTCCCCATGCATTGCAGTCCCAATAAAAACCGAGTCCCTCCATGCTTTCTATTAAATAAACAAGCAAACCAAAAACCTCAAATGTGGTTGGCCGCTGCACATTTAGCGTCATGTAAGGCCTTAGTATTTTCTGGAGTTAGGACAAGCTGCAAGAAGAAAGAGTGTCACCTTCGTATTTTCTTCTTCCTTCCTAATATGTACCATGAGCAGTGCTTTTTTTTCTGGGGATACGCAGGGGTATGCATACCCCTAAACATTTTGTGCATCTTTGTACTTTTGTCCATTTACTGTATTTATTTCCCCCGATTTGAACTAGAAAATGGTGATTTTCTTGAGTCAAAATGAGAGTACCCCTAAACATTTTTTTAGAAAAAAAAGCACTGACCATGAGCATGTACCATGGAATAGAAATGCGAGTAGAAATCCCAGTATTGTGTGATATATTTGGCTGCCGTTAATGTTGCCGTATTTATTTCACTTAAAACAGGGAGAAATGTACCGTATTTTCTGCTCTATAAGACACACTTTTTCCCTCTTAAAAAGTAAGGGGAAATGTGTGTGCATCTTATGGAGCGAATGCCGGCTGCGCAGCTATCCCAGAAGTCAGAACAGTGAGAGGGATCGGTGTGCACCGATCCTTCTTGCTCTTCTGGCTTCAGGGATAGCCACGCAAAGCCTCTTGAGCGCAGCAGGAGCGCTCCTGCCTCTTCCCTCAAGAGGCTTTGCGTTGCTTTCTTGTTTCTTGTTTTCCCCCTCTAAAAACTAGCTGCGTCTTATGGTCTGGTGCGTCTTATAGAGCGAAAAATACGGTAATTTAAACACAAGATCTGGGAGAAGCCCATCTCAAGAACATGGGTGTAGCCAGGATTTTTGTTGTGGGGAGCAGGTCTTTGGGGGGGCAGAACCTCAGTTTGCTATGTATTTTATTGATTTTAATTGATTGGGGGGTGGAGCTTGTTGGGATACTGCCAGGGAGATGGGGGCATCAGGCAGGCCCCCAGCTGGCTCCAGCTACCAGCCGGCAGACGGTCTCCCTTGGAACAGCATCAATCAGCGACACGAGCCTCAGATACATTTAGAGACCCGTGCACGTTCTATCAGCAGAGTGTGAAAATCTTCTCACAGCAGAAGAGGCAGACAGAGAAATGTGTAAGCATAATGTACAGTGGTACCTCGGGTTAAGTACTTAATTCGTTCCGGAGGTCCGTTCTTAACCTGAAACTGTTCTTAACCTGAAGCACCACTTTAGCTAATGGGGCCTCCTGCTGCCGCTGCGCCGCCAGAGCACGATTTCTGTTCTCATCTTGAAGCAAAGTTCTTAACCTGAGGTACTATTTCTGGGTTAGCGGAGTCTGTAACCTGAAGCATATGTAACCTGAAGCGTATGTAACCCGAGGTACCACTGTATACATTTACATATTAATAGAAGCGTATGTAACCTGAAGCGTATGTAACCCGAGGTACCACTGTACAGCATTTTATTCAGCATAGTTCAGGGACAGAGGAAAACATGTCTGCTTCCCTTCGTCTCCAGCAAAACAGCCGTAACATAAAAGGAATATACAAACGGAAGTTCTCAGCAAGATCTGTGCTGGAAGTAAACGGGCATGTGACACACAACAGTCATGCCTGTACCCTTTTAAGGTGGAACGGAACTATATCCTAACAGAGCTGCCCCTCCCTTCCCCCCAGGCAGGAATTAATCAGGAATTAATCAAAACTTACTCAACATTGTACAGCTTCCAGATCCAGGTCTCAGGGAAGTTCTGGCGGACTTGAGCATCGATGTCTGCGTCTGACAACCAAGGACGGGATTCAGATGCGAGGGCCGGTCTACTCCCTGACTGCAAACCTCCTCCAAGCAACCCTGCTCCAACAAAACAGAAATGCTTAGACTTCTGCCTTGAAAGAGTGGACCAAAAGAGAAATGTGGCTAAGCCCTAGTGTTAAACCACCTTCAACATGGTAAGCACAGATACATACACCAATAATCTGGAATTGGAAACCTCCTTACTTGAAGCGACCATGCCATAGGGAGAGTAGTGGTGCCTGCATGTTGCTGGCTTCTTAATTTTGTTGTTTGACAAGACTTTCAGCCCCATAACCTGTCAGTGGTGAGAGAGACCAAGGAAAGGAATCGCATTAGCTGCGCAGGTCAATGGTGCCAGCTTTTTTTATACCTTCTTCCATCTATCCATACAGCACTCATGTCTTCCTTTCCTCCCTCCTTCTCCCCTTCTCTAGGGTTAGCGACACACACAATTTCTTAAAGGGATATGAAATGAATAATGGGTTGTTTCCAAAAGGGAGTTTGCTGGGCAACCTCAACAGCTGGCACGTGCCATTTTCACACAGGTTCATCATCAAAATGCCAGCCTGGTTTTTCTTAAATTTAATCTGGATCTGGGAATCCCTGAATGCTGTTCAGTGCCTCTTCTACACTAACTCCCCTATTCCAGTTGAAAACTGCATAATAAAGGGCACTTACTTTGAGGAAACTGAAGAAGTCTACCCCACCATCATCAAACCAGGGTCTCCAGCTGTAGCGCTTGCTTCGTGCCAGTGGCATAGGGTCGCCGATTGGTCCTAGTCCATCACAGTGATCGTACTCGGTGACTTGATAAGGATACCCACCTAGGAAGTAGAACCTGTCATACACCTGCAAAGGAACACATGGCGTGTCAAGCAAAAGGATGTGAATTAAGTTGCTGAGGGTAGATATGAAAGGATCTATATCTGACGATTCTAAACCATCAGAGAATAAATCGCAAGTTCTCATATATTTCCCAAAACTTACAACTGAATAACCAAATTCAATTTCCAAAGTTACACCACGTAGATCTGGAGATGAGAAAGAAGAAGGAGTAGATCTCCAAACTCCTAGCAACGGTAATGATGAAGGGGTCGAAGGACAGCGGGATGGGGAAATGCCAAACTCTGAATGTGATGAGGATACTGATGTAGTTTCAAATCTGGATACCAGGCGCTGTCGGGGACTGGGCAGAGGAGGAATGGTGGAGACCACCTCCCCATCTTGACCCTTCCAGGGAGGAGGAAGAGGAAGACAGTATAGATTTACAATAGTGGTTTGCAGGAGGTCACAACTCAGAGGCAGATGAGGGGGAAAGTTGGGAAATAATGGGAGAGGAGGAGGCAGAATCAGAGGGGCTGCTGGCTGACACATTGTCACTAGAAAGCATTCTAGACCCTCCATCTCCCAGAACCCGGCAAGCCTTAAAAGTAGGAGAGCAAAGAGCTCAAAGACAGAGGGCATGTAGCAGCATCCGTAGAAGTGACAAATGAGGAAGTGGGAGAGAAGGGGGTGGAGATTCACTCGGGACAAGGCCATTATCCAAGAGGCTGGGTTCTATAGCCTCTCTCTGTAAAGATTGAAATAAAAAAGGATGGTAAGAAACTTTTCCTTGTCTTTATACTTTCCTGGGCCAGCCAGCTGGGAGCCGCTGACAGCATCCCGACAAGTGCTAGTAATGGCATTCCACTTGTCCTACACTGCAAGGACAATGCAGCCTCATGAATCGCCTGATTGCAAAGAAATTCAGCAAATGCTCATTTATGGAGAAAGGCTGCCCAAGAAGAAATTGATGCACTACATCAAAATAATACACAGACACTTATTTTCCAGCCATCTACAGGAGGAAAAGCAAGTGGGTGCAAGTGAGTTTTTTTCAAATTAAGCAAGAGAATGCACTAGCAAGTGATATGTTATTGCCCAGAAAAGGACTTTGGGGAGAAAGACCGCCATGGCTAGGAAAATGCTCTTGGAAAACTTGAGAAAATTTCTCAAGAACGCCTTTCTCTGTGCTCCTCTCAAACGAACCTGATGCACAAATGCCCAGGAACTGGGGTGGAAAATTCAGCAGCTGTTTTCTTAAGAAGTTTATTCTCTCACCCTGTGAACAATTCACCCTTTTATTGTGAATGACAATTATGTTAGTGTGTGTATGTGTGTGTGTAATGGGAGTACATGTACAGTGCATAAGTGCCCAACCCTGCCCATCACATCTCAGTTTCATTCATTCTCTCTCTGCCTTACGGTTGTGTTGGTGAAGTCTCTGTCATTCCTGAGGAGCAAGACACTTTGGTCCACAGCCCGAATGGCACACAGTGACCCAGGTGTTGCCTTCAGTTCAAGGTTGATGCTTGTTCCGGGAAGCTCCTGCTGCTGAGATAACCCCAGGCTGACCTGCAGAAGTGAATGCTCAGAATCAGAAGTGCCAAAACAAAGCAGGGGGCATGAAACCATAGACAAGTATTTACCAAGCAGACAATCCTATTTTAGAATGGGCAACCCAGAAAACATCTGTCTGACTCAGTTGTGGCACTGGTGCATGAAACTTTCTCTAACCTTTAAATGTTGTGTTAAATATATGTATTTAATCTGTATATTATTTTCATTGTATGAGAGTTTAATTTCTTTTTCACAATTATCCTGTATATCTTTTTAGCTCTGTGTGTTTTATCTGTGTTGTTTTAATTTGTGTAAGCCACCGAGAATTCCAGTTTGGAAAAAAGGCATATATAAATAAAGAAGAAGAAGATATAACATTTACTAACAGATTAAGACTGGATAGACTATTTTTACTGTTTACTCACATGAGAAAATGCACCTCAGGGAGAGTGCACCTCACATGAGATCTCCCTGCCCCCAATAAGCTCCCTTTAATAACTCTTAATTTTCTACAGTGCTACTATAGGTTTGCCATATTCCCCAAAGTGAAAATCCGGACAAAATTTTTGAGCTTTTTGGGGGGAACATCTCTCCCCCCCATTAAGTTTTTAGGCTTTTTTAATTTTTAAAGCTTTTTTATTTTTAATCACCCTACTTGCCATTCGTCCAAGATATCCCAGACATTTTGTCAATTTGGCAAAAATCCACCCGGACGCCATTTTCAGAACCCGATTCCCAGATGTGTCTGGGAAAATCCAGACGTATGGCAGCCCCAGCTACTTCCTTCCTCGCTTGTGTGTGTGTGTATTAGTCCCAAATCATATTTCTTCCAATCATGATGGTAGCTCCTAACACCATTCATTGCTCTTTCACTGTATGAGACATGGGAAATTGCAACTGACTTTCCACACAGCTGGGGGTACCATACTTTGTGAGTCTGCACATCCTGCTATGTTCTGTCCACACCAGTGGATGTGACACACATGTGTGGGTGGGAGACGGGAGGATATAAATCATCTGACCACTTTTTAAAAACCTTACCCTGCCCTGCCTTAAAAAAAATTAAAATCAAGTTTCCATGTGCTTCAAGGCAGCGGTGTACTTGCAAAGGGGTACCTTGGATCTCCCCCCCCCCCATTTTCTGGGTACGTGATTGGCGCATGAGAGCCACTTTCCTGTGGCGATCACACAGGATCCCCGGACGTTTCACTGTCTATTGATCCCTGCGCCACCACTTGATTTCTCGTTACCACCACCCAGGCCCTACCTGGTACAATACTGAGTCCAGTCAGGGTTAAATTGGAACATAAACTTCTGTTTATTTATTGCAATTTAACAAGCATGTGGTTTCATAAACGGTATCAGTCAATTACTTTCATGGGGTGCCTATCCAGACCTATAACTTCCGCTACCTGCTCTCACTCACTAAACCACCTCTCAGATATTTACTTGTCTTCCTAGCCCCTAGATGTTCCTGACTCAGCTTATTTCGCTACACTAACTCAACCTCCCCACAGACTCTATCCCAATTCACTCCCACTCCAACCAACCACCCAACTCCCAACAAACTCCCTCCTTCGCCCCTTCCAGAGCTGGTTTTATAATCCCTCTGACTCCGCCCCCCTGGGTTCTGATTGGGTAACCTGTTTAACTATTTCACCTCCAGCACTCTCATATGTTAACATCACACCCACGTATTCCGGTTATTTCCCCCCAGTCATGTCTGATGACATTCAGTTCTACTGCTTGCCATCCACACCAGTAAGTGGGTCTTGGTGGAATGTACCTGGGCTGTGGCTTTTGTCCCTTCCCAGAAAGGAAAGCAGGAAATTGTAATGTCATAGGACACTCAGATCAGCTCTGCTATCAAAGAAGGGATTACAAAACAGAGCTACCCTTTGTTTTTCATTAAAATAATAATCCAGAGGTCTTGCACAAGAGTGCAAAAGTGATAAAGAGGTTTTGTGCAAGACCTCAATATCAAAGGGGCGGGGTGGGTGGGAGTCAGATGTATGGGCTGGGATTACAGCCTCTCAGATAATCTCTCATGTTTACGGCTCACCTGGTTTTTGAAGCACATGGACACTTCAAAGCTGACTTTGTCTGCAATGGCGCCTCCATCGTGGAAGAGAGAATAAACGACCAAGGATGGTTGTGGTGCAAAGTCGGAGGTGAAGGGCAATGAAATGGAGAAGGATCCTTGCAGACCTGAAAGAGGGGAGGAAGGTTTCAGAGTGGAGGATTCAGTCATCAATATGACTCCTTAATCCACACCAAACCCCAGACTTTCAATCCACCACTCTTTATTCTCTCCCTTCTCCTTCACAAGACATCTCCTTTAACCTGCCCCCCACTCTAGTCTAATACAAAATATAAGTGTTTCACCACTTACATTCCCAGGTATTGTCCATATAGTAGTCTAGTGGGAACACCATCTAAAAAGCCAAACTCTGCCAAAAAGTCACAGAAATCCACCAAACTCCACCACAAACTCTCCCTTCAAACCTCCTCCCTCTCTCTCTCTTTAAAATTTTATTTAGTTTAATAAAATAAAATAAATAAAAAATATTTTACATAAAAAGAGAATTATGAAGAGTCTCCTGAACTTCCCTCCTCCCCTTTGTGGGTCCTTATATTAATAACCTTTTCCTCCTGCATCTTGTCTATTAATCCAAATTTTTAAAATCTCCATTATACCCGAAATTCAACATTAAACTACAAGTGTTATTGCAATCCTACAAATAATAATTTTAATTATTTAATCAGGCCATTCCCCCCCACCCTTAGCTCCTTTTTGCAGTTTAAATTGATTGATTTAACTATTTCCCAGTGTCACGTGTATACCCAATTGTGAGCGAATCAAACATGCAGATGTGGGGAGGGATTTGACAGATAGACTTACCTCCCCCATCACCACCCACATTCTTTTGTCCATGCATAAGGATTTTTCCCCTTCCTGTCACCTGGGGAAGGAAGAAGCATATACAGGATGAAAACATCCAGAAAGGGACACTCTTAACAGACATATTTCTCAGGCGGCAGATGTTTTGATGCCAAAGACATTAGGGCACTAGTGTGGAGGCAGTAGAGGAAAGGACCTAAACGGCCTCGGCCCAGTATACCTGAAGGAGCATCTCCACCCCCATTGTTCAGCCCAGACACTGAGGTCCAGCTCCGAGGGCCTTCTGGTGGTTCCCTCACTGCGAAAAGTGAGACTACAGAGAACCAGACAGAGGGCCTTCTTGGTAGTGGCACCCGCCCTTCAGATGTCAAGGAAGTAAACAACTATCTGACTTTTAGAAGACATCTGAAGGCAGCCCTGTTTAGGGAAGTTTTTAATGTTTGATGCTTTACCATTTTTTAAAATATTCTGTTGGGAGCTGCCCAGAGTGGCTGGGGAAACCCATCAGATGGGCAGGGAATGAATGAATGAGAAGAAGAAGAAGAAGAAGAAGAAGAAGAAGAAGAAGAAGAAGAAGAGGAGGAGGAGGAGGAGGAGGAGGAGGAGGAGGAGAAGAAGAAGAAGAAGAAGAAGAAGAAGAAGAAGAAGAAGATAACATTTAGGAAACTTCTGAAGGCAGCCCTGTATAGGGAAACTTTTTAAGGTTTAATGTTTTACTATGTTTTTATATATTCTGGAAGCCCCCCAGAGTGGCTGGGGCAACCCAGTCAGATGGGTAGGGTTCAAATAAATTATTATTATTATTATTATTATTATTATTATTATTATTATTATACTCCTGGAAAACACTCCAAGAATTGAACCAGGAAAGGTGAAAACTGAAGTCCTGTCCTCTCTCTTTGGCCAGCTAGTTTTGGGCTGTTGCTTTTTTGTCTTGCCAACCCTGGCCTTCTCTCCTCAGTCAGGATGCTCACATAGTAAGAGAAGGGGATTCCTTTTGCTTTGCCTTCTTCGCCTAGATCACTGTCCTTAATGCTGTAATCCACTTGAATCTCCTGCTCCTGATTGCAAGGCACTACCCCTGGCACCCGCCGGACTTTCACAGAGCTCTTTGCCGTGGTGTAGTAAGGCTGTAGATAGAGGAAAGCGTTCTGGTGGTACTGATTGATTTTCCCTGGTTCATATACTGGATCCTCCATTTGGAGTCTTCCCTGGGAAAGAGATAAAGTTGCAGCCTTTGGTCAAACAACCAGTTAAAGTGACTGATCAAAAAAACTTTGACTACCGACAAAAAGACTCCCTAAGAAATCAGGAGACATGTGGAATCTTTAATTTTCATCTTAAAAATATTAAAAGTCTTAAAAGAGGTATTATCCTTCACTCTCATAATGAGGGAGTGCTTCTTCTCAAACTATACATAACATTGATGGCATTATTATTATTATTAACTTTTTATTTATACCCCGCCCTCCCCAGCCAAGACCGGGCTCAGGGCGGCTAACACCAGGTATAAAAATAATTGATTAAAATACAACTTAAAAACAAGATTAAAATACAACATTAAAATGCAGCCTCCTTTCAGTAGAAACTCAAATCAAAAACAATCACGTTGTGTGTGAAAAAATAAATAAATTCTAGGTTTCCCTCCCTTATTATTATCATGAGCACAGCACATGGAGAGGGGAGATTTAAGTGCTTCCCTCCCCATCCATGATCTCTGAATCCCCACCCCACACATTGGTGCCAATGGAAGATCCCCAAACGATAAATGTGCTGGGGGGGGGGGATGAATGGGGAGGGAAGGTTTAAACCTCCCCTCTCCATATGCTGCAATTGTGACAACAATCTGGGGTAAGGGGGATGTTGCTGGTCTTTAATTTACAAAAAAAAAAATATCAAATCACAACTTTATTGCTAACCATTTGGCATGTGAAGTTAAGACCTAAGATTAGGAGAGCGTATGTTGCAGCAAGCAGCACCTAAAGCCAAATTCAGTATGCATTTCTTTCTTCAAAATTATTTTTCTATTCATGTGTAACTGTATACAGGGTTATTTAATTGATTGATTCAGGTGACAGCCGTAATTAGATGCTTGCGTCCACTGCTATTTTTCTAGAGAAAGAGGTGCTGGAACTCACTATGAACACCTCCCTCATTCTCTTCGACTGGGAAGCCCACCTGAGAGGGGCTGGAATGGAATTTCGATGAGTTCTGGCTGCAAAAAGCCCTGCTTGTGTCTATTAAATTAGCAGCTGTCTTGACTCAAGATATGTTTGATGCAACACTACCATCTGGTGGGAAGTGGGGAGAAGCAGAACTGATCCTTGTATGAAAGAGGATACAGCCACTATCACACTTCAGGCCTAGAACATCTCTGTCCCAAAATGGCTTTGTATTGTATTGACAATGCAAGACCCATGTTGCACAGAGTGCTCCTTCACAGTATGTCTCCCATCTGCTTCCTCTTCCATAAAGCACCACAAGCGTGGCTTACAGGCAATTTAAGATGATCAGCTCCTGTTCCTAGCTTCTCCTCCTTTCCCACCCAGTTCTTAGTGATTCCCTTCCTGCATCTGATCCCCTGCTAATATATCCAGAGTGGACTCTGCTCCACCTGCCATGCTTGTCTGATGTATGGCTGCTGAGGACTTGTGTCTTATTCTGCTTCCTTAAAGGTAAAGGTAAAGGGACCCCTGACCATTAGGTCCAGTCGTGGACGACTCTGGGGTTGCGGCGCTCATCTCACTTTATTGGTCGAGGGAGCCGGCATACAGCTTCCAGGTCATGTGGCCAGCATGACTAAGCCGCTTCTGGGGAACCAGAGCAGCACACGGAAACACCATTTGCCTTCCTGCCAGAGTGGTACCTATTTATCTACTTGTACTTCGTGCTTTTGAACTGCTAGGTTGGCAGGAGCTGGGACCAAGCAACGGGAGCTCACCCCGTTGTGGGGATTCAAACTGCCGACCTTCTGATCGGCAAGCCCTAGGCTCTGTGGTTTAACCCACAGCGCCACCTTACTGCTAGGCAAACTGGTCAGAGTTTTATGGTTTATATGGCCAACAGGTAGATCACGATTTCGGGGTGCCTGTGGTAGATCATGGTAGATCTTGGGACCCCTCCCCCCCTAAAAACAACTTTGATGATCTCCCAAATAAAGCTCAACAATTTTGTTCAATCCAGAATCCAGTGGGTAGATCACTGCCAGTTTTTTTTATAGTGGGAGTAGATTGCAGTCTCTTGGAAGTTGAACAAGCCTGGTTTATAGAATGTTAATGAAAGTTTGATATCATTGCTTATTCTGTCTTTTAAACCATACACATTCTGATTTGGGGGAGGGGTGGTCTATAGCAGAAAAGTGGCATAGAAATAATTTTTACCACCCTAACTGCATTACATTAATTATCCTCCAGATGTACTTTGTTCTCTGCTGATTAATAGGCAGTTGGAAGGAGAAGCTAGAAAAAATGCCATTTGTCCATCACACTTTACTATGTGTTATAGTCTAGGAGCTGGAGCAAATTCCAAGCATGGCTTTTCCATTCAAGGTTTCTCATGGAAACAAGGAAGTCTGGAGAGAATGTTTTTGGAGTCTTGTTCTGAAGCCATGCCTTTGCTTCTTGCTATGTGGTGTACACAGAATGCAGAGTAGTATCCTCACCTCCAGAGAGACCCCCTTCCCATTCCATGCTTCTGTGTCTAACGAAAACTCAGCTATGCCATTGCTGTCAGTAGTAAGCAGCATGTTGGTCTGGTTGTTATTTAAATGAATTACTAAGAACACATCGTGGTTCTTCATGATGGAGCCGTCTCTTTGCAGGGCTTTGAGCTGTGAGGAGAAAGAGGAAGAGAGCTGAGATTTACTTACATCACTGAAATTATCCACGGTTGCTTCTCAGCTGCCTCATGACATCCGTCATAGTCTTCAAGAAACATTTAGAAAACAAGTCCTCTATTAGAGGGTTTAGGTGATAGATCAGATGCAAAAGAAAGAGGACTTTCAGAGCAAAGAGAATCTTCCCAAAATGGGGGAGAAGATGGGTTTTCTCTCCAATATATAAAATTGTAATGATGTTGTCACACTGCAGTTTGCTTGGCCACAGACAGGTGGTTTTGCAAAGTCTAGTGTGGTGAGCTCCTGAGCTGCTAGGAGGGCGGATGGCACAGGTGTGGCAAGAAGAGATGAGAGATGGAGATGCAGACCCAGGTGAGATGAAGAGGAGGGAACTAGAGGATGGATACACAGGCAGGGAAGTGACCCAGGACCACAGACCAGGCAAGATGAAGAAGTATGGCAAGTTCTGAGGCAGGTGAGATGTAAAGGGAGAGGTATGAAGGGTTGGCAAGGTATAAAGGGATGGCTGATTTCACCAGGTGTAAAGGGAGGGCAAGGAGGTTTGGCAGGAGAGTGTTTGTTTGAAATCCTGTGTTCAATTGAGCTCATTTGTAATATTGCACCAAAGAGTACTAGGAAGTTCTTAAAAATTATAGGCATTACCTTTCCCCTGAAGGGATAACCTTGATGGTAGTAATCATCTGTCTCCACAAAGTTCATAGATCCAGCTTGATCAGACATATAGAATTGACGAGCAACATTTGCTTGTACTCCTGTAAAAAACAAACACAGAAAACCCTGCCTAGCAGTGTCGGATATTTTTGCAAAGTATAACACAGCATGCACACATCGTCCTGGGGGAAAAAATGAGCTCCAATATTAACCAGAATACTCTGCAATCCTAACTGATACAGACCAGAACTAGTCAATGATGGTGGATTATTCAACCATAGGTAGTAGAGACCTTAGAGTACTGGCACTCAGTAGATGCCAACGTATGGTTATTTTTTCCTCTTTTTAAAAAGGTTGGTTCAAAGCATTCTGTTGTGCAACCAAGAAACAGAAACTAAGACATGGCTTTGCAGATGACAGGGAGAAAGAACACTACTTGTCTATAGCCCTATTCAGGCATAAGTTCTCTGTGTTGAATCAACACGAGGGTGGGGGAAGGGAGAGAGCAGGGACAAGCTTGATAACTCCACCCCCTGTTGCCATTTCCTGCTCCATGGGTTGGAGGGCAACCATTTGCCCGGCGAGGAGCCTGTTCTACACAAGGAGGCTCACTGTGCAACATAGCAGGACCTTTTCAACGCATAAGACAAATGCCCAAGTTGGGCCAGCAACTCATTGTTGGCACCCTATTGTCTCAATAGTCAGGGGTGAAGTAAACCATGGCGTTAGCAGTACCAAAGTGACATCTCTGGGGCAGTGTGTATCGAGGTCCTGGGCTGCCCAGACAACAAGACTGCCCTCTCAGCCTTGCTGTTGTGGTGCAAAGTGTAATAATAAAGTTTAAGGTCTTATATATATAATAAATGTTCATAAATGTACCAACCAAGCGCGTACATAGATCAACACAGGAAGACCGACCTGAAACCATTTTGACTCCCAAACTGACCAAATGTTTTCTATGCAAGGAGGGAGGGGGTGAAGGAACCTTCCCATTGTCTCAGGAATTGGGAAATCACCATCTCAAAGGAATGGCCAGACTACCAGGAAAGGCAATCAGATAAGGCATTATCAGATAACCTGACAGACAGGAAAAACAACAGCATTCAAATTTCTGTTGTAGACCACCTTTTCTGTGATGTAGGTATGATGTTTGTGGGGGGTGGTCTTGGGTTACACCCCTGCTGTGATGCAGGTATGATGTATGGAGGGGTGGTCTTGAGCTCCAGAGCAGGGAATTTAAAATGTCTATATAAGGGCAGGCACACCTGGGTTCTGGGTTCCTCCTCCTCTCCTGCGGATGAGGGGAGCACCCTGTTGCAACAGCTTTAATAAAGATCAGGCTTACTAGCTGCTTTGCTTCTCAATATTCTCTGGTTGGCCTGTTATTTTCTCCTACCAATAGGGAACCCACGTAAGGACTCTATACGGGCTCTTGGATACCCCATAAGGGGAAAAGGGCAGGTTTTGTTTACAACAAAAGGAAATCAGAGCAATACGTTTGGCACCAGCTTGGCTTCAGGAGTTGCCAGAAGGAGGTGTACAAGGTACCATCTGACCGCCTTAGGGACTCCACTCCAGATTTGTGTGGGGTTTACTCCTTAGCCTTTTCTTCTCCTGAAGTTGAGTGGTGTACATGGCCCTGTGGCTTCACCTCCACAGATAACCATGCCTTCCTTTAATCGCGTTCTCTCTCTCTTTTGGGTGAGGGTGTTCCCCAAACCACAAGCAGATTTGAAAGGAGATATTTCCTTTGCTCAGTCTCTCACCTGCACTCCAACACGCACACCCCTCGCTCCTCATATCCCTGCAAACACCAGAGCTTACCTGTTCCAGCTTCTTCCAAGGAGGCCTCCACATCTATGCTGTGGCTGTATTCGTAGCTCGAAGGTCTGAACTGTGACAATTCCACAACAGCAGAGAAGCAGCCAGTCCTGTCAGTCTGAAATAAACAGTCAGTGAAGGTAGCTAAGATGCCAATCACTGGCTTCGGGAAAGAACACACATTTATGGAGCCTTCCTCCTACTCCTCAGAAGCTTGTTACAGATTTGGGGTACTAGAGTCTATTAGTGAATAGTAGAAATTAATGAACGTCAGAATCTAGCTAATAACTGGAGTACCGAAGAGAAAATTTCAGGCCAGTGGAAAAATACAGGATAAGCTTCCTTTCCAAGCCAGGGCCTCACCTGGGATGGCACATTTAAGATTTTTGGAAGCATCAGGTTATTCCTGAGCCCCCTCATTTCCACTGTCCTCCAGCCCTAGAGCTTTTTCTCTCCCAGTCATACCACCAACTTGGCATAGCTGTCAACTTACAGATTTGAAAATAAGGGACCAGCCTCAAAAATAAGGGATCAGCAGCCAAAATAAGGGATTTTAGTCAACCAGCAGCCAAACGAAGCCTCAAGCGGTGGTTCCCACAGCGCAGCAACCCGGCAAAGGGGATGCAGCAAGGAAAACCACCGTCACCTCTCTGCTGGGAAGCGCTGAGCAAAGGCGAGTCCCCAGGCAACACGGCCGATTTGATCGGCACAAAGCATGCAAGCTCCACCCCCCAGTCGTTCTTAGACTCCTTATTGGGTGAGCAACACAGCCAAGCAACACAGTTGGAGCCTCCTTCCTCCCTGGCCAGCAGGGAGGGAGGGAGAGGAGCTGCTTCCTTTGAAACCTGGGAAATTTAAGGGACATCATCAATAAGGGACAGCAGCGGGACACGGCGCTGGGATAAGGGACTTTCCCGCCAAATAAGGGACAGTTGACAGCTATGCCACCAACCCCTCTTGATCACCATTACCTGCCCTTTGAAATCCTGGCAGATGTCTGTAGGCGGTGGAGCTGTTGTATCTGGTGACCTCCAGAAATAACGGTAAGCTTTCTGGCACAAGGATATTTGCATTAAACCCTGGACCGGCTTGCCGTATGTGTACCTAGAAAGGGGGAGGCGGGGAGTAGAGATAAATCCAGCCATTACTTTTTATTTTCCTTTTTCTATGTGCTGTACACAAGCCTAGAGTTGCCAGCTTTTCTTTGGCAGGTCCCCTATGTCTTTAATAGCATCAAGATGGAAAATTAAGATGAGAAACTTTCCCTATTGCTTTATATTAATGCAAGGGAAATCTTCCCTGGTTAAATTTTGTACTTGTCATGCAAATGCTAAAGGTACACGAGTACCTTTTCAGAGGGTGTGTGTGCTGATAATCTGATTTCTGCCCCGCTATGCCACTCACACAGACTTCAGCTATGCCGTGATACTCCTTGAATTTCCACAGACAGTGTTTTAATTGATACTTCTCCACTTAGCCTGAAAACCACCCACTATTTTGCTTTCAGCTAAAAATAACATTCTTAGTTATTTATAAATCTTATTCCAAAGGAATCAAACTTTCGATCTTTGTAGTTAATTGTATTCACTGCTTAGATTCATCTTAGCTCCTTTGTCTGCATCCATGGTGTTAATGCTGTGAGTCCCTCCATTCTAGGCTCAGGTTGTAGATATGTGTAAATAAAACCATATATCCTAAAAACATCACAGTCTCCGCTGAGCTTCATTCCAGGGAAACTGGACCCTGGAAAGCACTGGAAACCCCTGGAGTTGCTCCTTGCTCAGAGACTGGGGAGCATGTGCAACTATCAGATTTGCACAAAACCGGGAAACTGCAAAAGTGTGTGATGGGAATTTACAATTGCCTGACTGTGTGCTTTTGTGCACTTCCTGGGAATTTAAAAAACAAAACAAGGTGCATGTGCAGCTTGCATGCCCTATTGGCATTTAGACGACATAACAAAATCAACAAACCAAAAGACAGGGGAAACACAAAAGGGAATGAACGGGAAAGACCAAAATTGTTCCTCATAGATAAGTTCAAATACTTGCAGGTGTGGACTACTCCAGTCTCATTCCAACAGAGAAAAAGTAGATAAACAGCTAAATAACGCTCAAATGAGGTCATGAGCTCTGCTCTGCCCTCCCAAATAAAGTGATGAGTGCTCTGATATGTATACCTGCCACAGACTTTTAGAGGAAAGTTGCTGTCTGCTGAATAGATGATAGCAGGCTGTACCACCACCACTTCAAATTTGCGAATCACTGGAGAAGAAGAAAGAGAAGAGACTGTTACACGGTACACCATGAATCAGCTTGAAGAGAAGGTTGGCATTTGGCATGTTTTAAAGTGGGTTGATTCAAACTGTTGCCTTTCCTTTTTACTTATGAGAAGAAGAAGAAGAAGAAGAAGAAGAAGAAGAAGAAGAAGAAGAAGAAGAAGAAGAAGAGTAGTAGTAGTAGTAGTAGTAGTAGTAGTAGTAGTTTGAATTTGATATCCCGCTTTATCACTACCCTAAGAAGTCTCAAAGCGGCTAACAATCTCCTTTCCCTTCCTCCCCCACAACAAACACTCTGTGAGGTGAGTGAGGCTGAGAGACTTCAGAGAAGTGTGACTGGCCCAAGGTCACCCAGCAGCTGCATGTGGAGGAGCGAAGACGTGAACCCGGTTCCCCAGATTATGAGACTACCGCTCTTAACCACTACACCACACTGGCTCTAGTAAGCACTACGAACTTAGATACAGAGGCAGTTAACAAGTTTACATGCATTCTTTTCCAAACTGACATTTTCTAATAAGCAGAGACTGGATTACTTCACCTGGGAGGTTTTTATGATGCTGTTATGGAGGCTGTGTTGCAGAGGTAGAAAGGACTCTACAAAACAGAACTTCATCCTGCATCAACAGTCTGAACTAGAACCATGGCTTAACATGTACCAGGTGTGCCCAATGGAACATTACCACCTTTAAACAGGCTTTGTTCACCAGGTATCAGGCAGGTAGGCTCCCAAATCAGTGGGTAGCGTTTTGAGGCAGATGTTGTCCCCAATATCTGTTGATAGAAACTGAGTTCTAACTAGTGATGAATAGAAGAGACAATGCTTCTCCAAAACTCATTTCATACCATATTCAAGCACTTCAAAGATTAAGAAAGCCTTCCCATGATCCACAATGATTCTGTAGACCCCCAGCATTGGTTCAGCAGCCAACTGGTAGGACAGTTGCACAACCCCATTGTCTGGTTGCACATTATTCCATTGTGCAATTCGGTTGCCTGCAGGATCCTGCAATCACATTTTTATAAAAAATAAAACATGAATTATTGCAGCACATACCTGCAAAAGGAAGCATCTCTGAAAGGGTGGAAGTTCTGCAACCTCCTCAGTCTTCTCCCCTGCCCTCCACCCCACATTGGTGTGTGTGTTTCAAATTACATCTGAAGAAGATCCCTGGGAAACGTGAGGGTACTCACCTGCAACTCCACCAGCTGATGCTAAAGAAGAAAACAAAAGGCAATCCCTTTAGTCTCCAGCAAGAGTAATGCGTCCAACTACAATTCCCATCCTGCAACTCATCAAGTTAGGGGAGGGGGTGGAAAATCTGTGGCCCTACAGATGTTGGTGGAATGCATTTCCTACCATCCCTGACCATTGGTTGTGCTGGCCGGAGCTGACAGGAATTGGAGTCCAAGAACATTGGGAGAGCTGCAGCTTGCTCACTCCTGTAGATGCAAAGGATGAGCAAGTACCTTTAACTGCAGATAATGGATTTTTTTTTCTTGCAAACGCTAGGCAGGCAGAGAGGAGGAAAGGCATATTCTTGCTCCTCCGCTTCTAATATCTGCAGTGAAATGGCACCCCAGCCTCTACACTCTGGGATTTTATGCCCTCTGGGTCAATAAATCCTAGCCATTCAGAAACTTCCTGAACATCCCATACTGTTGCCATAGCTACAATGTCATGTCAAGCAACTGAAGATTCCCTATTTAGCTTCCCCAAAGCTGCCAGGTGTTCAGAAAACTGAGTGCAGAAGATCTGTTGAACTTTGTTGGGGCTTTTTATTTTTTTTACCTGTTCTGAGTGCAGACAAACCATTTCTCCACGGATTCTACATCTGGTGCGTGGGAAATAAAATAAAATAAAAGCTATTTGGGAGGTTGGTTCAGCCTTCCTCTCATTCCTATCACTTATGAGCACATTGTCAGCTCGTGTTTCTAGCGATTACCAAAAAAACCTACAATCTTGCTGTTTTTGGAACCAGGCCAGAAAGAAAGTTTGCAAGAAAGAGCTGGGCTCTTTCTTTCACCAAAATAAAAGCTCTGAAAAATCCCCCCAATCTTGTGGATTGGGAACTTCTAAATGCACCATCGATCACTACAATCAAGCGCAAGCTGCTCTCAGCAGACTTCCTTTAACAAAAGCGGCTGTCAAGAGTTTTGTTACGCACAGATTTGTCGAACTCATCACTAAATACTTTTGTACTCAGGTGAGGAGAAATATAAATGGTGGAGGAGAAGTGCCCAGCCCAGGTCATGCCCATCTTGTCTTGCTTATTCCTCCCCGCAACCCCCCCTCCGCACCCTGTTCACATTTCTCACCTCAGTAGCCAACGGTATAAATCCTTCATCCAGGGTGATGATTCGAAATTGCACTGCAACAGAACAAATGCACAAAATGACCCTCTTAAAGTGCAGATCTTACGAGAGGGTCTCGTTCCCCACAACAGTGCAGTGCTGGAGCACAATGTGTCTCTCCCAGCCTGCCATCTGCCAGCTGAGATTGTTCTCATCTTTGTTCAGCTCCCCCAAGTCTCCTGTTAAGGCCCCAAACTCTTCCAAGGACATCACGCCCAATTAACCCGACAACCTGCCAAATCACCTGTCTCTGTTCATAACTCAGGACAAGGGCAAGCACAGTTCTCTTGCATTGCCAGTGGCCCTCAATGGTACCATGTTGGCCATTCTTGGCCTTCTTAGTAGTGGCACCTGCCCTGTGGAACGCCCTCCCATCAGATGTCAAGGAAATAAACAACTATCTGACTTTTAGAAGACATCTGAAGGCAGCCCTGTTTAGGGAAGGTTTTAATGTTTGATGTCTTACTATGTTTTAATGTATTAAATGGGCTGGGGTAACCCAGGAATTCCTCTGCAGCTTGTATTTTCCCTCCATATGCCCAAATAATCAAAATCCTACCATTTATTGATTTCTACAATTCCCTAATAGAGTCTGTTGCCTCATATCTGTAACATGCTCTAATGGAGAGATATATAAACTGTTATGTACTAAGCTTGGATCCTAAAACAATAGGCAAGTAGGATCCTAGAATGCAACAACTGATTGGCTTGCAGGAAAAGACCAATCAGGCTCCAGGAGGAAGTTAATCAGCCTATTAGGCTGGTAGGATCGTAGGATCGTAGAATGCAACAACTGATTGGCCTGTAGGAAAAGACCAATCAGGCTCCAGGAGGGAAGCAGAATCAGGCAGGCAGATGGGACTCATTGTGTAAATAATGTATATAAAAGCCTGAGGTTTGGGGGGCAAGTCAATCACTGTTTTACAAGCTGCAGTAAAGAGCATGAAATCACTACAGGACTCTGAGTATATTTCACACATACATTAGGATTACGCACAGCTCTGCAGTAACCAGTGGTGTCATGGCCCCAAAATGAAGGAGGGCTGGTATGCCCTCTTTTACTATCACATTACTATCAAAAGTGCCTGCTACTAGCCCGACTTACATATTAAGAGCCAGCCCACCAGCCCTAGGGACTCGTTTCTCCTTACCCAGTTGTCCTGGAGAATAGATGGGCTTGTCCATCTGCAGAAAAGTGCCACTTTCCGCTTTCTGAATAAGAACCTGCTTCTGCTCATCTATCTTCCCCTGGGCATCAGAAAGTCGGATGGCAGCAACTTCCTCCGAGCCATCTGCAGGGGGTGGTACCTGGTTTACACAAGTCACTTAGCGTTAACAGGATTCCCCAATCCAGGAAGGATTAAATGCATGCATTTGAAAGGAAAGGGTGAATGAAAGAGCAGGGAAATGGAGAGAATGGGGCGGTGGTGGAGGGCTGTGACGCACACAGGTCAAACCCCCTACAGATGTTTCCTATTGTCCTGGACTTCTAACAAAGGACAGCATGACGGAGAGACCACATCGGGAAGTGAATAGGCAGGATCCAGTAATCTGAACACTGGACCTCCATGTGGGAGCATGATTTAACTATTGTATGTTCCATCCCTGAATGGAACTCAAAGCAGCATCTATGGGGTTGTTGCAGTTTAGCCTTGCCAAGTAGGCTGAGAAGGAGGGAGATTGACCCACAACCACCCAATGTATTTCATGGATGAGAAGAGCTGTGAACCGGACACATCTACAGCCAAAAGCAACACCCTTAACACCAAACCACAATGACTTCCCCAATGGACAGGGCTTTGGCCATCACAAAAGGCATTTCCGTGTGTGATTTTTAAAGTACAATTGCAGTGTTTTGTGTGGTAGACAAAGCACTCCATGCTTTAAAGGGCTACTGTGCCTTTAATTTAAAACTTGTTTCATTCATTCTCAGTGTGTGCTGATGTGCACCTTCTGCGCCAACTTCCACATTCCTGCTGAAAACCTTTCTATTCCACCAGACTTATGCAGGCAATTAAGAATACATTCTTCCACAATGGCTAATTGATGTCTGTTTTTAACCTCTCAATGGTTTTATGCTTTCATTCCTGTAAACCACTTGGATATATATTTTTACGACACAGAGGAATAAAGATATTTTTTAAATAAATAAATAAGATTTATATACCACCCAATAACAAAAGTTGTCTGGCTGATCTGCTGGTTCTGCCTCTTTTGTTGGTTTGTATTGAGCCTTGTGTCACTGGGTGTGGAAAAGAAAGAGTGAACCCTTTTGAAGGTACACTCTTTGAGCAGCAAGGACTCATTTACTCTGTGGCAGGAACACCCCACAATAAAATAAAATAAAAAAGCCCTGCTCCTAGCATCTGTTCAGGCAAGCACAGACTGGAGTGATAGGAGACTACAGTCTATAAAATGGGGTACAATTCAAATAATTACAGGAGGAATCATGTAAGTGGCAGAGGGCTGCCACCCCTTCCTTTCCTCAGGTTAGTGTTTCCACTACTCTGGGTCAAACTGACAACTTTTTTCTGCCCTCTTAGAAGTTGGACTACAAAAATTCTAAAAACGATCCTGAGCAGGTGGAATGTTCTTGTGCATTCCATGACACCACACCAGCTCAGCTAATCAGTGTCAGAGGTGAAGCAGCATGGTATAGATCAAAGGACACCATTCTGCACAAGCACAGTTGATGCTTCTGATTTATACTGCGTACTTTATTATTATTTTTCATGTATCCAGACCAGATTTACTGCTGGTATACATCACTCACTGTGAAAGTCAGGCACTTCAGCTGTTTCTCATGCCATCTGAATCCATCCAGCAGAACATGGGTCTTGTTCTTAGTCTCCAAGGTGATGCTGAGCACTACAGATGTTTCCACATCACCCAGGTCCATGCACAACTTATCATTGGATGGGTAGTTCAGACGGGCTGGAAGGACCAGCATGTATTTCCTGAATGCAGAAGATGAGAGGGAGAGAGACGAGAACAAGAACACACCTTTCTTTAGAGAGAGAGATTATTGGCAGGCAATTGGTCCAGTTATTTGCACTCTAAATGGCATTCCTGCCTGAAATCCAACACTCTGCCTTGGTGTACGGCAGCTTCCTATTTTCCTATGATGATTCTGCACATGCTGATTATTCTTTATTGTATTTTAATTTTTAATTTTATTTTAATTTAACTCAACCTTTACAGGCATACAGAGAAAACAGGAATATGTGGGTCAAAACATAACATTGGCATCTGTTCACAGATAAAACTATACAGGCATAGTAAGGTTAAAAAGTAGTGGGTCCAAATGTTTGATCCCCATGCTGAAAGAGAGGTTAAATTCTTCTGACTCCTACAGGGTTTATTGAATTTCTGTGGGCATGATAGAATGGAGAAAGTAGCAGAATATATGAGCAACGCTGTGAAACTACAGCATCACAAGACTTGAGTGGTACTCAGTATAATTTATGAGTCACCTTTGAAGGATTTATATTCTGAAAGGCAGGATAATTAATAATTGTAAGTGTAACCACAACAACAAACAGAACAGCAACAGCATCTGTACTTTCCTAGTTGCAAGACTCTCCAGATGAACAGATTTTGTGCAGCAGAGTTGCGGAAGAACCGGTGCCTGTCCAAGGCACTAGAGGAGAGCTGCTATGAGAGTAGCCAATGCTTGTCTTGGACCAACAGTCTGATGCTATAAAGCAGCTCCATGTGTTCAAATGAAGTGGAAAATGAGCAAAGCTATCCCTTCATTAGAATTCTGCTTAGGAAACTACATTTACTGCTTTTGTCTCAGGGGTCCATCTGATTGGGCTCATCCACACTCCTGCTTGTGCTGTGCCTAGTAAGCACAGGTCCAAGTGGTTTTCCCCTTACCCAATTCGTTTCCCAGGGAAAACCAGCTCTTTAGTGATCAATCAGAATAAATGGCAATCCAGGAAAATGTGAATTGCTGTTTGCTCTGATTGAGCGCTAAAGAGCAGTTTCCCCCACGGGACAAGAGGAAGTGTGGAAAAGCCCAATGAGTCTCCGGCATTGTGCCTACTTGCTACATCACTGTTCTCCAGCCTTGGGAGTATTCTTCAATGTTGGGTCTTCGCATGTTGTTGAGCTACAACTCCCTTCATCCCTGACCACTGGCTAAGCTGATTGGGGATAATGGGAGTTGTAGTCCAACAACATCTAGGGACCCAAGGTTGAAAAACATGGTGCAGCTACATGATTGGACAACACATAACGGACAACCCACCTCTTTTGATAATCTCCATTACAACTTTTGACTTCCCTCAGAAAGTCTTCTGATGTTTCACTCAAATGGGAACCTCCAAATTTGCCTCCAAATGTTTCAACAGCTGAAAATTGGTAGCAACGCTACTTTTCTTCGTCATAAAAGTCCACTTTGAGCTTCCTCTCAGAAGACTGTAAGTTGCTCCAGGAAAGGCAGCAACTATTACCTAGCATTCCCTCTTGGTTAACCTCACTCCTTCACTCTCCCTTGCAGGCAGGTGCCTCCTTCAGCCCTTCTGCTTTTCCTTTCTTAACCACTGATGCAAATTTCCATCTGTTCTTTTCCCTAGCGATACATTCACCCTAATAGCCCCCTCCCCCCACTCAATATACTCCTTCATGGCCCTCACAACTCTGAATTCATAAGGACCAGCTTCTCCCTCCCAGTCATGTCCTCTATAATTCTGTTTCCCTGAGATCACAGGTCTTCCAACCACATAACAACTTACGGGATGGAGTCATCTGCACCAGCTAACTCGAGGAAGGGAGCAAGGCCACTGAGAATGAGGAAGAGCCACATTTCTGTGGAGACCTGCCTGCAGAGGGCACCGCAAATGTCCAAGCAGGAACTTGGAAGAGGGAGGACTCGACGTCTCCCTTAACTTGCTTCTCAGCTTATCTGATCCTCATTTTATATCCTCATTCTGCCTAGCGTGTGACTCTTAAGTGGCCTCTATGCCCAGTGTTTAAGAAATATGATCCGCCACCTGAGGCTCACACAGAGAACAGGGAAGGAAAGTCAAATACAGCAGGTGTGAAAGAAGCTGGCTTTGGGACAGAGAAGCTGGCCAGACCACTTACTAACATGCCCCTTTCCCTTTTCTCCTTCAGAGCATGCAAACACCTATGCACTGCAGTGGTCTAAATGTTTGTGCAATATACATGGAAGAACAAAACCCCTAGATGTTCAATGGTGGGCTTGCTCTTACAGCTCCAGCATGGACCCCCTTTTCACCCTAAGGTCTCAAGGCCCACCTGACACTGTGCCTTGCTTCAGGACAGGTATGCCCTTGTCTCTCCCTTTCTTGCTTTCCTTTTCATGTGAGGGCTACGACAAATGTCACTCTCTCTCTCTCTCTCCTTAGGCGTTTGAGAGAGGTGCTTCTTCTACTCTTTGAATCAAGTATGAGTTGCTACCTGCTTATATTGTCACTTTGTTGTCCAAAGCAACTTCCATATACAGTCATACTTTGGAAGTCAAACGGAATCTGTTCTGGAAGTCCGTTTGACTTCCAAAACATTCAGAAACCAAAGCACAGCTTCCAATTGGTTGCAGGAAGCTCCTGCAGCCAATCAGAAGCTGCGTCAGACGCGGGCTGACTTCCAGACGGGCTGACTTCCAAATAATATAGATCTTTGAAAGAGTGGTTACTGCAACCTTTGAAGGAAGTCTGCAATGAAATACTGGAGGGGAAAAGGGCACCAGAATCGTGGAAAGAGGCGTACATCACACTTATACCGAAAACAGAGACTGAAAAGACTCAGCTTAAGAACTATCGCCCTATATCGTTACTTAATGTGGATTACAAAATTTTTGCAGACATTTTGGCCAAGAGATTGAAAAAATATTGATGAAAGAGATTCATAAAGACCAAGCGGGCTTTCTCCCGGGAAGACATCTGTCTGATAACTTGAGGAATATAATTGATATTTTGGAAAAATTAGAAGTGAATATAAACACCAAAGCAGCATTGATATTTGTTGACGCGGAGAAAGCTTTTGATAATATCTCTTGGAGTTTTATGAAGAAGAATCTGCATGGGATGGGGGTAGGCCAAGGTTTTGAAAATGGTATAGGTGCAATATACTCTGAACAAAAGGCTAAATTAATTGTAAATAATGTGGTTACGGAAGAATTTAAGATAGAAAAAGGGACACGACAGGGGTGCCCAATTTCCCACTGCTTTTATATCGGTCCTGGAGGTTTTGCTAAATATGATTAGAAAGGACCGGTTGGTTAAGGGCATACAGGTCGGAGCTAAACAGTACAAATTGAGAGCATTTGCAGATGACCTAGTATTGACGTTACAGGAGCCAGAATCTAGTACTAAAAGAGTTTTAGAATTAATTCAGGAATTTGGTCAGGTGGCAGGTTTTAAATTGAACAAGTTAAAAACTAAGGTTTTAGAGAAGTTCTTAAGTCCGATTGAAAGAGAGAGGTTTCAGAATGAGACAGGATTGAATGTGGTAAAGAAAGTGAAATACTTGGGGATTAATATGACAGCCAAAAATGGGAACTTATTTAAAGATAATTACGAAAAATGTTGGACGGAAGTGAAAAAGATTTAGAAATTTGGTCAAATTTGAAACTCGTTGCTGGGCCGTATTGCTGTGATAAAGATGAATGTATTGCCTAGAATGTTGTTTTTGTTTCAGACATTACAAATTGTAGATAAGATGGACTGTTTCAAGAAGTGGCAGAGAGATATTTCTAGATTTGTCTGGCAGGGCAAGAAGCCCAGAATAAAATTTAAGATATTAACTGACGCTAAGGAAAGAGGTGGATTTGCCCTGCCAGACCTTAAACTTTATTATGACGCAGCAGGCTTTTGCTGGCTGAAAGAATGGCTACTTCTTGAAAACACAGACATTTTGGATTTAGAAGGTTTTAACAATGTATTTGGATGGCATGCATATTTATGGTATGATAAGGTCAAAGCACACAAAGCATTCAAAAATCATATTGTTAGGAAAGCATTGTTTAATGTCTGGATAAGATACAAAGACTTATTGGAAAATAAAACCCCAAGGTGGCTGTCATCAATGGAAGCAAAAGCTCTGAAAAGGCTCAATATGGAGGCCAAATGGCCGACATATTGGGAAATTTTGGAGCAAGAAGGAGATAAATTGAGACTGCAGAGTTTTGAAAAATTAAAAAATAAAGTGAGAGATTGGCTCCACTACTATCAGATAATGGAGGCATATAACTTGGATAAGAAAATAGGCTTCCAAGTGGAAAAGTCAAAATTAGAAACAGAATTGTTAGAACCCAAAACTAAAAATTTGTCAAGAATGTATAACTTGCTGTTGAAATGGAATACTCAGGATGAAACGGTGAAATCTGCTATGATTAAATGGGCACAAGATGTTGGACATAACATTATGTTCGCTGACTGGGAACAGTTATGGACCACAGGTATGAAGTTTACGGCATGTAATGCCTTAAGAGAGAATATTATGAAAATGATATACAGGTGGTACATGACCCCAGTCAAGCTTGCAAAAATTTATCATTTGCCCGATAATAAATGTTGGAAATGTAAAGAAACTGAAGGTACATTCTTTCACCTTTGGTGGACGTGCCCAAAGATTAAGGCTTTCTGGGAAATGATATACAATGAACTGAAAAAGGTATTTAAATATACCTTTCTGAAGAAACCAGAGGCCTTTCTCTTGGGCATTGTCGGCCAACTGGTGCCAAAGAAGGACAGAACCTTTTTCATGTATGCTACAACAGCAGCAAGAATACTTATCGCAAAGTATTGGAAGACACAAGATCTACCCACTTTGGAAGAATGGCAGATGAAGGTGATTGACTACATGGAATTGGCGGAAATGACTGGCAGAATCCGAGACCAGGGAGAAGAGTCGGTGAAAGAAGATTGGAAA